CCTAACCCTAACCCTAACCCTAACCCTAACCCTAACCCTAACCCTAACCCTAACCCTAACCCTAACCCTAACCCTAACCCTAACCCTAACCCTAAGTATAATATTATTAGTAAAATATAATATGAAAGTTTTTATTAAATATTAAAATATATATAAGGCTAGTTTTAATAAAACCATTAATTTATTTTATATTCTATATACTAATTTATAATATTATGAATTTTGTTTTATAAAAAAACTCTTTTATTTAATTTAATATAATTAATTTAAATATGAATTCGATTTTAAAACTTAAAAATTTGAAATATATTATAAATTCTTATAAAATTAAATACTTCTTTTAAATTCGTTTTTTATATTATAAAAATAAAAGTCTTTATTAAAAGTTTTAAAATTAGCCTCTATTATTACGAACCTGTAAAGAGAGCTTATAAATAAATTACTTATAAGAGGAATTATTTATTAAGAATTCTAAGATAAGGAAAGAAAAAGAGGTTTCTTAAGAAAAGAACTAAGCTTAAGTATAAAGTATACGCGTGTAGCTTAGCGAGCTGTTCTAGTCCCAATTAGGTATAGAGCATGTAATATAACGGGAACTATTATATTTATAATATAAGTATTAATTATATTTTTAAAAAAGTTTGTATTTTAAATCTATTTTATTATTATAAGGATATATTAATAAAACCAGTTAATGAAAGCCTTTACTAAATTATATTATTACTATAAAATTATGTAGTTTTTAGTTTTTAATTTTATTTATAATTCTATTTAAATAATATTAAATTCTAGTAATTTATAAACTTTAAGCTTAATATTAAATACGCAATATACAATATTACGTAAACTTTATACTATAATCTTACTTAGCATATATAAAACTAATGATATACAAATTTTAAAGTTAATCTAATTATTAGTCACTTAATTATTAAGGTCTAAAAATGGGGGGTTTTGGTGGGAAAAGGGTGTGCATTCGCTTGGGGTGTGCATTGACTAGGGATCTCGGTTACCGGATCATGTGTTTACGCGCGATTACTTATGTTCAATTTCACCGGGATAAACACAGGTGCATGGTTGATCACAATCCTCGCAGAACACCTTCAAATGGGTTTCAGAATCTCCGAATTTGAGTTGCACATTTACCTTCAATTGATCTACCGAGCGAGAGTCACGCCTCAACGACTGGGTCAATCGAGCAGACAGTATATTCTCTCTAAGCAGCCAAATTGCCCCCAGTCAACCTGGAACAACGAACACATCGCCCTCGGAGCTGATATCAACTTTCTCAATTTGAAGTCCCTCACACTTCAGAGCATCTGCGATCTCTTGACCTTCATCTTCACCGGTATCTACCCCGAAAATGGACCCCGTGGAGAAGGTCTCGTAAGACCACCGTCGATCGAGGAGTCCTTTTGAGATTTTGGCAAGCCGAATTGCCCAAACTATCCAAATCATCAACATGTCTTTCTTGCCTTCAATGCCTCGGTCATGACAAAAGAACGAGCGGGCTGACTCTTCAGAATGTGCATGATGAAAGTGCACATTATGAACAGGATAAACTCAGTCTTGCTTGGCAATTGGGACCAAGGGATGGTACGAGATCTCCACCCGTAAATTGCCGACGAAGGAGCACAGCTTGCCAGAATGTGCGAGACGAAGTAGTACATTATGGCCAGTATAACTTTATCCATCTTCCGTCGCTTGAGGTGAATGGACATTGCAAGCATCGCCCAGAATATACATGCAGAATGAGCACGTTATACTTACTGAAGTCAGTCGTGATTTGAGCATTAGTCTTGACTTCTGTCTCGTTCAAGATTTTCGCATCAAGTCCTGCGCTGGCAACTCCAAGGAAATCACTACAGTAATAGTCAGCTGTGTGCTCCTCCTCCGGACTGTTGGCAACGTGCACTCCGGGTCCGCTATGCACATCCCGCGTTCTCACTTCTGACGTTTTGGACTTGGCACCACGAGCAACAATAATACCCGTGATCATGAATATAGAGGAAGACTGAAATAGTCCCAGCTTGGCTAGGTAAGCTCTGGTCTCATTGTCTTCAATACTATCTTCCACATATGCACCCGTAGGTTGGAAGATGAACGTGTCGAGGGAGGTGAATTCCCAGAAATTTCGGACTAATGGACAATATTAACATAAGGTACAGTCCAAGAAGGCGTTTTGAATGTGCAACTCAATGTCACACATTAAAAACACCCCTGGGAAGACTCCTGGCGGCTAAATACAAAACCTCGTACGGATCCGGTTGTATTCAGCATCTGTGGAGAGTCGTACCTGTTTGTTTGAAAGCCAAGCCAGCATCCAACTTTCAATGTCAGAGCTCGGATCATGATTCTGGACCACAACAGTCATGCAATACCTTGATGGTCAGTCCTGCCGCAGCGGCAATGGGCACGCCTGTGTTTGCGGAAAATTCAACACCCTGCGTCTTGTTGATCTCGAAAGTAAGCTCCCGAGCCTTAGTTGGGTATATAGGCATGTCTGGCGGAACGTCTAGCGGGCCGTGCCGATTTATGACATTGTCCAGATGCTGCAAATCTGGTATGAGGTGCCCTAGGCAAATAGGACCTGGAGCATGTCAGCCTTTTAAATCTTAAATGGTCATGATCGGATGGTTAGAGCACTCTAGAATTTATGCGTCCTTGCCAGGTTGGATTCTACATAAAATTACCACTCAAAGTGTACAAGACTGACTTGCACACTGAAGAAAGAAACTATTTCACGGACGAAGCGGGGCTGCACTGATGAGTTAGAGAATACAACGGGCTTACCGCTGCCACTCACATGCCCGATGCCGTTTTTCGGAATCGCTGGAGGGGGGTAATGTGTCTGCTTAAGGACGAACCAACACTTTGAAGCCATTCCTTGATGCTGAAGCTCGATCAAAGCGAGACAGGTTGATCTTGAGCATGTCGTTGTTGATTTCAGCCGCACCTCTGTCAGCCCCACCAACATCAACTGGCAACTTTAACCGAGCGCAATGTCTCCAACGACATCCACTACCAAGATGACGAGCAGACGAGCAAACCAACGGCGAAGCAAACGAACCTCTGAGACCTCGAGCCGCCGCCGATGCAAGGACACAACAAAGCATCCGATCTCTAAATGAGCACGTCGGTATTGCACACTCATGCGGGCTCCCGTATCCAGGCTCGCAGGATGCCAGCGGTGGCATTGAAAAAGGCTACAGATGAGCCTACAATATCTTTTGCATGCGATGTGATTATTGAGCTGCAAGGAATCGCACGAGAACTTTCAAAGGAGTCAGGAACAAAGGCCTTCTGCAGTCTGTTCTCGGCTGCACTGGAGAATGTGCAAGACTATCTCACACTTGATGACAGTCCAAGAAATGTTTCCAAGTTGCTGGATAATCTGGAAAGACTATGCCAAGTAAGGAAATCAAGATTTAACACTTCGCGCATACTGACATATCATAGTGGCCGACCTCTGCTAAGCCTAGGACCAGCTATATAACCAGAACCGACCATGCACGATATCCTGCCCTAAAACGATTGATGGAGAAGAGGCCAATGGTGAAGAGGGGCATTAAAGATTTCGCATCAGATCCTCGTTCGAAGAAAGACCGGCAGTCTATACTCAAGTTCTTGAATGGGTTCGGAAGGTCCAAGAAGGATTTACTCGTGGACGTTGCCGACCTGGAACCAACGGATACATCGCGAGAGCAGCAGGACTACCAGGCGTATATTCGAGAGCTGTACAATACCCTCGCTACGCGCTGCTTGTGTACACGGGGTGGTGGCCGCAAGGAGATATCTGCCAACCTGCGCTTGAACGGATGCTGTTCTCCCGGAGAGCTGGCTGATAGCGTCAATTTTAGACTGTTCTTTCTGGACCATCCTCACCATCATGGATTGGGAGATACATGCCAATGGCAAGATACGCAAATATGCGTCTCGCGAAAGAAACACATCAAGATGGTGGGCGATGTCGAGGATCACATTGAACTTTCCAGCACCTTGGTATCGGTGGATACATTTTGCAAAATCATCACCAACCGCAACAGATCACAATTGGCACGTAAAATCTTTCCCTTCATTCTTCTATCCCTGCAGAGAGTTTGGAAATCTCGGCAATCCCGCCCTCGTCGATAGGGGAGATGAAGAGACGGGAGTCAAGCTCCGTTAAGAATCTGCGAGCTGGCACTATACCTAAGTGCGCAGCTTGATCTGGGAGATTCTAATGCTGGCTGTTTGCCCGACCTGCTTCAATATCTTCTCACCTTCGACGAAAACGGACTCCGACTCGGACGCCATTTGCTGGAAGAAACCCCCAATCACGGCCTCGAAGTGAAGTTCTAGATACATTTGCTAACATTGCTGATTAGAGACTGATGATTTCAGAGGTTGGCCTCGTGCTAGAGGGACCTGGCAGTCTTTCACAGGGGTTTATCCTAGGCGCGTCGAGCGTCTCACTTGCTGAGCTTGTCATGATGACAAGACTCTCGCTAAAGATGAGATTGCTCTTGTCTTATTTCCTCGCCAAAGCTGTGTGGCAGTTTTACGATTCCGAGTGGATGCAAAGAGAGTGGACCAAGAATACTGTCCATTTCATGTTTGAACGAAGACCCAAAATGCCGAAAGGAATCTTTATCAACGAGCCTTTCCTTTCCGCCTGTTTCGACGGTCGAAACCAATCTTTCAATCCAGATACTGAGTTCAGATCACACGGTGAGTGAATTTGCTATATTCTAGCGAGATTTCGTCTTCTAGGATCTGTCGCTGCTTTATTTGCGTCCAATATTGGGTAGCCCGTGCTGATGTAATGTCCAGTTCTTCCGAAGATATTGGCTTTGGGTATCATGCTGCTCGAGATTGAGCTCAGAATCAAAATCGAAGACTACCGAATGCCAGAGGATGTCGATTACAATGGAGAGCCAAACGTCAATGCTGATCATATTGCTGTAAGCACAGCTCCCTTCTCCTGCTGTATTGATACAGGCTCATATTTTTCACAAGGCCATGGAAGTCTTCAACAATCCCGATCTGTGGGCAGGCAAGGACACTTTTGGCGCTCTCCGAGATGTGATCGAGGCTTGTTTGACCCCGGTCAAGTTCCAGCCTTTTAAGAATGATATTCCAGGGCTTCGTGACGCGTTTGAAAAGTTTATTGTGAACCCGCTCCACGACCGATACAAGTCTGCATGGGAAGATCCAGACGTGTCTATCCCCCGGGCAGTCAAGCTCGACCAAACCGGCTCGCCTGCCATGGAAGTTGTCAGTGAAAACACTCCTCCCGTATCGCCGTCTCCCGTGCACAGTCTACTACATGCTCCGGTAGCAACTCCATCGCATCAAATACCATACCATCCATATCCCTCGTACCTGGGTGGCCAAGGATACCCGCAGTTTCCCTATCAGCCCATGCAGTAAGTATGCACGTCTGTTACATCCAGTCACATAGCTTACATTCGTTTCAGGTATCCCGTATCACCCTCCGTTACTCCACTGTCAGACGGTATCATGTCCAGCAGGTGAGATTCTTGATTACGATGTGTTGTTAAACTAAGCTGATAAAGAAATTAGCTCAAACTTCACGTCCGATGGATGGTTTGGGGAGCTTGATAAACTAAATTCAGTCCTCCGCCCTAAGCCCAAGGAGAAGGACAATGCGTATAAGCCTATCAAGATAGCAATACTTGATACAGGGGTCAACGAAGCCTATGCCGACAATGTGAAGGATTACAAGGATTTTGTGAACGAAGACGAAGAAGATTGGGACGATAGTACAACCCATGGGACTGGGGCATTTCTGCTTGTACAGCAGATCTACAATATGGCCGAGATCTACGTCGGCAAGGTCTTCGAAAAGGCCCACGCAACGGACGATACAGTCGCCCTCATGACGAAAGCAATACAACATGCCCAGAACAGCTGGAATGTCGACATCATTATAATGCCTTCTGGGTTCAGCTCAGATGACATAGATCTGGAGAATGCTATTGACCAAGCAAGGCAAGCTGGAATACTCATCTTCGCAGCAGCATCTAACTACGGTAATATGAGCTACATTGCCTTTCCCGGCCGCCTTTACATCGACTTGAAGCTTTTCTGCATGTTCTCTACCAATGCTAGTAATCGGGCACTTGCTGCATTCAACCCGTCCGTACTCGGAAAAGCTAGGTACAGCTTCGCCATCCTCGGCGAAGACGTCAAAATTCCGAGGCAGGAAAAGCCTGTCTCGGGGACGTCTTACGCCGCTATAATCGGGGGTGCTGTCGCGGCTCGCATCTTGGACTTTGCGCAGCATAAAGACAACCGGGGACGAATCCGGAGGATTGAGAAGCTTAAAACAGTCGAGGGCATGTCGGCGGTATTTGACACAATGGTGGGGAGTGCCGTCGACAATGGATATCGCTGCATGGCGCCGTGGAAGATTCTTCCTTCTTATATTAGGGGGGAGGAGATGGGACCGAAAAGATTACGAGAAAGAGCGCATATTTGCGAGACGATATCGCGCGCACTGGAAGAAATGCACAAGAGATGACAAGGCCAGCCTCGATTACTGCAAGTCGATTGTCAACATCTCTATCGAAGAAGCCACCGGACTCATGGCGTCTCGGTGTGCAACAAGTATCGAAAGTTCTCAAATCAAGCTCTGCATTCATCCTTCTCAAAGACAGCGGCACGTCTTGGTATTGATGGAATTCACACACTTGTATAGCTCTCTCCTCGAAGAATTTCAAGTGTTACCTTCCACATGACCGCAATACACGCACTATGCATAATGGGTGCACCACTACCAACACCACCAGTTCCTCCCCCTCAGCTGCTTCACATATGACAACCCTTTTGTCGAACGAATCTGCCTCAGGCGTGCCGCACTTCACTAGAGCCGGCGCACAAAACAATGTTACGGGCGCCCTTCTCTGGACCAAGAAGTCTTCCTTTGCTTCTAGATCATCGGCTTCCATCCAAGCAGGATCAAATGGCAGAGGTCTGGAGAGCGAAATGGCGTCTACCTCGAATTTGAAAAACGCCTTCTGCTTCCAAAAGAGAAGGTCGAGATCTATGGCTCGTCGAACGATGTTCAATAACGTGGACTTCCGTGGATCTTGATTGCGAATGCCGAATACATCTCTTTGGTCCGTGTAGGGCTTTAATTGTGGCTTCGTCATACTCGTCAAGGTACTGATTCTTTTCTCGACGCATGCTTTGTGAATAGCAGAGATTTCCCAATGATTCGGGCTATCTGGGACCTCCAAAGGTGATAATCTCTGCTCCGAGATGGGTCCTTGTTGGATTCTGGTCCGGGCTCTAAGCTGGGTCAACTGAAATACTGGATCACTCACTCACTATACGTCATGTCGTCGAGGCACTTGTAAGATTTTTATAGGTCGCATAAGTTGATTCCCTTTTGTTAATCCGCGATGCAATACCCTCCCATCCAAACAGGTCTTTGGAAAACCTTATCTAACAGCTTCATCCAGACAAATCCTTGGACGAGGAGCGAAGTTCACCTTGGGTGCCTGGTGAGGTAGTGATCATACTCGCTCGACACCTTCTCAAAAGGTCTCCCCGGTTCATCACCTGCAATCAGTGTTCTCAATACTCCTCTGGAAGAACGATTGAAATTTCTGCTCCATTGTCGTACATCGGCTACCACAAGATCTCTATCTCTTGCAATCTTGTCGTCGCCGACTCTGTAAGGATCATTCGAGTGCATTGAGGCAGATCTCGTAACAAATTCGTCCAACTGCATATGTGCTACCATAAGCTCGTTTTGGAGTTCCGCAATTGTCGATTGCGTGGTTGGCTTTCGTGCAGGTACATCTCCAAGATGCGGCGCTTGTATGCCACTTTCAGACCTGTTTCTCTCTGGGAGTGAGGGACGAGATTGTGGTTGAGATGTTCGTTGGCCACTCGTCTGCAGAGTCGACCCATTGTTGCTCTTCGGTTTGTCGTGAACTGGTGCACTTGCGCTAGAACCAAAAGAATCAATACGATCCGATTGAGATCTTGTTGGAGGTTGGCTGTACTCGTCGTAATGCCCCATCTTTCAGAATTTCAGATGATTTCGAGAGATCGTGTCTTTCTCCTCTTAAGGATGTCAGAGAGGCAGGCGGGGAAGCAAACTTGGAGGAAATGTTCCTCCCACTTGAGAAGGCTGAGAGCTCCACATGCAAGTCCATGTCCGAAAACACCTGCATTGTCGTGGAGCCTTACTTGTGCGACATTGTTTCGCCAAATCAGTGGTTCTGCATGATGGCTGCATACAATCCCTTGCCATCCTTAAAGATCGTCGGAGGCCTTTACACACACTTATTTGTAAGTGTGCAATTTCGGGATTCCTTCAAATGACAACTTGATACCTACAGAACGATGTCTCGCAGCACTATGAATCCAGATAACAGGGAGTGGGAGCGTGTTGATGAGAAGATGATACTTGTCATGCGCTTGACCGGAGCTGGGAAGTCATACTTTATTCAACAGCTTACGGGCATGAATGTCAGTGCTGGCCATGAACTCAAAGTGTGTATGTCGTTTCCCTCGATATCCAGGATTTTCCCCCTCCTTCGGTGTGATCGGAAAGGATATATGCTTGGAGCCATATCTTATATTTGGCTAACTTTGTCGCGGGGACAGAAAAATGTCAAGTCATTCAGACCAGTATTGGCAACACAGATTTTGCAATCATGGATACGCCGGGATTTGATGGTACAACTCGCAGTGACGCCGAAATTCTCAAAGTCATCACCGAACAACTCTCCATCATCCGTCTCGGCTACAACTTGAAGGGCATCGTCTATCTCCACAGGATCACGGACAATCGGATGGGAGGATCGGCAATGCGAAGCCTGGATATCTTCGAGAAGCTCGTCGGAGAAGACGCATTGTCTAACGTCGTACTTGCGACAACAATGTGGGGCAATGTTGTAGACATTGCAGCAGCCAATCGCAGGGACAGTGAGCTTCGTGAAGAGTACTGGGGGAGCATGAGGAGACGGGGTTCCACTGCGACAAGATTCGACGGCACACGAGAATCCGCTCGGGCCATCGTGGAACAATTACTTGGGAAGAAGGCCGTTGTCCTCAAGGTGCAAGAAGAACTTGTCGATCGAGAGATGTCGCTAAATCAGACTGCAGCAGGGGTATTACTAGAGCTGGAAGTCTACGCCGAGGCGGAACAGATTCGGAAGCGCCTTGAGCAACTGGAATCGGAACTGAAGTACGAGAAGGACAGCAACAAGCGATTGGAAGTGAAACGCTCACAGCGACGCAACGCAAAAGCATTCTCGCAGTGCGCCGAAGACAAGAAGACGATGAAATCAAAGCCTGGCGTAGAAGTGAAGGGGAAACTCAAGAAGTGGGCGGAAAGCGGCGGGAAAATTGGGTTGCAAGCTCTTCAGGGACTGGCAGCCATTGTCTCGATCAGTTTCGGTATCGCAGGATTTATCTTGGGGGCTGGGTTTTGAGGTTTCTAATTTCGTTGGGGTCTTCAGGACGAGACCAACGCTCTCGGGGCAGACAGATCCGAAAGACTGTCTGCCCCGTACGATTGTCGGATAATTCGATTCTGCCGCTCCGCACTGCTTGCTATCTTAATTAGTATAGTAAGCCCGCAATCTCAAGATCAGCCCACATATATTATTTATTTACTCCATCCACCACCGGTATGAATCTTTGTCGTTGAGTTTTGCTCCCAGGGGCTGATATCTAGATTCAGGGACGACAGCGAAGACAAGAGAGAGATATAAAGGTCAATCCAGAGATATTTTGACCATTCCGTCTGCTTTCTCAAATGAAGTCAATAGCATAGACTCAGATTTGTCGTCGGACTTCCCAGACAGTACATATATCAAATCTCTTTCTGACGGGAGCGAAATTACCGGGAGAGATGGCGATAGGCGTTTGCCCGTTATGAGAATCGTAAGAACCGACGGGGTGGTTTCGGAAGATCGCAGCCCACGGCGCCTTCTATACGCGCCAGAAGAGATAGATATCGAGGATTTTCCAAACGTTTCTGAGATCTGTATTTGATCCCTTAGTACATTGGACGAGCTGATCCATCCCATCTGTCAATACGAGCGGTTTGGGAATCGGGCGCTATTTGGGCTAAGCGAGGGGCCCGATTCGCTAATAAAAAGGCCTAATTTTAAAATAATATATAACTTTCTAATAAAAAGCAAAGGCTAAATTTTAATTAAATAAAAAACATTAATGCTTATAAGAAACTTAGAGGAGTATTACCTAGATTAAATTCTATTAAAGATAAAAAGATTTATATAATTATATATTTTAAAAACTATTTTATAATTAAAATTATATATAGTTCTAATAAAAGGCTTTAGCTAAAATTACTTAAATAGTATTATTAACCAAATTATTTTTAATAGATCCTACTAATAGAATTTTATTAATTTATTAATTTGAAAATATTATAATATTTTCAAAATTCGCTCGTATCCGACCTCGGATTTATGAACCGGAGCTCGCTTAAGTAGACGATTAAGCAATCGGGCCCCTCGCTTAGCCCAAATAGCGCCCGATTCCCAAACCGCTCGTATTGACAGATGGGATGGATCAGATCTGCAGGCAACTTTGCCCACATATCATTTTGAGATAGTTGTTACGGCCGGAAATAAAACCTCGTCTTTTATTTCCACATCAGCACAGTTAGAGAGGGTGAGCTTTTCAGTCATTATTCCTCGTCCAATGTTTCCGAGCGTCAGCTATTTCGCCGCCATAAATGAAGACACGCCATCAGATTCCGGCAAAAGCCCTAGGTGGGAGATCCTGTTGGCGTCTTTATTAGAGCTTCCTATAATTTCAGGTAGCTCTCAAATGGAGCCTCTCATAACGGCGAACAGTTTTTCGGCTTTGGATGGGGTTAAGCTACTTCCCGATTATCTTCACCAACGACTGGACAAGCAAACCATACGACTAATCAGTATATTCCCGGGCGATGCAAAAGACCGGCTCCAGGGAATAATTTTCCACACACCTTTCGATTCTGCCGGAACTTACAGGGCACTTTCCTACGTATGGGGTACGGATGAACGAACCCACTCGTTGAGTACACCAGATGGGACCTTTTGGATTACCTCCTCTTTGGATACGGCGCTTCGCCGCTTACGGCACAAAAATGATGCGGTAGTGTTATGGGTAGATGCTATTTGCATTAACCAACAGGATAACGCTGAAAAGTCTCGCCAGATACGCCTTCTACCGAAAATATTTCAACAAGCTTCTTCCACTTACGCTTTCATAGGAGAATGTGAGAAGTATGACAGTGCCATGGAGACCCTGCTGCAGATAAGAGCGAAGCAGACGTATGATAAAAGACCCAAAGACAGTGTGTCAAATGAATAGAGTAAAATAGAATAATGGCCACTACTCTTATTTTAGTCAAGTATAAAACCCGTTACTCTTATTTTATTCATATATTATTCAAGTTATTCATGAATATTCTTCCTGAAGAAAGACGGTCCCAAAACACGCTAAAATCGCGGCTCGCTTAATCCAGCCAATGAGAGAAAATCACGTGTAACCCGAGTAATATTAAAATATTGACTTACTATACACAACTCTATAAATTACAACTACGATAACACCACGATTTACGAACCAAAAGAGCCCTTTAAGACTATTAAAATGCAGTGGCGCTTTATATTCCCCTCTGGACTAGTCATATAAGGCTGGAGCTGGCTTGTCTTATAGTATTAGAGCAATATATAAGGCCAAAATACCCCCCCCTCATCTTTAATTTTCTTCGAAAATTACGAGAATCTGACCTTATATCTCTTTATAATAATAGAATTAATACTTGGAAAGCTTAATAAAATAGCCAAGTACCTGGTATAATGCCTTTACTTACTAATTCTGATCCTACTAAGTATTTGCGGTAAGCTAAATTCCCCCCACTTCCTCCTCTCTATTTCCTTTAGTTCCTGAATAAGAAACTAATATAATATATAGGGCAGATATATTCCTAAAGAGAAATAATAGTATTACCTAGTATTTGGGTACTATAAAGTATTATTCGTGCCGTAAAAGTAGTACTTCTATTAATATAAGTTTCCTAAATTTAGCCCTAATATTTCTCGAAAATTTCAAGAATTTCTTATTAATATATTATACTTTAGGTCCCTCAATTACCCTTCCGTAAGAATCGTCTTTATTATAGCTGCCGCTATAAAGAGGCCTTTCTTAAAGCCTATCTTATTTGCTATAGATAATTAGGCCCTAATTCTATTACTAATACGCTAAATACTTTACCTAAAGATATTTGCAATATAATTCTTCTTCTTTTACAAGATTAACTCGGCCCTAATTTCGATATATACTAACTTTTAAGCGCCTAAGATCGCCTAGCTAATATTTAAAATAGTGTAGTTAATAGTATAATTATTAATCTTTAGGTCTAAGGGAGTTTAGGGCTAAAACTAGAGTTTGAAGTTTGCTTTTAAGATATCCCTAAGCTAGTATTACTTTTTATAATACCCAAATTCTTTGTAATTATCGAGAAATTATAATAAATACTAAATTTAGGCTAAAAACTGCCTTCTTTTAAGTGCCTTCTTTATATAATATTAATTTTTCGAAATTCTTCGAAATTTTCAAAGCAAATTATTATTACTTATAAATATTAATTTAAAATATAAATTATATAGGTCTTTAAACTAAGCTTATATATAGTATTTAATAATAAGAACTTGATTAAGAAATTTAATAAAAGTTTTTTTTAAAAAAAGAAAACTAAAAATTTCTAAAATAATAATTTCTAAAATAATAATTTCTAAAATAATAATTTCTAAAATAATAATTTCTAAAATAATAATTTATAAAGTAATAATTTATAAATAATTATAATATAATATAAGCTTATATATAAAACTTAATAATAAAGACTTAAATAAAATCATTTCTTTAAAATTAGAATTTTATTATAATATAAAAAAAGAATTATTTAAATTTCTTTCTTATTATTATTAATTTTATTATAAAATTTTATTATAATATAAGGAGAAAACTCCCTTAAACCCCTCTTTTATTATTATTTATTTTATTTTAAGATTTATTTATTTTAGGATTTATTTATTTTAAGATTTATTTATTTATTTAACTATATAAGTCTTTTAATAGAGTTTTTTTTAATTAAAATAAAATTCTTAATTTAAATCTTTTACTTTTAGAATTCTTAAATAAAATATTAAAATTAGATTTAGTAATTTCTATATTAGGCTTAATCTTAGCTTAATAAAATTAAATAGCTAATTAAGCTATATTAGCTCTTTATTAATTTAATTAAATAAATTATATTACTAGAAACCCTCGAAATTTTCGAAGAAAATAAATTATATTACAAGAAATCCTCGAAATTTTCGAAAAAAATAAAGTATATTATAACTAAATTACTTATAAGCTCTTAGCTAATTCTCTCTCTATATAGCTTATATCTTTTTCTCTTAAATTTCTCAGGCTTTAGAAAGTTCTCCCAAGGATTTATAGGATTATTATTAATCTCTATTAAATAGTAAATAATTATTAAGTTATTAAAATTAGTTAATTACCCTCCCTAATTATAAAGCTTCCTTATTACTTACCCTAGAATAGAAGAGAAATACTAATAGCCTTTATAGCAGAAAGAATACATACTATAGAGCCTAGAATCTAGGTCTATTTTAACTAAGTAATAGTAAAAGAGCTTAAGAAAAACCTTAGCTATCTAGTACTAATTAGTTAAAATCCTTAAAAATTCCGAGGAAATCTATTATACTCTTTCTAGTTAGGCCCGGATTAATTACTTAATTAAACTTATTAATTTTTCGAAAGAGAAACCCTTTTTTAATTCTTGCTATATACTACTAGTAAAGAAGAGTATAAACTAGATCTAGCTATAATTTTTCCCGGTTATAATATAAATAGAAGAGCTTAATTTCTAAATATTATATTAGTTATAGTAATTCCTCGAAAATTCCGAAATATTTAGAGCTAGTAACTTATTACTAGTTTAGTAAGTCTTGCGAAAGAGTAGACTAAGCTTAATTTTACCTGTTTTCCTAGTTATATTAATAACCTTAATATAATATATCTTAATTCTAAGAACCTTATTAAAGTAAAGTATATAAAGAAATATAAGAGTATATACTATATAAAGCATTACCTGCTACCGGTAACCTCCCTAGTTTATTAAGTTATTATTATTAAGGCTAATAATAAAGCCTTAATTCTTCTTTAGTATAGGGAACCTTATATTCGATTTATAAAGGCATTTAATAATATCTTTAGAAACTGCCTTAATACTTAAGGAAATCTCCCCTATATGAACCTATTTCTAGTTAATTAAATTGGCTCGAAAATTTCGAGAGAAATTACTTACTTTTTTCCTTTATAAGCTTACTATATATCTATTTACTTTATTTAGAAACTGCCTTAATACTTAAGGAGATCTCCCCTATATAAACCTATTTCTAGTTAATTAAATTGGCTCGAAAATTTCGAGAGAAATTACTTACTTTTTTCCTTTATAAGCTTATTATATATCTATTTACTTTATATACTAATAAAGGGTTTCTATTTCATTTATTCTTTCCCCGGTTCTTATACTTCTAGTACCCGCACCGAAAATCACGAGTAAAGCCCTAACTAAAAGCCGCTTTTATCTTTAAGGTATGAAAGTAAGAAGTATCTTTAGTATTTTCCTTAATCTCTTTATTATACTTCTCCCTAGTAGCTCGATTCTCGCACGCATTTATAATTCAATAAATAATATAATGCGGTATATAAGCCCTAATTTCAAAGTATTAATTATAGTACCGGCTACCTAGTACCTTAATATAGGCCTTAAAGCATTTCTAAAGCCTAAAGAAAATTCTTATTAATTTCGAAAATTTCAAGGAGTTATACTTATTAATTTACCTTTTATAGTTCTGAACTATTAATTTCACAAGCGCATCTTTAGTTAGTATTATAGCCGCCTTCTTATTTTACTTAAATAGCCTATTATTCTTATTCTCTTCTTTCTCCTTCTTTAATATTAAGAGTATATTAAGCTTTAGCTATTTCTGGGCCTCGTTAAGCTTATCCTATATATCCCTCTTTAAGTTAAAGTTATCCGGCTCTTACTTCTTTACTGCCTTTTATTTTTGGTTCCAGGCCTTAAAGATATTAACTTTATAATTAGTTATTGGAATCTTGAGACTAGTAAGCTACTTCCGCTTTATATTATTTCAGGATTACTTAATATAATAATTATTTACTATAAGCAGATTACGGTAATTTGCAGGAAGAGGAAGTGCCTAATTAGGCTAGTAGAAGTCTTATAAATTAGGCTATATAGAGAGAGAGCGGAACTGCTTTATATCTGCTATATTATAATTGCTTCGAAAATTTCGAGGGAAAAGGGGCTATTTATAAGGCGTGGTTTAGCTCGAAAATTTCGAAGAAAATAATAAAGTATAAATATCTATAAGTGAAATAATAAGAAGCGAGGGGTTATTATTTATTTATATACTAATTTAGTATAAAATAATAATCTAATTTCCTACTGCATTACTATATTAATAGTACTATCTTCTATACTTTATATTTCTCTGTCTCTATTTACTACTATTACTACTTATTATATCCTTAGTATCTTTTAATATATCTTCGCCCGCCTTTTTCTCTGCCTTTATTACCCTAAGCAAGTTGCCCTTAAAGCGGAAGGTCTCTACTTATATAAAGAAAAGCATTATATTATTCAAGAGGCAAAAGCTTAAAGGCAGGATTCCTGTATAAGGGGCCATATTTACAGAGACTAGTAAGGGCAAGAACCGGTATACTTCTGAGAGAAGTAAGATTACTTGCTAGGCTAATAAGTATATAGCCCTGGGCAAGTAAATACCTTTAGAATATGCCGCTTTCTAGAGAAGTAAAGATATAGAAATTTTCGAAATTTTCGAAAATTTCCTGCCCTTATATGCTTTGCAAATAGTATTGGCCCCTTGCACTTCTAGTAAAAGTCAGTCTGCTAGCAGGATAATTACTATTAGGTACGAGAACTATATTATTTTCTCCTTAAGCCCAAACTTTAAAGAAATACCTCAGGAGATTATTTAGTAAGCGGCACTTATAGCTAGAAATAAGATATTAGAGTCACTTATCTCTATTATAGAGGAGTATATAGCAAAAGCACCCTTTAATAGCCTATCTAGCCTACCGCAAAAGTTCAAAATTAATGACTTAAACCTGAAGTATACTATAGATAATATTCCTAAAGTTCCTACTATTACCTATACTATATAGAACTACTACCTGATTTCTTAAGACTAGAAGGCTTTAGTATACCTAGTAATTAGGGAAGTACCTATTTCCCTAAAATACTAGGCAGAGATCTATTAAAAGAAGCCTATAGCAGAGTACGAATACCGGCGGAATAAGTAGAGGCTCTAGAAAATAGGCTCTCTTAAATTTGCGAAATTTTCGAAATTTTCGAAGAATTTACTAACTTCTTTTTAGAATATTCTTATTACCTTCCGCCTAGCGGGCTCTAATTAGGATACTTTCTATAAGTAATATACGACTATTAGACTGCCTAATAGAAGCTCCCGTCCCAAAAGCAACTTTAATAAGATCTATATTAGTATTGCGGCTATACGGAAAGTAGAGGATATAGAGTATATTAGGCTTGCGAGGCAGAAGTATATTTAATAGAAGTTTAAGAAGCACTTTAGCTTCCGCAAGAATAGAAAGATAACTATAATAAAGGAAGTATAAGAGATTACTTGCCGGTATAGAAAATATAAGAGAATTGCTTCTATATAGAATAAGTACTTTAATTAGTATATATATACTTTTTTCCTCAAAAATTTCGAAAATCCCAATATAATATACTATAACTTTATAAACTATAAAGTAATTAAGAATTATATAAGAATAGCGGACTAATAGGAATTAAAGGAGCTAGAAGTGCCCTTAATAGAGGCAAAATCTTCGGGGATAAGGCCAGAATATAGCGTGGGGAATAGGAGAAAAGATGCGGTCCCAAGTGAGACCGCACCTTGGGACTATATTTTTTTCGATTTCCTACCCGTTTACGCCCTTTCCACCGCAATTTTGTATAGGCCCCACTACCGCAGAAAGGATATTTACAACAGGAAAATTACGGTCCCAAAATACGCTAAGGGAGCGGAGATAAGGTGGTTATTTACCTGGCCAAGGGGGGGGTTAATGGGCGCGTCTCGCTTAAAGTACTATATATGTAAATCCGATTTTTTTCTCGGCCGCCTACGGCGGCCAATCTTTAATAATATTAAGTATAAGCCGCGGGTCAAAATCACTATTGGCTTCTGCTCTTTCAGAATCTAAAGTTCTTTTATTTTTACGATTACTCCTGCTAAAGTTATGGCTGCGCAATAAGGGGGTAAGTTAGAGGGGTGCAGCGCCCGCTCCAGGGCTCGCTTAGCACCCTGAAGCCCCCGCCCTCGGGCTACTGTCCGCCAGTGCAATACGCGCGCGAAAGAACAGCACTTTTTGGCCGCCCCCACAGGCCGTTTTGACTAATTTTTGGTTCTAGAATCGTGAAACCGCATACGCGCTTTCAGAATCTCAAATTTTTAGGCCCGTACGATAATTTTTGGGGTGGGTGCGGGGCGCGGGGCGGGAGGAGTGATTGCGCGGGCGGCCGGTTTGGTGAGGGCGCAGGGGGTAGGGGGCTAGGGCGGGAAGGGGCTAGCGCGTGTAGGGGTGGGACCGTATTTTTTTGGGGGTTCAGGCTTAATTCATGAATAACTTGAATAACGCACGTGATCTATATACGTGATAGAGCTAGCCTAGTCAGGTAAGGCTCCGGGAGGGTACGCACCTAGCGCCACCTCGCTACCCAATCAGGTAGTAATGGCGTATGGTAAGCGAATCGAACCTTAGTAATTGTCGGTTCACCAGTAACGCATGGCACCGTCACGTAGGCGTGGAAGTGCTATTTGCGTAAGGTTGGTGAAGTTGTTATTGTTCAGAAGTAAGGATCGCAGTATCGTGGTGTTGATATGCGATCCCTAAATCTGCTAAGCCTAATGGGGACTAGCTACCGGTCGAGTCACCAATGGGACGCGAGGTCACATGATCATGTCCCGTATCCCATGTCCCATTGCCCATGTCCCGTGTCCCGTGTCCCGTGTCCCGTGACTACGCACGTGACTCCCAAAGGAACAGCTGTACCAACAGTAATACTTCTAGTTTATTATTATAGAAAATTAGTATTTAAGTACCCTTATATAAGTACTAGCTTAGCTTATATAAGGCTGCTTAATAGGTATCTTAGTTCCTTTTTAAAAAATTAAATATATATTAATTTATTGCAACCACGTGACTTATACGTGATTATTCATAGTTATTCATGGTTATTCATAAATAATTATTCTATTTTACTCAACTTATTTAAGCTACTCGTTACTCATATTTTATTCAAGTTATTCATGAATATTCATGAATAACTTGAATAACTTGAATAATCCTTTGATACACTGCCCAAAGATTGGCCCAAGGACATGGCACCAATCCCTTTATCATGGGAAGAGAGATGTATGCCACCCTTGACAGGTGATGTCTGAGCTTCTGTGGGAGAATTATTCGACTTTCTATGATTTCGAAGGATATGGATCATCTAGGAAGTTGTAGCAGCCTCATCTGTGAAAGTAGTGTGTGGCAAATAGACGATTGAGTGGAACGATCTCTACGGCGCCATAGAAACGGTAGACCGAGAGTTTCAGCTCTCCGACACGGAATTTTCGCTGCTTAAATCAAAATGGCAGCCCTTCCTTACTCTCGCAGGGCATCGGGAATGAGAAGCGAAACATATTCGTTGGTCACTCATATTGCTTCGTGAGACCTTCCGACATGTTGAGTCAACCCTTACACGAGACCGCTTCTTCGCACTATTGGGGTTTGCTTCAGAGGGAAACGATAAAGCTTTCGATCCTGGCTTGATTCCCACCGCTTGGTTGGTGAGTGTTATGTACACGGGATTATGGATGGTGAAGGGCTACACTTGAAAGACGTGGTGAAAAAGGATATCATACTTCATTGATGATCAAATTGTTATGTTTTCTGATGTACGGACTACTTGTCATACACAATCTGGTATAACCCAAGGGGATAAATACATGCTGAACTGACTGAATACGATTCTATATTTTACACTTGAGCTCTCCTGCTCCCGCAGTTCCGCTTCCGCTTTGTCTAATTCTTCGCACTCCAGCCTCTACCACCCGGACTGCTCAATTTCATCCATTTCTGCTGCAGTTTATTAAGGCCGGTGTGACGGAGACAGACAGAGATTGGAATTACTATCTTATTGCTTAATATTTTTATTTAAAAACTTATATTAATTTTTTTTTAATTATATTAAGATTATTATAAATAAAAACTAAACCTAAATTTATAAAGGAAATGAAAATAAATATTATAATATAATATAACTAGCTTAAAATAAAATAATTAAATAATTATAAATAACTATTATTACAGGCCAGGCCTTTATATAAAGAAGACTAGTAGTTCGATTAACTGAATACAATTCTCTAAGGAGAAAAGAAGGAGAAAAACGGGAGAAGCAGAACTGTGTTCTTTAAGGTGTCCGAGCTCTCTGAGTAACGCGTGGTTGCTCCGTTAACCCAAGGAGGCGCATCACATACAAAGGCCCTGGCCTTTGTTATGTGACCTGGCGCAGGCTTCCAGCCAAGCATATAAATCGGGTCTCGACCCGTTACAACTATTATTATAAAAAGAACTTTATAGGAAGTAAATTTAAATATAATAAATATTAAACTTACTTTTAATTATTTATAAAAAGCGCAAATATAATATTATTTAATTTATTATAATTTATTATAGATTCAAGAAATAATTTAAAGAATTTCTTTTCTAAAATTAAAGACTCTTTTTACTTTCTTTTACTTTTTTTTTCCTTAAGGAGAAAGAGATTTAAAAGGTCTCTTTTTAGAACTAAATATTTTTCCTATTTTCTTTTATTTTCTTTATTTTTAAAAAGGCTTTAAAAGCCTTTTTTTTAAGAATAAAAACTTTATTCTTTAAATTAAGCCTTTTTTTTTAATAAAATACTTTTTCTTGCACAGCTTTATTACTAGGAAGAGACTTCTAAGATTATAATATAATTTCTTAAAGTAAGAAAATCTGGCTTTGTATTTGCATCTGCCTATGCGGCCCCTTGTATTATTTTGAAGTGCTCCCAAGCCCATCCGTCCAGTCCGCCACCACGTGACCGGCTCACCCACTAGCCAAACTCGAGGCCCTAAACTTGCTCCCTTCCTAGGACGACGGCTTTATCATGCCTATTACGGTTTTCCACATAATGTCCATTAACAGGTCGTGTTCTATGTAGTTCCATTACGAATGGACTTGCACCAGTCTGCTTCGGGGCTGGGAATGCCGTATGCAATAACCAATGGATAGTTCCTGAGACAAGGAAGCCAAAAAAGTAGCTAAGATCATAGATATGGTCCCAACCGTTGCCGCCACTTACGCCTCGGACTCTGCGGATGAACCCAGCTATCGTCATATCAGTAAATGGAAAAGCGGGAGGCTGGTTAAAGGCGGAGAGTGGAGTCGCAGGATCACATACGTAGTAGCGGCCACACGCCCATCATCCATGCAACTATTGCTCGAAAATTAAACCCAAAAGTATACCAGTAAGCTGAAGTGCTGTTGCTGGTGTACATGTCTGCTTTGTGTAGCTGGCATTTTCGAACGAGGAAGTAATCGAAGATCAAGATTCCCGTCATTCCGGACAAAAAGATCGACCAGCCGGAGAGAACCGTGATGAACGTTGTGACGTTATTGACATAGTTCCAAGGACAGATTGCCACAGCAATAATGGTGAGGATGAAGCATCCACGACGAATGTTTATCCATCTCGGGCAGAGGGCCGCCATATCCATTCCCGTGGAAATGGCGTTCAGGACAATACATAGTGCCATCTGAGATGCAAGAAAGCAGAGACCTGAAAAGAAGGTCCCGGCTCGAGCTGCTGGAGTCATGGAAACAGATTGAATGTGTAAGAGGAGCTCAAATGGGTTCCAGAAGTATTGGCCATAGATTTGAGCAGTGGCGGAGGTGATGATGAGGCCACAGAGTGCTGTAACAATGATGGTCAAGGGGCAGGTAACTCCTTGACCGAAGAGAGACGCGTTCGGTGTCTTTGCGTAACGAGTCCAATCTACGTTCTGTGGTCAGCACGTAGATGGGGATCTCCAGAAACGGGAAGTACCTGATTGGCCGACAATACCTCCACTCCAGAGACCAAGGACTGCCTGGATGCCATATGAGACGTTCCAACTAAGTGTGCTTCCCGCCTCAGTTGAAGGCGAGTTGATGAGAGTTCCAGCGCCGTGGGCGGTATCTACTGACCAAATTAACATGCCGAAAATGTTGAAGACAATCATGACGAAAGCGATCTTCAGCGGCAGTTGAAGCTTCTCAGGCGGGATGAGCAACATTGGGCAGAAGAGCGCCAGAAATATGAAGAAGCTGACCAGACTGCAGGTATCGATATTCGCAGAAGTTGGGAGGGTGTTGCTCATGAACGCATACTTCGGTCCAATGATTGCTCCAAGGATGATTTTCACGGCTTGACCACCCCAATATGTTTGAATGCCCATCCTAACACTTATGTTAGCATTATAGCGACAGCTTTTCGCAGCTCATAATATCTCACCAGATACATGCAGTGACTATACGGTTCAGGACTGGCCAGTATCCACCGATCATGCCCCATGATCTAGAACCTGATCAGCACTTTTGAAAGCGTCACTCCGGCGGCAACCTACGCTCGTGACATGACAGTAAAGCCAAGGTAATCATGAGAGCCCACCCAACCGGCTACTACAGCGATCATAGATACAATCAATGAAGCTCCAACAATGACTCCCATCGACTGTCCTACACTGAGGCCGAGTGCCAGGAGTGTGGATCCAGCCGTCCATGCGGAATTATTCGCCCCTTTTCAAGAGAGTTAAAAATACGGTCATCAAAGCCCTACAAATCGAGTCCATACCCGTTATGATCCAATACCCAGCAAAACCTTGCCAAGTCCATGTTCTGCGGTCTTTCGGTATAGGAATCAAGTCTCGGTTACACCACTAGAGAAGAATTCGTCAGCTTGGGATTGTGCATAAGAGTCATCTTCGACCAACGTAAGTATTCTCATAGTCCGCATTCTCATCAACCGGGCATTCGAGTTTCGTTGCCCAGTATGCAACTCTCTCTTTTGTAGCTCGTAACGCCATTTTGAGTTCGTACGCCGCAGCCAGTACTTATTTCCGAGCGTCGACTTCAGGGAGTATCACTTCAAAAGTTTGGAACCTTCCTACCCCTCTTACTGATATCGGTCTCAAGAAACAAAAATAAACGGGTTGAGATAGTAAGGAACAAAGATAACAGCTCTACAGTCCGAGAACTCAGATGTGGAGCCCATTGTGGAAGCGGTCGTAGCCAGGATGAGCGGCCAAGGTCGACTCACCGCCATGTAAGTAAGCAAGAGATCGGCAATGTCAGACATAGATCGCGCTACTCAACGCTTAATCTCCCATTCGAACACTCCCACGAAAATTGATGCAATGCGACTCACATTAAATTCCGCCGAAACTTGAAACAGAGGGGGCTAGTTGGGGTAACACAGGGAGGCGGTATCTAGACGATAAAGTGGGGCCCGCATGGTCATCCTTGCCACCGAGCGACGATCGCCCAACTTCTTCGCAAATGAATAGCCAGTACGTATAACAAAGTCGGCCGATCTTGAGCTCGAGGATTTATCAGCTAACTGCTGGTCGAGAATAGTAAGATTGTGATATCAAATCCCGTCGAACGCGTGGTTCGTATATGACAAGCAGCACACCGCCTCAAGATTTCCGGTCATTGAAAAATCGTCATGAGTTGGATAGAGCAGGAGTAGGCACCTACCAGACTGCCTACCATCGACTTCGCGAGATGGGGTTCAGAAAGCATGGTTGAGCACCGCCTTGCTGTTGCGAAAGAGCTTGGCTTGTCACAACGTCGGATTCGCGTTCATCATCAATCACGGCGTCAGTCAGGAACTGCTGGAAGAAGCATTCGGATAGTCGAAACGAGTCTTTGATTTGAAGACGGAAGAGAAGATGCTAGTCCCTGACCCGGACGGACCTATTGTGCACCGTGGATATTCGTGGCCCTCGTTAGAGAAAGTATCTCAAGTGATTAGTGAGAATCTCGAGGTTGGAGAACAGTCGAGGTCGGTGACGGATTGCAAGGTACGACTCTTGCTAAGAATTATCGCACTTAAATGTGTACAGGAAAGCTACGAAATTGGCAGCCAAGAGAACGACGAGCAACCTAACATCTGACTCCCCGAAGAAGCCCTCCCCGGATTCCGCAAATTTATGACTGATTTCTACTGGCAGTGTTCGAGAACTTCTCACGAGATCCTGAAGGCAATTGGCAGAAGGACCGGGCCTCAAAGATCCTGAATTCTTACTGAAATTCCACTTAGGTCACAATAATCAACTTCGACTTCTATACTACCCTCCTATTCCAGCAGCTCAACTCGAGAATGAATCAAGCGCGAGGATGCCAGCACACTCGGATTTGTGATCCATCACTATGTTGTTCCAGGATGATTGTGGTGGGCTCGAGGTTGAGAATCAGCACGCTCCAGGACAGTTCATCAAGGTTATTCCGTTGAAGAATGCCATTGTGATGAACATTGGAGATCTTTTAATGAGATGAAGCAATGGTGAGTTGATTCCACTTGCCGCTTTCCTTCTGATGCTAAACTGCTGGCAGATTATCTGAAGTCCACACTTCGTCGCGTTACTCTGCTACCGGCTCCAGATTGGTACACTGGTGCTGATCGTATGACTCAAACAAAATACTCGATTCCATATTTCGTAAGCCCGGAGATCGATTCGAGAATTGAGTGCATATTGGAGTGTGCAAGTGAGAGCAATCCGGTTAAATACGAGCCGGTCGTGCAACCAGAGTACAGACTCATGCGAGCAAAGTTACAGTACCCAGAGAGGGTATCGCAGCCTATCACGGCATGCGTGTGGTCTGTTGAAAGGTGTCAAGCTTATAGGGCCTAAGGCAGCTAAGAGACTTGGGAGACTAGTAGATTTTGTACCTCTATTAGCGGGCTTCCCAGCCCCTGGTTAGAATCGAGTATCAAGGCTTTCAACCACCCCATTTGACATGACCATTCCTCCAAACTGTCTTGCGCCATTGCTTTCACGTATACAGCTTCAAGCATCTTTTATTCTAGCCGGCTGAGAGAGAGTCTGGATAAAGACCTGAGATCACGTGAACCCTTTAAGCGAGGAAAAAGGGGTGGAGTTGAGATATCAGATGTTTGAAATAACTTTCATCCGAAGGCTGATTCATACCCACATGCTAAGGGTTCATTTCACTTGCCCAAGAGTTGCCCTGCCCTTCTCGCTATCTGATCCCAAGATTCAATTGCTTGAAACGCTTCCGAGGGAAGGTGGCTGAGTAGTGTCTCAGGTGTCTGGGCTCGTCACGACTAAAATTATTCGCATCAACTTAGCGCTGAGCTTGAAAATGCGCCTAGTCAATTCTCTGTCAGTAGATTGATGACTTTTGCCTGTAGATGTATAGCAGTGTGATCTTTTGAGAGGTTTAGGGGATTTCTGGTGCGTTTTTCATCACGGCCCTCGGAATATTTCTTTCATATTTCCCATCGGGTGAAAAGGATTCTCCAATGACGAAGAGCGGGTGTCTATCGCTAGTTCAAACTTCTTTCGAAGTGCGGAATGTTCTGGGCTCGATTTCTTGCCCAGCAATTGCCCAGCCCATGAGCTTGCCCCGTGTTTCTTAGTGTTCTTGGCTGCAGCTGTCAAAAAAAGTGGACAACGGATCGAACAGCCTGAAAGATGGACACCGTAGCATTTTCGAAATTACCAGATATTGAACCAAAAGATACTTTACTTTAATCGTTCCCAAGTGTCGAGAGGAGGTTCATAGGTATTATAAAACTTTTCTTTGGCGATACTCGAGAAACGACAAGGTGGCGTTCATCGTTGGTGCAAGAGCGTGGCTTTCAATTTCCGCAAGTCCCTGCACTGTCTTGGCTTCTCAAATTGTGGCGTGTTTACAAGTTGGCTTCCTCTTGGCTTTGAGCCGATTGAGATTGAAGCTGACGACGCTGCGCATCGTGTGGCTGGAGCTTCTGCTTTGTGTTCGTACCCCAACTCCAACCGCAGCTCCGGCGACAGATGGCACACTTCGGAGCTGCTAAGAGCGTCCTTTCTCAGCATTTACCGGGGTCCAGACCCTAAAGGATCAGGAATCGTTTCCCCTGGACCTTCTTCCAAGGAATCCGGAGTTAGAGCAAGGGGTTTAGAAACTAAATGGCGGAGTCCCCAAGAGCTTTTTCACTTGGTATTGCTTCGAGTTTCAAGCGCACCGTCGGGAAGATGAACAAGAGAAGCGGTCTAAATGGGAGTCCATTTGTGGGTTTATCTAGTTGACCTTTCCTCCATCTTTATCTTCTGCCCTCATTCTGCAGTACTCTCTCTTTTGCACCTTCAATTTGTCCCTTCCTATTTGTTTCTCGGCGCCGGCGCTCCCTGAATTTTTATTAATATTTTCACTGATCCTCTCAATCCGCATTTCCCTTTTCCTCGTCATCTTTACTCTCTCAAGAGGGAAGCCGTTTTATAAAATATGAGGACCTCGACATCATTAGCTGTTCTGCTTCTCCTCAACCCTTTCACTGACATTGCTTCTGCTTCATGCGGCCACGGTACCAGCCTCCTCAAACGCACAGTCACAGTCAGCAAGCGGGCTGAGGGTGGTGAAGTTGTCAAGAAGGTGGAAGTGGGGAAATTTGGGTATATCGCGACCCAGGGCCCGTATATCGCACTTTTGCAGCTAGCAGTTCGTCGCTAACAATCGCAAGAACAAATTGGGCTGCACTCACTCCCGAAAATATACAATGCGCTACTAGCAAGAAACAATCTCCAATCGATATTACCAATGTCACAACTACACTCGTTCAGCCCGGTGCTTTGGCATTGACATTCCCTCCGATCCAAGCTACCGAATTCGAAAACATTGGGACAACAATCGAGGTAGTGATGGAAGGAAAGGGAGCAAGCACCGTTGTAGATGGCAAAACGTAACGCCGCTGAGATCGCTGTGTCGAATATTACTTACTACCAGCAGCTTTGACCTCAAACAGTTTCATTTCCACTCTCCAAGCGAGCATACAGTCGATGGAGAATACTTTCCCTTGGAGATGCACTTGGTTCATGAAGCAACAGGTGAATCATTCATCCTTCCCTCCCTAGCACACGGTGAAATACTCACAGCATCAGATGGACAAATAGCCGTCATCGCCGCACAATTCCAACTGACCGAGAACGGCGAGACGACATCCCTCCTCACCTCGGTCACTGAAAAGATCGCCGCCATCTCTTCCCCTGGCTCAGTAACCGAGACCGGGGCTCTCGACTTCGCACCTCTCGTGGATGTAATCTCTAAGCAGGCCCTTCACACCTACGAAGGCTCACTCACCACACCTCCATGTGCTGAAGGTCTCAAGTTCTTCGTCACATCCCAACAACTACCCCTCGATGTCGCAACTTTCAACAAAATCAAAGCAGTCGTCGGTTTCAACGCACGCTTTACACAAAACAACGTTGGGGCGGAGAACCTTCTTGCACTCTCATCGCAGACCACGATTGCAAACGTCGCAGCTGAACCTGTCAAGGAAGTTGAGGGCAGCGCGGGAAGGAATGACAGCGGAGTCATTCGAGTTCCCGTGCCTGGTGCAACCTCATCAGCTACAGTTGTCACTGCTCCAAATGTTCGTCTTTCCATTTCAATCCGAGACGCAGTTACTGATGTGTTTCTCCTCTTTAGAAAGCTTCCGATGGCAACGCCATTGTTCCCGGCTCCGCTGAACAAGCACACGAGATTATCAAGAGCTTGACGGGCATTGATTTAGGGGCTCTGGGTACATTGAGACTGTAGAAATTCTGGGTTCGAGAGATGTCAATGCAGCGAACCTGTGAGGGATCATCTTAAGAGCATAGAAAACGCAGAATGGCTCCCTTTGTCAAAGACCGCAATCAAAACAGATAGTTCTCCTTCGCTTTATCACACGAATATTTTTGATAGTCGAAGCCAAGGCGTAATGGTCACTTTTCAGCTAACCTAATACCTTTAACAGCCCCATGAAAGAATGATTCGGTTCTCAAAAGTGATGGCCGAACCAACCCAATAGTGGCCCAGTCTGAGATCTTCACCATTTCGCGCAGGGCGCCTTGATGCTTCTGGAGTAGATCGTACGCCTTTGCAACTTGTTCTTCAGTAGATCCACAGAAGAATAAGTAAATGACGAAATTAGTTGAGATGATCAAGTTTGTCCGGCTGTCTGTCACTCTATCAGCATCAACTTCGAACCGTAGTATGATACTTACGGCGAGGCCAGAAATTGCGTAAGGTAGTAGAGCTGAGTTGAGCCATCAAGTTCACGAAGGACTCGCCTTCCACAAGAGCACTGGGATAATGATAGCAAAGACATGAAGTTGAATTTGACTTTAACTCAGGAGTTTCTGGGGCCATCAGAGCGCGGAGACTGAGGAGTTTGACAGCAAAGAACGCTAGTTGGAGTGGGCCTGGAGTTTGTCAGTAAGATCTTGGAGGAAGAGAAAAACGTTCATACCGTTCATATTGACAGTGTTCCCATCCGAGTGATGTGAAGTTGCCAGACTGTATGGCAATGACGAGTGAAGTTAATCTACGTCGAGTTTAGACTGCTACACCTTTGCTTCTCTTGTTGCTGTGTTTACTTTCTGGATCGTGTTACGGTAGCATTGAAGTGTACTATACAATATCTTGTGAGCAACTTGTCGCACTGAGGAGTATGTATAACTTATTACCCATCTTCTAGTACTTTTCCTAGAATTTTTGCCAATTTGATAACCTCCAGAAATCTAAGTGAGCTATCGCCATCGAATTTTCTGTCGTGTTCTTCGAGGAGATTTTCGCTCGGTAGCCCAGCAGCATCTCCATCAGAAGCCAAGTCTCCCATGTCGGCAATGTCCACAGAGTGGGATCCTGAACAAGTCCTAAACTTGAAGCACAAGCCGTGGCTTGACATGCATAAACGCATATCCTTGGGCTTTCCGTTGTTAGGCTTCCATCGGGTTGCTCGTGGAGAACTAATCGACAGGCTTGCAAGGTTGAAAGTTTAGGGAAATCGAGGTCTCGGTTCAGAGCGGCATGTGTATGTTCGAACAGTTTAGCTTGCCTCGGAGCTGGCAAATCTTTCAGGGAAGGATCCTGAGACCAATATACACATGCAAGTCCATACATTGCGCCTCGGAGGGATGCTGGAATGCTGAGCTTATCCGTGACATAGCTCATGAGTATCCCGGCCTTCGAGAGAATGGGGAATATAGATGCACGAATCGAAAGTATAGTCTGAGTAAAGCTTCACCATATTTCCCCACGAGAGCTTCAATGGTGCCGGATGCCAGTCTCTTTACTCTTTGGTCGCGTTCCGGGAATATATCGTGAAGGATAGAGAAGTGTATTGGAGGTGTTCCGGAAACTGGATCGCCAGCATACACTTGGCGGATGTTGAAGTCTATGAACTTGGTCTCGTTGAGTACGTTGTAGCGGATAGATGGCAAAAGGTTAGTGTCCTGCTCCCCAGAAGCCCTACAAAATGGGCGGTGAGGTTCTTCCTATTCTCGAGAGAATTTTTGTTTCGAGCTTTAATTTGGATCGGCAGGCCAAGCTGCCGGTTTTCTTTAATGATGCCCGATTGAGTAGCTCTTGAATATACTAGCGACGGTTTCTCGGTTTCAGAAGTAAGCTGTTGAAGTGACAAGTACTGGCGAGTGGTTTGTGGGGATGTGAGACTAGCTGTCGAAGCTGGTGATTCCGAGCTGGGGTCATCTGAATCCTGACCGAGCGGCCTCGGAGGAACAGGAAACCTGATGGCCTGTGGAGATACTTTATCGAAGGGTTCATGCGACGCATTTCGGTTCAGAGAAGTTGAAGTATCTACCGGCTTCCCGGTCTCATTCAATGGGCGTGTATTTAGCCGATGTCGAGGCTTCGGGGCGGACGTGAAGGTGCATTCCACCCCTCTGATCTCACAAAACCTACCTGTAATACAAAGTCAGATTGTAGTTTCGACCAAGTGGGTGATACTTATAAGGAGGTTTGACTGCAATCACGCATGGCGACTTTCGATTTTGGCATGCGTCACAAGGCCGGTCTTTCCGGCTTCCAGACTCCCTCGAGCTTCCATTGCGAGTTTCCAGCTTGATCTGGTGGCGGCCTTTTGCGTCAGATATTCTCTGGCCGATCGATCAAGACTTCGAAAATTAACAATGATGCTGTGAGAGGGGACGTTCACGAGTTGGCAGATCAGACCGAAGATGGGATGTGGGGTTGGTCGTAGGGACTATCTGTCTCGGCGAGTTGAGTGGATCTCAGGCAAAGAATCGCCACTCCTTTTTTGCCTACTTTGACCTCCGATTAAGAACTGAAATGCCGCTCCTCAACCCAAGACCGAGTGCTCTTTTCTCAAGTTAGGGTTCATCCGAAAACAGCTGTCCAGCTTGGATTTCCCGTTCTCTATGAAGAGCCAAGCCAGGATAGACGCTGTATCGGTAAGGTTAAAAAAAAATGGGTGAGCTGCTAAGGTAGATTCTGAGTGCGCCCTTCACACCACAAACTCTACTACAAGGCTGAGACATAACATAATGCTAGCAACCAAGGTGATCAAGGTCCATAGTTCTGTCTGCATGTCACAGGCGAGGCTGTGGTAGCTTTCATCAAAAGTTAGCAGGAGCGCAGAGTACAACGGCGGTTTGCTCACGTGGTTGACCAGCTCCCGGGGCCTCCATGATCGATCAAGCCTCTCCTGATAGTAAGAGGCTTTGGTAAGGGAAATGGAGGTGTTGTTTTTGGGAGATGAGAGGGGAGGGTTGTGCTGCATGAAAAAGCAACTCCATGTTTGTAGCTGCTCCGCCTCGTTCATGGCGCGAACTAGCCTGCGTTTGGGATTTTGTTCGACCGGGCTGAGAGAAAGGAACAACTTTCTCTGGTCTCTTATTGTCAGCCCTTCCCTATCGCAAGGCAGTATTGATATTTTCCCACAGTATCTCAATCAGTCACCAGTCACTTAGTCAAACGAGAATCTGCAGGGTGTTAGAAGTGATCGACACTTCGAGGGCTGTCTTGAGATCACAACCTATTCTCAACGATTGGGCTAAAGCCTATAATCCAGTGCCTAGCTTATCAGAGTCGTCGAAATCTTCCCCAAATACACTGTCCAGAAGTCGGGGACCTGGTGGTTGGCCTTGAAAATGTCCTCGATCCTCATGTCCACCCCCGGAGAAACGATTTGCGAGAACTGCTCGGACTTAGATTTGCGTGGTATCTTTGCAGGCAACTTCGAGATGGAAGACAGATTCATTTCCCGGAAGAGTGGTACTTCTGTGAGATGGGCTTGGAAGCAGACGAAAGATTGCCAATTTTGCAACTTCATCGAGAAATGCAGCGTTTATCGTACGGTTGTGTACGACCCTCCAGAGCTTGATGCCCAACTCGAGCCGAGATGGTTGAAGCGCGAGCATTCTAGGTGGTTCGAACTCGGAAGGGAGGAGCGGATTTTTCGACTGGTCTTTGATACATCTCCATCAGAAGAATCTTGGTTGGATCATTCGCGGCCCTCAACTTCTCCCCCACACTCACTCATTGGTTGCACGATGTCAGACTGGCATCATAGCGAAGTGGGTAGAAGTTGCCCAATTCGGTTGATTCCACGGCTGATAGAATCCTTCGATGTTCTTAGGAAGAGAATTGAAACCTGTCAAGAGAGCCATTCGTGCATGCAGCACGCTGGGGGCCAAGAGCCACCCAAATCGATTCCGAATCTGTTGCTCATTGACTGCATAACTTGTCGGGTAGTTGCTGCGCCAGACCACTGTTGGTATCTTGCACTGAGCTACGTGTGGGGAAATCAGAAGGCGAGGGCTGTACATACTGGAGAGAAATTGTCGTCTCTGCCTCAGACCATCGAGGATGCCATTACCGTCACTTTAAAACTTGGCTTTCAGTATTTGTGGGTCGACATGTATTGCATCAAGCAAGACAATCAAAATCATGTCGGAGATCAAATCAGACATATGGATCTTGTCTACCGAAGAGCGCGAGCCACGATCATCGCAGCAGCCGGTGAAGAGCCCGACTTTGGACTTCCTGGTGTGAGCTCTGTGCGATAGACCCGACAAGCCTGTGCCACGGTTAACGGAGTCTCTGTGGCAAACTTCACACACGATCCTTGGGAACCTGTGGACTCCTCGGCCTGGAACTCTCGCGCCTGGACCTTTCAAGAAAGCCTGTTCTCTCTGCGCCGAATATTTTTCACTACAGAGCAAACGATTTACAGCTGCGCATCCGGATGGAACTGCGAGGGCATCGAGCCTACTCAAACATTAACTCTTCAGGGCGCAAATCGAAATCTAAATTCGATGGTACGACATGCGCCTCCTACCTTCAGCGACCATTATTCCAATAGTATGATTTATATTCTGATCAGACAGTACAGTCGTCGTCAGCTTACCTTCTCCATGGATATCTTGAATGCTTTTTCTGGGGTTTTGCATGCTTACGAGAATCTTACTTCCCCTGTTAGACATTTTTGGGGCATTCCCATAATTCCACATGAGCGTTCTGTACTGGAGAGCTTCAACATGGGCTTGTCCTGGGAATTTTCCGACACTGCAACATTTTCCCATCAGACCAGTCTTCCCAGGCGAGAGACCTTCCCCAGTTGGTCTTGGACGGGATGGGAGCACCCAGTTTTATACAAGAATGAGCACATTACTCGCAAGGAATACTTGCCCCCACCTGAGCTTAAGATTGCTATCAGGATTACTGATGGGCCGCATATGCTGTGGCTAGAACTTGAGCATGCCACCATGAAGGGTCAACACCATCTTTCCGAGACAAAATATCTCCGGCTCGAAGCTTGGACTACCCAAGTCGCGCTTCATTGTCCTGCAGAAGAAACATCCACCCCTTTCAAACGGGCGCATTGGTCCAGAAGGAAATAGTTATAAGTTCCATGCACAAATTCCAATTTCCCAGAACAGCGCAGAACTGGAACCAATGGAGAAATACGATGATACATACTTGTGCACTGGTATCCTCTTAGGTGGGTTCCGGTTCAAAGAATGGTCCCTCGAGATTGAGAATCCGTTATTACTTGTCGCGAAGCGAGGTGATTTATGGGAGCGAATCGGTATAACATATCTCAGAGAGGTGGCTGAGGTCTATCCACTAGGTAGAGCCAGCGTCGAGATTCGTACCAATTCAGGACACGGGATACGTTAGAGGAGTGGATGAAAGAGCATCTTCAACTTAATAGACAAGTCATATATCTGGGATGAGAATTTACCATAGAGGAGAAATAATGACTCCACTTGAAAAGGACACTTGAGGGATGCCTTCGGTGATAGAATGACATTACATATATTGAGCACCAAGGTAAGTGATACTTTGACCAGAACAACAACCACCAAAGGACATCGGTTACAGCAATATCCAAGATCTCTTTCAGCAGAAGCGTTCGAAAGTACAACGGGGACATTTTCGGTTTGCGTTGCCTCCTTGTCCTGCTCGACCTACGCGGCTATCGGGATATCATTCTGACTTGGAGCAGGCATTGGTTTTGGGGCTATGAGAGGAAAGAAATAACTGAGGCATGGCTGGTTCTCGTTTCCAGGAGGAAGTCAGGGTTGTCCAGGAGTGTTCGGGGGTGGTGACGGAGGCGTGGAATTTTGTGCTTGTTGGTTGCCAGTCGCTGGCGATAGGCCCAGTCTGAACTGAAAATTATTATCAATACGGGTTGGCCGTGATGGTGAAGCCAAGAGGACACGCTGTGTCGATATAGCTGCTGCGAAGGAGGCACAACTTGGTGGTATTCCATGGAGGCTTGAGGAGCGATTGCGGGATAGGGAGCGAGTTGTGATGGAGGTTTCGAAGGGGATTATGGTGCTTCCGGAACAGACATAGTAGTTGATTCGATGGCAGAAATGATTGCAGGTGGTACCTGTACCGATGGACGATGCCCGCGTTATTGAATGCCCTCCGCAGTATTGATGATTCAGGTGAATTGTCCTCGCTGCTTCCTCCTGTGCTTCAAGACTCCCGGATCTCTAAGGAAAATGTCAATGCCTCCGCCACGTTTCTTCGGATTCTCCAGGCTCGAGTTGTGTTTGATGGTTGCTTGGGTTTTCGTGGCACCACGAACTTGCATCGGCAAGAGGAGGGTCATCTCTTCGAATGGGGGGCACTACAAACAACAAACTCTTGTCAGCAAGGTTCCGGACACTCTAAGCTTCATCAACTTACTGCTGGCGGCAGTGCAGCTCTCGGTTGGAGCAAAATTTGAGTTGTCATTCTGTGTTTACAGAGCTTGGCGAGACACGTAACCTTACATCGCGTCAAGGGAAGCGGGGTTTCACCGAGTCATCTGCCAACCCTACTCGTAAACCGCTCTGGGCTCTCAACCTTCGTCCTTCTTTCAACGACAACTTTGTCGATATCCAGCGCTCAAGAGGCGAACAACGTCTGCTCGCTACTTCGATCAACTCGGCTGCTCGTAAAAGCCTTCTTCGATGCGCAACTTGTCTGCCAATTCTTGACGCAGCTCGCTGGTGGACGAGGACGACCATCTCTCGGGTCAAGATGCGTCCGGAGACCATGGACGGTCGCATGCCATGCACGCAAGAAGGACAATGGAGTTGTCGACTTGGAGATTCGCAGGGAGCTTCTAGATTTCAGGGCCAGTAACAAATGTGACGGGCCCTGGAACAAGTCTCGGACGATGATCGCGGTCTTGGCGATTGATCTATTTGCCCGAGAACAAGCCTCGAAATCAAGCCTCGAAATCAAGCCCGAAATCAAGCCCGAAATCAAGCCCGAAATCAAGCCCGAAATCAAGCCTCGAAATTGGTCTTCGAGTCGAATCAAGGCCAACATCGCCAAGTAGAATTGTACATTGATCAAGAAGCTGATACGTTTGATGTGCCGATCCGCTGATGGACAAGTGCCGTCCTGTCCAAGGAGGCAGTCACGAGTTTCGTCACTCCTCTGATGGCTGAGTCCTCCAACTCCCACTCCGTGAGTGGACCATTTTCTGCAGATATGGTGTAGTGAATCATTCGAGTAATTTTTCCTCGTGGGTTCAAGGGAATGTCAACATATAGGATCGCCAGTTCACACTCTTGCACGCTCTCCCGAGCTCACAGCATAGACAAGCAGGAGCGGTGCACCATTCCTCTAGGCTGAATGGCAGGCGCTCCTAAGGCTCGTCCATACTGGGTGATGCCTTGCACAGTGTTGAGAAAATATTCATTCTCCCTCTCTTCCTCTTCACGCAGCACAAGTGTCCGTTCTAACCACAAAGCTTTCGACATCGAGGTGGAAATGGCTCGTTCTCTCATTACTTCTGATCCCGACGCTCGACCCGAACACTTCCGAAATCTATTTGAGGAATGTCTCTTTGTGTTTATGGTTATGATGGCCACAGCTTCCACAACATTCCTTCAAGGCGTCGTCGTTATCAACACCGCTACGATTGCAAGGGACTTGATCATGACTCCAGCCCAGGTCACCTGGATATCTGCAGCCATTGGGTATGGTTCAAAGCCGTGACTTCAATTCAATTCGAATTACTGACATGCTGCAGTCTTGCGAGTGGCTCTTTCATGCTATTCTTCGGCAAGACCGCCGACCTTATTGGCCGCAAACTCCAACTTCTCGCTGGCATGGCATTCCTCAGTGTTACATCCCTCGCAACGGCTTTTGTTTCTAGTCCAATCGGTTTGAATGTACTCTGCGGCTTTCTCGGTCTTGGCACGGCAGTCATCTCACCCCCAGCCGTTGGAACCTTGTTCGCTACATACCCAGAAGGTCAAAGACGGAACAAGGCAACGGGAGCCCTTGGCTGCGGAAATCCTATCGGCTTCATATTAGGAAGTGTCTCGTCGGGGATTGTCACCAAATACTTCTCCTGGAGAGCTTCGTTCATCGTCGTCGCCATTTTCTTCGCGATCATAACTGTGTCTTCGTTCTGGACAATGCCTCCAACCCCGAGAGCTGGCTCGCTGTGTTCAGAGGCAAAGCAATTCGATTATCTAGGAACAGTCCTCACCATCCTTGGTTTTGCTCTCGTATCGGCGGCACTGACGTTCGTATCTCTTCTTTTTCCTTGTTCCTGCACTAACATCGTCCCAGAGAAGCCCCAGAACTCGGCTGGCAATCCCTCCAAGTTGTTATGATGTTCTTGTTTGGTTTCATCTGCCTGGTCGGCTTCGCGACCTGGGAGAATTACTATCCATTTCCACTTCTGAATCCAGTGGTGTGGAAGAATAAAACATACACTCTTTGCGTGTTGTGTGTCTTCTTCGGATACATGTCGTTCATTACCAATCTATTTTGGATCTCGCTGTACATGCAAGATGTACAACACTTGTCTCCTCTTCATATTGCTGTGCAACTACTCCCACAGGCCTTCGTTGGTTTCATTTGGAGTTATATTGGCCAAGCACTGGTATCGAAAATACCTGGAAAGATAATCATGGGAATTGGCGCCATGGCTTATTTAGTTGGAGCAGCTCTTCAGATCTTCGTGAGGCAGGACACGAGTTACTGGATGATTTTATTTCCATCGCTGTGCATCACCGTCATCGGGGCAGATTTCCAGTTCATCGTATCGAACGTATGTCTCCCTTCGCATACAATTCCCATCAACTGACGATCTTAGCTCTATATCTCAAAACAAATGCCTACGCAATCATCCCTCGCTGCTGGCGTTCTCCAGACGGTAATGCGCGTTTCTATATCAATTGGCCTGGCCATCTCGGCCGCAGTCTATGGAAGCGTCGCACAAACGCCGAAAGGGAGAGAAGACGTGAACCTGCCATTTGAACGCGCATATCTCTGCTCGCTCATGTTCGCCGTCGTCGGACTACTGTTTGTCCCTTTCATGAAAATCGAAAGGCAAGGAACGAAGTATCAACCACCTTCATTTACGGGCACAAAAATAGTTGATGAGGACCGCCCTCGAACTGGAGGAGAGTATTCTGATCGTCTAAGCACTGAATCGCATCGCCGCATCATCAGCAACAAACCCAGTCAAACCAGTCTGTGGAGTTCTGCAACGGCGGGAAGTGTGGATTCTTTCTTTCCGAGGTGGAGTTGGGAGCCCGAGATAGCGTGGCCGGACGACAGGTATCAACACAGAAACGCGAACGTTGTGTACGAGGTCTGTATCAAGTGTTTGGATGAGAGAGTGGTTGTAGTACAACCTCATCCTGTTGATGCTGGACATCGACCTGAAACCCTGGATCTGAACCCGTATCGATGCATTGAGGAGAGTTCTTATCGTGATCCGAACGGTCCGGCAGTCGACGAAAACCCATGCAACTTGGAGGGGTATTATGTCGGACGGGACGCCGGGATCAGCCGCTTCAGCAGCACCGAAACACTGCTCGCAAACACGTATGCCAATTCACGACCGTCTTCCAGCAGGCCCCCATCACGAGCTCCATCACGAAGAGGGCTCTCAAGCGGAGATGCAACAACCATCAGATACGGAATCATGAGCAGCAACTTCAGCAGCGCCGAAACTCTGCATCCACATACACATGAACCGATGCTCCACAGAACGCCTTCACGAAGGGAAACCACGCCTTTCAGCAGCAATCCACCACTCAGTTCTTTCCCTGCTCCTCCCCAGAGATCGAGTACGTCGCTCATTTTGAATGAGGACGTGAGGATGTCAGGTGCGAGATTGGACGGGTCGGAGACAGGGAGTGTTGATTCAAGGGACCCAATGTATAGAGTTTCGAGAGGAGGCAGGGGGTGGGTCTGAGGTGCGTTTCATGGCGTTGGTTTCGTTCACATGTTGTCCTGCCGCTCCCTGGGGCTAGTATATAGGGAAAAGCCGGATTCTCTAGATCGAGAAGTCAGGCGTGTTTGTATGGAAGAGGATGAAACGTGGCAGGTAGGCGCGGATTTTTGGGAACTTTTGGGAGTAGAATGCCTTTATTTATCCATCGAAGTGTGGATTTCACGGTACGCTACTAGGCAGACATTGGAGGGATTGGAAGGGAGCTTGGAACATTTCTCGGGCTTTAAATGGGGTGTGGCGTTGCTAGATTGAGGTTGATTCTGAGGAGAATTGCAAAAAATAGCTATAATTTGGTAATAATGGGTAACAGCGGTGAGTTCAATGTGGGGATTATGAACGAGATTGATGGCTTGTTGATGTCCTTCTTTGAGAGTCTGTGATTACCTCGAGTGAGTCTTCATTCTCTCCAAACAGAAAACTTAATAGCTCTCCCATCTGGCCCATGAGTCTCATTTATGGATCTCCGCTCAACTTCAAACATCTCAACCTCAACCCTCCACTTCGACCCTGTCGCCTCCCCAATCTCCACCCACATCTTCCTAAAACTCTCCTCATTATGTCGAAACATACTCTGCGCTTCATTCGTCCTATGCACCTTCTCCCCAGCAATCACATTCCCCACCTGTCTCCCAAGCACCACACTCCCCTTCCTCGCCCTCAAAGTCTCTATAATTCTTTTACAAACCTTCACTTGCTGCTCATAATCAAACAGATGCAGAAAACTCCCAGCGTACAAGATATCAATCCTGCCTTCTAGATCCTTTAATGGAGACGAGGGGTCGAAGACGTCTGCTGCGATGAAGGTGGATTGTAGGGTGGAAGAGTCACGGAAGAGTTTGTAGCCTAGGGCGAAGAACTCTGGGCGCAGGTCGGCGCCGTAGAGATGAGAGGAGGGCGCGCCGTCGTAAACTAGACGCCGGATTTCTTGACCGAAACAACAGCCTAGGTCGAGGAAGTTCTCGTTTCCGGTCTTGAGGCGCTGGAGGATGGTGGGGTAGGAGCGGGAGAGGGAGATGGCTCTGCGTAATGTTAATTTGAGGTCTGGAAGTTGCAAAGTGGTATTTTATAATGGCTTTAGACGTACAAGTCGAGAAATCGAAAGCCGCCAATACAAGGGTAGGGAAAGGCTTTCCAGGCTTCGTCTCTCTATCACCACGTTAGCTGGCACATTTTTGAAGGTGATTTCGCTTAACGAATCTCACAATCTTGTACACATGATCCTCGACCTCGGCGGCTGGAACCTTGCTATAGTTCTCCAGTAACTCTCGTGCTGATTCTCCCAGCTTCTTTCCAATTTCTGGATCGTACCAGGGTACATCTTTCTCTCGTGCCTCGATCTTTGCTAGTACATTGGGGATGTCGGTGAGAGCCATCATGTATCGAAATCGCCTAGACGTGGATTTTCTAAGATTGTGGTGAAGACGAGGTTATCCGGAGAGGGATTTGCATTTAAAAATTGCAGGGCATGTGCCCATATTTATAGACGGCATTGCGTGATATCTGCGGTGCCGAAAAGCCGTTTCCGCCCCGACATGTTTTGTTTTCGGCAGAGAGAAACAATCCAGAGACGGATGGATACTTCCTTTAGTCCATACCTTCTGCTATCAACGACACTCAACAGTGTTCTTAGCTATTACAGGAGCAAACATAAAAGTATTATAATTAGATACAAGCCCAGGCAATTATCTTTCTCCCGAGCTAGTAAGTGTACCCTTTTAGACAATCTGCATCTAAAACCTCATCTACATTGACTTGAGCAGGAATAAATTCCAGCAGCTCTCACCACTCACTTGTATTTGAAATTCTAGTTCATTTCATTTAGGATTTGTTCAAACCCACAGTACTAAAGTTAGAGAAGAAGTAGCTTAGCCGTTGTTAACAGAAAGCATACCTACAGCTTCTGTTCATCGTAATCCCACAAAGAATAAACCCTCTGCCGAAACTGCCGAGCGCAGAGTAAACGGCATTTGACCCTTGATAAGACCGATATCAAGTCTCTTTCATCCATGTTCTCTGGAACAAAAAATGCCCGCTTCATATCACAGAACGCCCTGGCTCCAGCACAATTCTAAATCCCGTTCCTCTGGCTACGAAGTATAGTGAGCCCAATCTCGAGAAGGTACGGAATGAATCAGGGTCAGCCCTATAGCCTCCGTTTGCAAAATTCTCTATATGTCTTCCGAGATCCCCACCATTTCGCAAAGGAATTGTCCAGTTGCTCTTGCAGCTCTCTCTAAATGGGCCCAGGATCGATAAGCAAGATTTCGGCAACTTTGACTTTAGGATGATAGTCTAGGCGTAAGACCGAGCCTATTCCTGTAACATTTGCTGCTGAGAAAACACGACTCACCGAGTCAGGCATGCCGCAATATTTAGTCCCACCCTTGTCGACTTAAGGCGTTCACAAAAGGTGCGCAAATCCTCCTCTAGTTATAGCTTATCGGCCATGGCGAGGGCGAGCCTAAAGCAGCTAATGTGAAACGAGAACAATATATCGACTGTCCAAGACAGCATCAGCATGATTTGTGGGCGAGAGCTGATAATATTTGAATCCCACTCGGCAGCCTTGCGCTCAACCTACTCGGAGTGATAATTTGCTACCCTGTTGCGCGGTGAGGTTATTTATAATCTCCAATGGAAACCCCTGCAATTGCCAACTAATCACCCACACAAAAGATCAACAAAAACAAAAGCAGTAAGATGAATATATCCATTCAACACTTCGCTAGCTAGCTATCAATCCAAGCTGCGTACCCGAACCGATCAATCAAGTCCTGGATCCCATCTAATAAAACAAAAGAAATCCAACGGTATATAGATAGATATGTGCACATGGGTATCATACTCATACAGCACCATTATTCAAGATCCCAAACACCATCCATGCTATCTCTTCCTTGTTCTTTTCCCCATTTCCACCACCTTCTCACCGCACTCGCGTTGCTCGTCTTCCTCGTTTCCGGCTTCCTCATTGCGGCGACTCACTCCCCGACCCACTCGCACTCCCAAAATAACTCTGATCAACCCTCCAAATCCACTCCACCTTCTCCCTCTCACTCCTCGCCTTAAAAAGCCACGTGTTATCCGTTCCATAAACAGCAAAGACCGTCTCCTCATCCCGTTCCCCTGCCCTGCCCCTTTGTCCCCCACCGCTTGGTGGTGTCCCATTCGCACTTCTTTGCAGAAGTCGTGCGATCTCCGGCCGGGAGTCGACTCGCGAGTTCCGCAGACTAACAACGCCAACTTCTTCCCCATCAGGCACAGAATGCACATACAGATACGGCCGTCGCAACTCCACGAACCGCCTCACCCATCGTGTTGAATCCACAGATGGCGTTAATAGATATCCGCCTTTGAGGATAGTGGGGTTCTTTGGGATGAGCGAGAGGGACGCGAGGAGCGAGGGTCGAGAGGGGATGGGGGCGGAGGTGGATGGTGCAACGGAGGGGGGTTCCGTGTTTGAGGGCGTGAGGATGCGGTTTATGGGGTCAGGGAGGAGGGTCCACAACTGTAAATACTTCTCCAGCAATTGCTTATCGCGGTCTGGAATCGTTTTTTCGGAGGTTTCTTCTTCTGGGGGGGTAGAAGTTCCGTTCCTAACTGGAGCGGAAGCTCCGGAAGGTATAGGGAATTGGATTCTGTTTAGGAGAGGTTGAGCTGCTTCAATCTCCGCGAGTCGATGTTTCCGCCGCTTCGCAGCAATATGATCTCGAATTAGGCTTACACCCCGCGGACTCCAATTTGTAAGACCCTCCTCGCCTTTCACATAGTCATTCTGCGTGTTCATTCGCCACAGATCACCTGCTCTTTTCACAGGCGTCGGTCTCACTGAGATCGAGAATACTCCGCTCGTAGAGTGCACGATTCTTAGGCTCTGCCACAGCGAAGCAAACATCGATGTAGAGCGGACGTACGAGCGAGACAGGATCTGGGAGAAGAGGTGGATAGAGAAGGTTACTGGCGAGGCAAGTTTAGGCGAGCTGACATCCCAGAGGAGTGACATCTGTATCTTGTACTTGTCGGCTGTGACACGGTCGAGGAGGAGGGAGGCGTGCGCTGAAGAGTCCCATTGCCCGACCACGGTTATGTTTGTTGTGCCGTTGGCGTTCTGCTTCACGGCGGGCTTAGAGACCAGCTTCATGGCGATCTCAGGGGTTGGGGACCCGAGATCAGGGGTCTTACCAACGTGGTCAACGAGTTGAATTCGCCCTACTCGAAGACCGGAGACGTCTTGCCAGGGAAGAGCTTCACCGGAGCTGTGAGTCATGTCGACAACGATTCGACGTTGCAGACCTTGATGAAGCTGGTATGATCCCTTGTCCAAATCGGTGGTCTGGATGACTTCTACAGGAAGATAGTCTCCGTTCTCAGCGAGCTCGAGAATCTGTACCCTTGCAAAGACATCATGCTTCTCTTCCATATAGAACTGAGATTCCGAGATCCGCGCATTCTTGCGCTTTTGAGGTCGAGGCATGCTGTCTCGCATATCGTCCCAGCTGAGCAGCTTGTCTAGGTGCATCGAGGAGACTTTGGCGAAGATGGCAACTCGAAGTGAGACATCGGTAGGCCCGAACATTGGAACACTCATGCTGTGAACACTCTCAAATCGAATCGGTCCCTCATCGAAGTCTTTGATCATCTGCGTTGTCGTGATCCCGCCTTCTTCTGAGATGCCTGGAATGAAGAGCTGAGCGTGGACTTCAGTTCCCTCTCGCTCGGCAAAGCCAACCAACTCGTGCACGACGACGTTGAATTTCAGTGTACTCGAAGGCGCTCTTGCCGATGAAGGCTCCAAAGACAGTTTGATCATACCAATAGCGTGGGATGTATACGGTGACAAGGCATCAAAGCTGAAGTCTTGGACTCTGCTTTCGAAAACAGCGGCCAAGGGCACATCAACGTCGCCGACATGAGTATACTGCGGCATGCAAGTCTCCATAAAAGGATTGTCGAGGCGGAAATGCTGCAAGTATTCCGGACGATCCATGTACTGATGCATCTGCCTCATAAGCCTGACACGATCTTGTAGCTTCTCCAAGCTCCACAGATGGACAACACTGTTCCGGTAATCGATAACTCGAACGCCGACACAGGGTTTCTTGGCATCCTCGAGGAAGAGATCGTCGCCTTCGCCTGAGATGCCATTCAAGACCATATCGTATGATGAGCATATATCATGCCCAATATCGACGATGGCAAATTGGAAGACGACGCTCTCATCCATCTCTTGGCTCATGACCTGGGCTTCTTTCAGGGGTGCAGCGTATTGCAAGATAGCTTCTGCCATCCTGACATAATTTCGACCTCGCCAGTGCTCGACGACTTTCGATGCAATAGCAATCTCCTGCTCGGTAAGCGGTATTGGACCATCAGAAGAGCCCGTCCTCGGCGCCATCTGCTGCAGTTTTTCCTCAAATTCTTTTCTCTGCGCATCCAGTTGCCTCATCATCTCCGCCTTGACCTCCCTCAAGCTCTCCTCCATCCTCGCCTTCTCCTTCTTGATCTCCTCGACCTCAACATTGGCGGCTTCAGCAGACTTGAGTTGATCCTGATACTCCTCCTTCTGCTTGTCAAGCTGAACTTGCATCTCCTCCCTCACCTCCCTCATCTTGTCCTCCACCTCGCCCTGCTTCGGCGTACTTGGCATCGTTAGCGCCGTATCCAACGAAAAGTTATCCAAGGTCCCATTCGACATATACTTCTCTCGAACGGGATAACTCGTATTTGAATCCAAATCATCATCGACATTCTGGCCCGCTCGCTCTGCTCTTGCTCGTTGCACATCCTCGAACAGGATATTGAGCTCCTCATCTGTAAGGCCGGCGATCTTCTGGTCTGTGCCGAGTATAGCGCCAGCTGCTTCTCGTCGCGCGAACGACCAGTCGGAGTCCCTGCCTCGCTGGAATGGCATCGGTGATTCGGGGCGGCTGCCTTCCCATTCTGCTTCTGATACTGCTTTGCTGAATGTTCGCTCGTGGCCGGGTCGGGGACTCGGCGAGGGTGAGACTTTTTCGAAATCTCCCATTTGGCTGGCGATGATGGAGTGTCGGAGGGAACTTTGCTCGGCTCGTTCTGCTCGCGCTTCCATGGGGTGGTTGAAGCGGAAGATGTGGAAGTCTCCGAGGATTACTCGATAGCCACTTCGTAAGCGTTTTGGTTCCATAATTCGCTTTCCGTTGACCATTACTGCTGCACCTTCTTTCGGCACAAGAGTGACGATGTTGTCGACGTTTTCGAATGTGCAGTGCTCGTGAAGGATTCTGCTACCGTTTAGTCGGATCTCTGCCATGTGAGCGTGGTCACCGTCGACGTTGCCAACAGTCGTTGTCCCTGGCTTGAGGTTGTAGACCAAACATTCAGCCAGTAAAGGGTCATCTGATAAGTTCACCAAATGCGGCATCTTCTTCGGCGTATGCAAGCCCACGAATCCCTTCTCAATGCTGATTCCGAGTTCCTCCAAAGCTGCTTCTCGCTCCTTGTGAATCTCTTCCGTCTTGGCCAATTTCTGCTCCCAGGTTTGGTTGAGGTCCGTGTACAGCTTTTCGCTCTGGCTAAGTTGCTCTGCAATTTCTGCCTTTGAAACTTTCTTGATCGTGCCGTCCGGCTGCACAATACTGACCATCTGTTGGGACAGTGGTGTGCCTTCAGCATACACCTCTTCAGTAGTACCACCACCTCCACTGAGCTTACTCCTCAGAGACGCCAGCTCTTCCTTCAGCTCCCTGATCATCCGAGCGTTCGCATCCTCGTTAACCACAGCATGATTCTTGATCCTCTTCGCACTGTCCGCATATCGCAGTGTACTAAGGGTCTCGTCAAAATTGATATCCGCCGGGCTGATAGCAGCAATCATAGCCGTCATGCTGTTTCCACCCAACGAGTCCTTCAGCAGCCAAGTCAACACACTGTCTCGATACGGCACCTGACCTGCCCCTTTCCCAGTCTTCTTCTTCTTCCCATCCGACAGATCCGCCAACGCAGCAATGACTCTCCCCAGCGTCGACAGCGAGCGATTAATCTCCGCGCCTTCCTTCAACCTGGCCCCAGTGGCACCCGTGCTCGTCGCTCTTTCCGAGCCCGCAAGATCCACAAGTGAAATCTTGGCCACCTTCTCCATCGCCATGTTGGTTTCGACATCATGTCTTTTCTGGGTAAGGGTAAGAGTAAACACCGCATGACTCCTCGAACTCGTCTCATTCATATTCGTGGCCGCCACCGTCCTGGCCTTATTCCCCTCATCCATCAGGTGCTCAATCTCATTGAAGCTGCTCACCACCAATTTGGCCAGATCCTCGACATACGGCCCTGTCGAAGGATGTTCGCGCACTTTGAGATTCCCTTTCGTGCTCGGATTCAGCAGATCCCTAACTCGCTCGTTGTAAATTTCCAGATACGAGACTTCGACCGTACACCGCAAATGCTTATCCTCCTGCAGCGCCGTAATCCTTTCGAACATATCCTGGCAAATCTTAGGGATGACACCCGCTTCGGATCCATACCCCATCATCGAGTACGATTTTCCGGACCCCGTTTGCCCGTACGCAAAAATACAGTTATTGTACCCCTGGAATGCATTATCGAGCAAAGGCTTTCCCAGGTCATGGTGAAGGTTGTCTTGCCCCGCATAATGAGGGTCGGAACGGTCGAACGACCAGTACGATTTGTCGAACGCGAAGACCTTCTGTCCTACATCTTTGGCGCCGCCTTTCCCGGAGCGCATGCGCTCTTCTGCTTCTGGAGGCGGGACCAAGATCGTCTGCGCATCTTTCATCTGCACGATACATTTTGCTCCGCGGTCAAGTTCTGCACTTATTTAGCAGGTGCCTTGAGGCTGGGAGGGATGGGGAGGGAGGAGACACACCTCTGCCATTGAAAGGCCGCACTCGCACCACCACCTTGATGTTCCCTCCACCTGCCGGTGCCATCTTTGCGTGTATGTGATTCACGCTGCCCACCAGCAGTTATCCCCAGGCCAGGCTACACCCCTTCCTCAAGGCTCTCAATCCCAAACCAGTATTCCGTATCCAAATATCGACTCGAGCGGTGTGCAGGGTCGCAATTTCGTAGCCGAATCATCGAGTCCCCACCCCCTTTCATTCAGTCATAAAGATCGTGCCAGGTGTCGTTCGTTGTACGTGCCCGGTCCAGGCGAGAAGAAAAATGCTGAGTGTACCGATCCTCCCAATTTACCTGATCGGGAGCCCTCCACTTCCCCCTGTCCGCACTTTTCTATCAAAGATTCGTTGACGTCGTGAGCAAGATGTATGTGTAGAGCGGAATAGGGGGTGGAAAGTGGTCGTGAAGGAGGGGTGCTCGGTGGGTTGTTTGCTTCGTTGAAATTCCGTCGCGTCGCTCTTCGCGTCCAGGTCAACATTTCGAGATTCTTCCGAGTTGCTCATCAAAGTACACACCCCTGTAATCATGCGGCAGTAGCCCGGGCGGCGCCATTTGGGGTGGCTCATTTGGGTGGCTGCATCAAACGATGGGAGAGGTGCATCAGTGAGCCGAGGAGTGGAAATATCATGTGATGTGATGTGGCTGAAGCCACTTTCAGAGTTGTGGTTACGCAATACTGTGCAGTCATCGAGCTGGGCAGCATCGCTCTCTAAGCAAGGGACAATATTCATGAACCGTGTGAGGTATTTGTTGTTTTTGTATATTTTAAAAGGGTGACATTTAGTAATCTCTAAGGACTTCGAACTTAAAAAGCTAAAAGGGGTACCGGTAGCCTCTGTTACCTAGGTGAAGGCCCATCGGCTCTAGATCCGGGAGAAAACACGCAGCATATCACAAGCAAGAGGAAGGAGAGAGAAGATCTACCAGCGTCTATGTGGAGACAAGGGAGATTTGAGGAGGCAATCCTAGTATCAGGTTGATTGAAACATGAAACCCCTTTCCACTAACAGTGAATGGCAGAACGAAGAGAAGGGAAAGGTTGCACTTGTAGAACTGCAATGTGCGAGAAAGAAATCTCTTTCACGTAAGCCTCAGCGTGGACAAGAAGAAAGGAGGAGACGAAGCTGTCATTGGTTGGTGTCGAATTGTAGCCAAAGACACAGTGTGGAACAAAGATCAAGGATGGCCGGAGGGTGATTCATTTAGATGTGAAATTCACCTCAACCCGGAAATCGGGAAAGCCTTGGTGTTCTGGGTCCGATTTCGGGCATTTTTGTGCGATCTGCAACAAAACCATTGCGGTAGGAGTGAACGAAAAGAACGAGGGCAACTTTTAGGCAATGATATGAAAGAGCGAAACTAGAGTAAGCTTGGCAGTAGCGTAGGATCCCTCGCTCTTTGGCCACATCACAAAACCGTATGGTTAATAGCATGCTCGAAGAAATTGTCTGCCAATTCCTATAGTCTGGCAATGCCCCCCTTGTTGATCGTTCTTGGGTTAATGCCCACGGTAACCCAACCTTGTAACAAATCGACAGCCGGGAAGTTTGAAGGCACTACACAGGGCTAATTGATATTGAAGAGCAGTCGTTATCATTCCGAGTCCACAACGTGGATAAACTAAGAGCCAAAATCCTCGGGCGCCAACTTGAGCGGATCTACTAGAGAAGCTCTGACATGTCTTTACCAAATGATCTGCTTGATGATACCTTGTGGAGAGCTGGCGAAATCGAACGGAGTCGTGTTGTTCGAGACACATTGAGGAGTCCCTTGTCTAAAGATCTTTATGGGGAAGGGCATCTTCGCGCCATTGCGGAATTTTAAATTGAGCGAGGAGAGCTGCGGCTAGCTGCCGTGGGCTAGATCATCAGATGAACCGGCTGCCGATTGTAGCATGATCTTAGCATTGACCGTTGATTCGAGGCCTCCCCCTGCATCGATCTTAGAGGGAGTACTCGGTGTTTTTGTGGATCAGTAAAATCAGCGACTGACGCGGATGGGAAACTGTTTGTCGTCTTCCTGTTCTTGGATGTGTGGTACTCCAAATGGCGGAAGTGGTTGTCTGCAGTGACCGAATAGCTGCGGAACATGGTTGGAGCCATCGAGTTGTAGGGGTCTGGTGGTTCATAGCTAAAGGTAGCAATGCCAAAAGTCGGCAGCGCAGAGGGCCTTCGTCCGAACAGTTCTGCAAGACGCGATCCAGTCCTGAATCATCACACTTGTATTGCGAAGTTGCTCAATCGTAGTTCCGCAGGGAATAATCTTCGGAGAAGGGACGTCTTCGAACGACTTGAGGGGTTGATTTGCACAATTTGACCGGAGGGCACACTCTGCCGTCGGTGTGAGAAGAGTAAGGCTATGGGCTGAACAAAATAAGAGGGGCGCTTGAATTCGACGAAAATCACCATTCGATTGCTAGCACAGGTTTTCACGTTATGCTTGCTCGAAGAAAGACTATTCGCAGTCAAGCACTCTCTCTCGGCCATCACCGGGACGGGATCTTTGCTTCAATCTTGGTCTGAGCTGCAATAGATTCGAGAAGTTTCGTTTATTTCGTGAAGGCACTGATGAACGACTTCAACGCAAAATCGGCAGGTGCAATGAGCCTGTTTATGTCTTCGGCAGAAAGATGTTTGGTGCAAGGACATGGCCCCAATGCGAAACTAATTCAGGCACAACAAATTAGCGTCAAGATGCAGTTTCAATGGTAAGATTAAAGGTTAGTCTCCTTTGTAGAGGGCGTGCTCCACCTCGTGAATTCTGCCTTGCTTCAGGCAATGTACAACTTGATCAAGTGTGCGGGCGAAGCTGGACCGCGTTGTTTGGTGCTCCAGGCTGGGGCGGGACGAGCCTTTCTGGCCGTGAAACGAGGATGGGTAGCTGTGTTGTCATTGCTGCGGAGAAGGATAGGAGAAGTGTCTCTAAGATTCGAGGAAGCAGAAGCGATGGGCGAGGAAGTTGGAGAGCATATTTGATTGAAATGATGACATGTCGTAACTGCTACAATCGAGAATGCATTCTTCGGATCCAACACTTCACTCGACGAGGGTTGAAGAGCGTTCGGTGAAGAGGGGTGATATCGATCCTTTAACCGGCACGATCGGACTCGGAGTCGGCAGTTGCCTCGATAGTAGAGGTATCAGGAATCTTGGTATCGATGACATGCCTTACTTTGTAATCTTGACAGCAAGATATTTATCGAAGTTCTGAGTTCGCGGTCGTCGATGCCGTACGATCGAAGAAGAGTGCAAACTGGGAAATAGAAGGAGTTGGACTCGGGCAAATGTCCAAAGGCACAATACCTTGGAAGACAAGATATATCGGTCCTTGGAGAAAGATGCGTGCCATCAGATAAAGGAAGTTCCGTATTTGCTTAGATCAGACAGAGGAGGGGAAACGGCCGGAAAAGTCCCGGACACGTGAGCCGAAATCTCCTGAAGCGGAGGCTAGGCGATGCTATCATATGAGCGCAACGATGACCGCCATTGCCATTCTAGCAGTTACTTCTAGTAGAAAACATGATATGCTAATAACCAGACATCCCCTTAATGGAAATTGGAACGATCTATTACCGTGTAACTGCGTGATATGTCCTCGACACATCTGATAGGCCCTGTTCGAACAACCAGTCCCTGGCCCCACACGCAGGTGAGTGCAGCGAATGGACGCTCGTTGGTCAACCACAGGAAGTTGTACATCTGGAAGTATCTCGTGAATGGCCCAGCGAAAGATTATCCTGCTATTCCCATAGAGGTGACAGGCGTTGGCCGGAGGCGGAAGGCTGCCGGACCGTCATGCTCCCAACATCGAATGTGTCCACCCCCACAGCCCATCTGCGGTCAGCCGCATCGAGTCCCAGTCCAAAATTTCGAGATATCGACCACGAAACCGTGGAATCCGACCGCGAGGCAATGATCAAGCCACGACACAGGCCGGGTCGATCCTGAAGCAGCACCATGGTTCTGCTTATTGATCTCCAGCTTTGAAGCTCACTATCGAAAATTGAAGTGGTCCTTCACTGCCGTGTTATGGTTGAATCTGGGCCCAAGCAACACTGGCGGGATGTAGGGGCGAGCTTTCAGCCTGCGAGAGACCGCGGTTGTGTTGACGGCGCTGCAAGATGAAGTTCCACAGGTATCAAACAAGATCCTCGTCGATACCGAACTCTCAGGGCGATGGAAATTGAGACTTGTATGCGGTGCTATGTGACACCTCCTACTGCCGGCGTGCCGTGCGCTGGCTGATGTTGACGCGGGATGGGAGGGCTGATCCGAGGGCTGCTGGAGGGCTGCTGGAGGCTCACGGGTGCAGGACGAACTATCAAAGGCCCGATATACTCCAAGCCTGAAAAGGGGCGTGAAAAGGGCCACGGGAGGCCATGGGGGCCACAAGGGCATGTCCAGCAGCCTGCAGTTACGCTGGCCTGGACCTTCGGGCCTGCTGAAACGGCGTCCATCGAGCTTCTCGGGCTTCGACCATTCGATTTGGCACCTTTCCTGTTCCTATTCCTATTCCTCGCGACTGGCGACTCGAACCGCCCGGAACACCCGTGGCAAAGGCAGCAGATCCAGCATGTCGAGGCCTGCGCCGGCCGGGGCGTTGGTGGCAGCTGGGGGCATCCAGTAGGAGCGCTGCCTTTTTGTGCCCCCTCGGCTCCTCAGTGGGCAGACACTGTACGAAGTACAGATATATTGCTGACCACTGACCAGCGTGCCAGCCTGCCCGTCATTCGCACCGGCACCGTTAGCTGGCCGCCCCTGGTGCAGGCACTGCGATTCGTCTGGTGGTCGGTGGTCTCTGCCCTGCCGGACCGTGAAGTATTGAAGTGGCCCTCCAGGCTCCCGCACGTCAAGCAGGCTGGCAACAGGCTAGAACTACGTCCTCCGTACAGCACTTCAGAGTCCTTGCTCGTTGCGTTGCTGTCCATACCCCACTGCGCCACGATGTTGACTGGACTGGCCCGCAGCCCCCTGTCCACCAGGTCCTCTCGACCGCTCCCCTTCCCACCCCCCCTCTGCCGCCCCTCCCACCCAGCCAAGATCGGTATCGGTGACGGCCTGATGGGGTCGCTAAATCAATCGGCGCGCTAGCTTGGCCACACAAAGCAGACCCAGAGCCGAACTTTTTTATGATCAAGAACTTTCTTCCCCTTCGATCCAAGATTCTGCACCCTCCTCTTCGCACCAACAACCCTCTTCCCAGAACCGCCGACTCGTGCCGGTTCAATCTTCTTATTCGATCTCTTTAGCAGTACGCCTGTGCAGTGCCTCTTTCGATCTCTACCCCAAGAAAAACGAGTACGTGGCGCGGCGCGGCACCTTCACCGTCCCTCTTTTGACCCCACCATCACCTCACCTTCACCAACAAAATCCTCCACACCCTCTTTCCCACTCGCATTTTGCATCTGCGAGTTCAAGCTAACATCCGCCCCCTCTGCAGAAACACTCCCTCAACCAAAAGCATGGATTCTTACGGTGCTGCTCCCCAAGGCCGCGGCTGCTACAACTGTGAGTGAGCTCGCGCTCTCGCCTTCGTTCCTCAACGCAATCCCTCACTTCGAAGCTCTTGCAAGGAGGGCATCCTCTCCGGTCGCGCTCTATTGAGCCTCACACGACAGTTTGCGGAATTTGGAAGTATTCCAAGGCAATCTACATGCTACCAAATTATCTGGCCAATGGCTGGCCTCCGTTGGCAAGCCTGAAGCAGAACTTGGCGAACCATGCAGAGTGGGCAGACGGGGACGATATCAATCCGCGACGCCAGTTATCCATATTGTCATCCATTAAGAGAGGGGGAAACCACGAGACCTGAACTGAGCTGACTGTTGGAACCTAGGTGGCGATGCTTCTCACCAAGTACGACCAATACCGAGCTCGATTCACTCAATCTTCTCATGCTGACTTGAACTGCAGGCTCGCGATTGCCCAACTCGTGGCCCGTCCAAGTGGTAAGTTTTTCTAAGCCCTCTTTCCCATTTCTCTGCTAACTCATCTTAGCTATAACTGTGGTGGTGAGTCGTCAATCGTCCAATATAGCAAAGCGCACGAGACTGATATCAGTACCAAATTATAGGCGAAGGACACATGAGTATGTTTTGACCCCCACCCCCCTATCCTGCATTAGTGTTGACAAATTCAAGGCCGTGAATGCCCCGAGGGTCCCAAGGACAAGACTTGCTACAAGTGCGGCCAACCCGGTCACATCTCGCGTGACTGCACCAACCCAGCTAGCGAGGGTGCGGGCCGTGGTGGTGGTGGTGGTGGTGGATTCTCTTCCGGTGGTGGCGGTGGAAGCCAAGAGTGCTACAAGGTCCGGCATTTTGCCTTGAAACTTCCTGGATACCTCTGACTTGCCCCTCAGTGCTCAAAGATCGGCCACATTGCTCGTAACTGCCCCGAGGCTGGTGGATACGGAGGCCAAGGCGGTGGATTTGGCGGCGGTCAAGGATACGGTGGTGGCGGTGGTGGATACGGCGGACGTCAAGGTGGTCAGACTTGCTACTCCTGTGGAGGATACGGTCACATGTCTCGTAAGTCACGACTTCGGGTTCGCTTCAACGTTTCTGACAAAATCAGGTGACTGCACCCAGGGCCAGAAGTGCTACAACTGTGGTGAAGTTGGTCATCTCTCACGAGACTGCCCCTCCGAGACCAGCAGCGAGCGCACTTGCTACAAGTGCAAGCAACCCGGCCACGTTCAGGCTCAATGCCCGAACTAAGCTCTTGCTTTCACAATATTTACAATGAGGACCGACGGATTTTCGATACGAGCGCGAACGAATGATTCTACACTTCCGAGAAAGACGCCATGCATGCAATACGTTACGTTTCACGATTGAACGGTATACAAACATACCCCGGGCATTTGGAAAGGGTGGCTTGCAGACACAACTTCTGTTGATTTGAGGATTTGGGGATGGAAAAAAGCTTTCACCAGACAAAAAAGACATACGGCCGGCCTTCTTTGTATAATTGTACCTTGCCCTGCACTTTGTTCCCCCTTGATTTTCACCGCCCCACAAAAAAGCATCCTGCTCCCCTGGAGTTTGGCTGCGTTGCGTTTGCGTTTCGTTTCCTTGTTTTCCTTTACTCTGGTGCGCTCCTGGCTATTCTAGACGGCTGGACTGGTTGGCTCTGGGCACCGTTTCTTCTCTCTTGAACAACATCACAAAAGCATCTTGTCATTCATCATTTTGCTTTTGATCTTTCTGCGAGAAAGAAACGGAGGATTCTTTACACGAATTGACGGAGAAGTTACGAGGATGATTGCTGCCTTTCTCTCCACGGATAGAAAGGCATCAGATTCATGCGGCTACGACGGACGAATGAATGGACACATCTTGATTCGATGGATGCGATGATCTCAGGCATAGCAGACAGAGTTCCAGGAGAATAAATGAATGACTTTGAACCTAGAATCCTCTGCTCTTAACCAAATCTTTTTTGCTGCTGATGCTGTGGAAATCTCCTCGACATTTTCGTGCCCGGGACAGGCGGGGCAGGCCAATCACCAGCCTCGATAGCGCCCTATGGAAGCCCAGCATCTCAAGAATATGTTTCCTGCCACTCCATTTATCGACTTTGCTCGTGCTCGCTCCTGCTTGGACTCCCGGGTGATCTATGACCCCCACATATGGGGCTTTGACTATTCGGGAAGGAGAGTGAAAGCAGGTATTTACACACACTCTCTGTTGCCTCTCCTCCCTGACTAACCTTTCTTGGAACAGAGGCTCGTTCAAGTCTACAACTTTTGCTCTTCTATCCGCAATCATCTAGCCGTAACAGGAAGTAATTAGCATAACGCTATTAGCCGAAAACAGCATTTTACAAGGCGCATCTATAGTCAATCACGTTTCAAAGAAAATAACATAATATTGTTTTCTATATATCTTGATTGCCTCTTCTAAAGTTGGATATGCGATTTCCTCCACGGGCAGGGCGGGTTCGCGGGAACGGAAATATAGTAATTGCGTAGTCACTTGCCCCACCTTAGCAGGAACCAGACAACATTCTCCTTTCCTCGCTAAGGCTAGTAGATTTCTACTGGTCTTACAGATACCCCTTTAAACTTGTAGACCTTTCGTAAAACTAGTAGAAATCTACTAGCATTGGAAGGTCGTACCGAAACCCTTTTCCTTTTTCTAAATATATCCAAGACTAGTAGAAATCTACTAGCCATACCGACCGCCTTTCCTTCTTTCTAAAATTATCCAAGACGGGTAGAAATCTACAGTATTCGGTATCAGGTTGGACTTATAAAACTCAACCTAATGCCGAACACTGGAAATCTACTAGTCATACCAAAACCGCCTAAATTTTTAGAAGCGATTGCAATAAATACCAGTAGAATTCTACTAGCATTATGCCATTATGTGCATTTGCGCATCACTACAAATAAAATTCTTAGGAACCAGGGGCCGCATAAGCAGGTGCAAATGCAAAGAGTAAAAGCCCTCGGGTAATAGAGCTATGTAAGAGAAAGTATTCTTTTAAAAGAGGACTTAATTTGAAGATCAAAGTGTTTATTCTTGGGAAAGTCCCCCAAAGGGCCCCCCCCCCCCCCCCCCCCCCCCCCAAAAATCCCCCCTAGTCCACTAAGAGTTTTTATTGAACTGGGATCGATTTATCGGTGGAAAATCGATATATTGGAGATTGACAATCTGTAGAATGACTAGTTTTGACTAGATACAGGAGAGTGATTCCATAAAAAACAGAGGGAATGGGTTCCCTAGCTATATTCCTGATTTCCACCCCACCATGTGATTTACCCCGCACTTACTTGGTGGTGGGAACGATTTACCAATCTGATTCCTGTACGTACGTTTAAGGAACGTAATCGAATGGCGATACTAATAAACGATTGGTGTGTTCGTACGTAAGTAATACCCAATAATCGGACGAACTGAATTAGTGGTTAAACCTGGAGTGGAAGGAAAGGATGCTAGCCAAGCTAGCTAGTTCAATACGCCTCCTCCTTACAGTCGAGGTTTGACGTCAGTGAGGCTAATAATACCTAGCTTTGAACGTAGCAGTTCAAAAGCAGGTCTAGCCAATGGTTTGGTGAGAATATCGGCCGTCATTTCCTGTATAGGAACATGCTTGAGCTCAATATCCTTGGTGTTAATGTGGTCCCTAATAAAATGATGTCTGATATCAATATGCTTGGTTTTCTGAGAAAATCGTGCGTTCGTAGCTAAATCAAGAGCTCCCTGAGCGTCCGTTTTTAGCTCGATTGGTCCCATAGGAATCGATATTTCTTCAAACAGTTGCTTTAGCCATAGGGCTTCTTTAACTACCGGAGTAAGGGCGATATACTCCGCTTCCACAGTAGCAGTTACTACAGTTTTCTATTTAGTACTGGCCTAGCTAATTGCTCCACCAAATAGGGTAAAAACCATACCGGAGGTTGATTTACGGTCCTGTAAATCGCCTCCATAATCGGCATCTGAGTACCTAATGAGTCCTTCTTCAGATAAAGCGTCATATAGAATGCCCATATCAAGCAATCCCTTGATATATCGCATTATACGCTTCTGTACAGAGCTATGGGAGGCTTTAGGACAGGAATTGGAACGTCCCAAATACCCAGCGGCATAGCAAAAATCGGGTCTTGACGCTAGGGATGGCCACATAAGTGATCCCGTGCGACTCTGATATTCTGTAATATTAATATCTTCCCCTTTTGGAACCGTAGCTTGAGCTATTAGTATGGAAATAGGGGTGGAACCTTCCATTTAATACCTTTGGAGCATATCCATAAGATATCGGTTTTGGTACAGGAACACAGAACCGTCCTGAAAACGAACGATTTCCATGCCTAGGAGCGTTTTGATTTCTCCCAAATCAGTCATATCGAATTTCTGATGGAGTTGCTCCTTGATTTTATTGATTTGAGCCATGCTTTTACTAACGATAATCATATCGTCTACATAAATAGCAATCAGAAGAGGTAGCTGATTAACCTCGTGCTCTTGGAATATATATAGGGCTGGATCACAAAGTAATCTCAGGAAACCAATGGTACGGAAAAAACCATCGATTACCTGATTCCAAACCCTAGGGGCTTGTTTTAACCCGTAAATGCTCTTTCGTAGGCGGCAAATCAGGTTGGTACCTTTAATAAAACCAGGAGGTTGTTCCATATAGCACTCCTCTTCCAATTCCCCATAGAGAAAGGCTGTTTGGACATCCATTTGCTGAATATAGAGCCCATATTTAGCCGCTAAGGCTAACATAATACGTATAGTAGAAAGCCTAGCTACTGGAGCAAAGGTTTCAAAGTAATCTATACCATATTATTAGGTATAGCCTTGTGCTACTAGCCTTGATTTGTAGCACCCGTTGGCCTTGATTTTGAATAACCAGCGACACCCGATGGTTTTTTGGTGTTTTCTGATTACTAGATCCCACGTATGATTACGTATATGGGATCATAGCTCCTTCCTAATAGAAGGTTTCCAAAGATGGGCGTCAGGACCGGTAAAAGCTTCATTAATTAACGTTGGAATTTTGGAAGCTTCGGTATTCTGGTTAATAACTAGCAAAGCACGAGGATCAGGCTGTTCTCCGGCAATTCTAGTCGATTTCGGACGTCTAGGGATCAATTTACCCCTGACTAGAACCATTTCGGGAGGTATAGGCGCCTCCTAAATCATAGAACCTGAATTAGAACCACTTGCAGGCGGTTCTGGTTCTTGGTTATTATTCCCCAATAGGGGTTCAGGAGCTTCGCTTGGACTAGAAGCACCCTCAATTTGGTTACGTAACGCGCTTTGAGCAGTATCCCCTTTAATATCGGAGTGATTTTCTCGATCGTCTTCTAATGGAATATCAAGCTATTGATTTCCAGTATCGACAATAATGGTATCTCCATAAATTATATCGGGGTCGTACGTATTATCGCTAGAAGTATCGTCATAATCTTCAGTAGTACTAACCAGTCTTCTGTATAGCTGGGACGCTGGATTCAGGAGACACACTCCCTTAACGTATTCTTTAATGGTACAATGGTTGGAAATGACGAATATCTGCTTGTACGGGTTCCAAATACGATATCCGGAACCACTATAGCCAGTGAAAATGCCCCTAAAGGCCTTGGCCATATGCTTGTGCCATGAGGCTATTTCCTTGGGGATATAGACGTACGCCAAGGAACCGAATATCCGTAGGTTAGAAACGTCCGGTTTAACTCCATAGAACGCTTCGTATGAAGTCATACCGATTTTGGGCAGGTAGCATTAATTATAGGCATAAATCCCATGTGTAGCTGCTTCCTCCCAAAACTCGTACGGTAAGCCTAATTATTCTAGCTCCGTACGCTCCGCTTCGATAATCGTACGCATACTGCGTTCAGAAACACTATTCTGTTCAGGTATATAAGTGGTTATTGGTTCCAGACAAATGCCCTTTGATTTGCACCAGTTCTTGACTTGACCTAATATAAATTCTGGAGCATTATCAAGGCGTAGGCGCTTGACTTTATTCCTAGTTTGGGTTTCAGAGAAGGTTACTTGATGCTAAAGATCTGTAAAGTAGCCCTTTCTGTCCGAATTATATACTGCCATACGATATTTGGTACCCTTGCAAGTGGTGGAAAGCATATAGGAGTTCTTGCTAAGGGATGGAACCCTTGATGGCCCCCACAAGTCGATTGTAATATACTCCCCTGGGAGCAGTTTTTCAGGGTATAGCTTAGTCATACTAGCCCTAGTAATCTTGCTCATATCGCATGGATCGCAATCGAATGGGTTTTAGTTCTTGAATTAAAGCCCATAAACGTGGTTTACCGATTCCAGGATATACTTCGCATTCAGATGTCCATATTACTAGTGCCATGTTTCCAGGGAGGCTAAAGCTTCCGATTTTGACGCTTTCAGGGCATGCCCTGAACCAAATTAGTCAAGCTAATATAGCCCTATAGAGGGGCTAAAGGTACCAGTTGCGATGGTTATTCCTTTATTGACAATTCGGACATTCTCTTGGGAAAATATAACGTTACCTCTAGCTCGTGTGATTTTGGGAATCGATAATAAGGAGGTATTCCGGAATTAGGGGCTGTAAAGTACGTTATTGAGCTATATTTTTAGCTCTGGTTAGGTGGCTAAAAGAATGGTTCCTTTGCCCCTAATGAGAATTGTCGATTCATTGCCAAGGATAATTGGAAATGGATCAATCTCTTCGTAAGTAATAAAGGAGCTTTTACTCCCCGTAAAATGGTCCGTAGTACCCGAATCGATATACCAGATATTCGTGGAATTGTCGTCATGTGACTGTCCACTGAGGAGAGCACTGATTATCGACTTTATGGCAGTATACGCTTTGGGGTATACAGGTGCTTTGGGATCAGAAGACGCCTCCTTACTAGTGGAATTAGTGTCTTTTCCTTTGGAATCATAGAATTCCTGAGCTAATTTATAGCTCATACAGTCCTTAATATCGTGCCCTTTGTACTTATGGAACGTGCAGTAGGCATTTGGATCCTTGGGACGCTTCGGTTTTTTGTCCTTGTTTTTGGACTAATTTCCCGATTAATTTCCTTGAGCAGCTAGTGCCTTTGAAATGGAATCAGAAGTGGAATTAGGGGTTTTACCCCTAAGTTTGTCCTCCTTGGTAGAAGCGTCCGCTTTAAGTAATTCCAGCTTCAGTTTATTAACGTCAGCTCTAATGGAATTCAGGAGGGATTTGTAAAGGTCGTATTCCTTTAGAAGGCCACGAATCAGATATCCGGATATAGAAACGTCCGAAATCGACCCGTTTACGCCCTTGATTTCAGCTACTTTGCGGCTAATGCGGTTAATAAAGTCGTCCATTCCCTTGTTAGAATCAAACGTGATAGTTTCCAACTATTAAAGGTATAGAGCTTCTTTCTGAGCTTTTAGCTGGTTCGCTTTAGCTTGAATCTGGGTCCAGATCTGGTGTGCAAGCTTGATTTCCTTGAATTATTGCCAGGTATCGTGGGTAATAAGTAGATTTAGTACCGCACGAGCGATTGCTACTTGACGAGCAGTCGTTTTATCGTCCTTTTGGGCCGATTTCACGAGAGCAGGAGCTTGATCTGGGTCGACATACTGCCATAGATCTTCGATAATAAAGATATTCATGGCATCGTCTATCCAGGAGTAGATATTGCTATCTGAGAGAGGTTCGATTTTTGTCCCCTTATAGGTGACATATACTGATTTTTTGCTGTCCGGCATGGCGGATTTTGCGGAGAACTTTTGCCCAAAAATGGCTATGTTTTTGGTGAATTCTGCTGACGCAAGGCCAATGCGGTGGGTGCAATTCAATAGAATTAACGATTTTGATGAAATCGGAAATGGACAGGTGAATACTAAGTGAGGTCACGTGACCTGAGGATCATGTGAAAGCACTTAGTGGGCGCTATCCGGGCTCATAACCTATTGAACTGGGATCGATTTATCGGTGGAAAATCGATATATTAGAGATTGACAATCTGTAGAATGACTAGTTTTGACTAGATACAGGAGAGTGATTCCATAAAAAACAGAGGGAATGGGTTCCCTAGCTATATTCCTGATTTCCACCCCACCATGTGATTTACCCCGCACTTACTTGGTGGTGGGAACGATTTACCAATCTGATTCCTGTACGTACGTTTAAGGAACGTAATCGAATGGCGATACTAATAAACGATTGGTGTGTTCGTACGTAAGTAATACCCAATAATCGGACGAACTGAATTAGTGGTTGAACCTGGAGTGGAAGGAAAGGATGCTAGCCAAGCTAGCTAGTTCAACAGTTTTCCCTTTTTAATTTTACTGTCACGTAACCATGTGCTAAAGATCCTGAGGACAAAGAGGCAGAAGTGAACCATGTACCAGGTCAGACGAACTACCTGATAAAACACACGTCACGTACGAACACAGAGATTTCTAGAACTATCGTAGATTCTACAAGAGAAGCGTGAAGCTCGTAGAAGCTTGGAGCGAGGCTAATACTCCTTAGCGCAATAATTAAGCGAAATTCATGCCTGAGGCTTAAGCGAATTTTCCCGCTCACATTGCCACAACAGCCTACTCGCGTAACTAAAAACTTCGTTTTGACAAGTCAAAATCTTACTTTTACCTAGGGGCCGCAGAAAAGCAGGTGCAAATGCAAAGAGTAAAAGCCAGTTTCTCTCTCTTTAAGAGGGCGTATTGCGATCCCGCCTCGCTTTGCCTGCCCGCCCGCCGCACTGCAGACAACATTTGCTCTCGGCATTGCAATCTGGAGAGACTTTCTTAGAGTTCATACTACCATGGAACCACTGAGAAAATGCATCGAACGTCTCCAACTTCTTGGAGAAGTCTGTCCAGGTTGTGGAATTGGGTTGGGATTAGGAGGGGAGGAAATGTATCGCTCGTCCCTTGGCACATTGCAAACATCGCGGAGGGCCGGTTGTCCAATATGTTGCATCATTCTCGACGGCGTCAACGAGTTTGACAGCAAGTGGACCGCGAAGCATTCTATTCACACGCGAATTCAAATTTGCTGGAATCCTAGAAAGTATGAACGGGAAGGATTCTTGGTCTGGTTGGCTGATGATCAGGACGTAATGAGTCCAACCTTTCGGATACATGAGGCTGTTGGTTAGTTCATCCCTAAGCTGCAAGCTGCAGTCCGACTGACTGATATCCACAGATGAATCTCATCTTGGAGCTGATGCCTTGACACCCCTCCGTGATATTGTCGACGACACTAGGTCTGACCTGACTTGTAGACGTATCTCGCAATGGCTTGCAAGATGCGTAGAGCATCATGATACTTGCAAGGCTAAAGCTAACTTCACCCCTACTCGGGTAATAGCCGTGGGGTCTTCGGGTGATAATCAAGTAAGACTTATGAATGCCGTTCCCAAGCAGCCGTATGCTGCCTTGAGCTATTGCTGGGGCAGCGCTTAGACGGGGTCGTTATAACCAACACATGGAACTTCCAGAGACACTGCATAAGCATCGTACTCAATTCCTTGGCTGCCACCATTCAGGACGCAATATTTGTCTGCCGTGGTCTAGGCATCCACTTTCTTTGGGTTGACGCACTCTGCATTATTCAAGATGACGGCAACGATTGGCTGCGGGAATCGGCGCGTATGCGGCTTGTGTATTCGAACGCGTATTTGACTATTGTCGCCCACAACGCCGCATCATCTAAGGAAGGGTTCTTGGGCAAGCAATTCTTTGGACAACCAAGTTGGCAGAGGCGATTTTGTAGCAATCGTGCGCGATTACAACGGAAATACCACTTACGAGTTGGAATCGTGCCTTTCAGTCTCGAGATGTGGCAAGAGTTCTCCAAGGTCGAAGAACGGGGTTGGACTTTGCAAGAGTGCATTCTCTCTCCACGCCTTGTACACTTCACAGGCTTAGAACTGGTATGGGAGTGTGAGCAAGGGCCATCTCTCTGCGAATGTGGGCATATGATGGCGTGCGGGGCGGCAGGCCAACCGACCAAAACTCAGTTCTCACAGTATGGGATAGATAACATTACAAATCAGAGTTGGATGAGGTTGGTTGGGGATTTCACAAGCCGCAATCTCTCACGCCAATCTGACAGGCTAATAGCATTGTCGGGGCTGGCGGAGATGGTTTACGCCAGGACCAACAAGACACGCACTTATTTGGCAGGCCTGTGGAGCTCGAATCTTCAAGAACAGCTTCTCTGGCATTCGTACAACACCCAGCGATCCCGCCCGTCACCACCGACTGCTCCGAGCTGGTCTTGGGCTTCACTTGGCACCCCCATCATGTGGGAGGGTCCCTGGATGGAACTTGGTCTCTCACAAGTCGAAGTTCACTACGACGAGTGCTTCTGCAATCTCCTCGTCCAGAGCAATGCTTTCGGAGCGGTCACTTCGGGGGAGCTCGCAATAGAAGGCTTCGTCCAGGCGGTTTGTGTAGTTACTGTCGAAGCACCAAACAGCGCAAGCTCAGATGCGCAAGAAAGTGGTCTCACGTTCCTTGGAGCGCCGAATGGCGTGAGGATATTTGTCTTCTCTGATTTGAGTCACGCCATAGATATCCAGAGCGCAAACCCTCGTGCGCAGTGCTGGCGAGGGCATTGTTCCTCGGATGGCGATGGATGGTGCGGCAAGTGCAGACTATCGCCAGAGAAATGGCAGGAGGGAAGATATTATTGTCTCCAAGTCGTAGCGAACCCAATCGTGGGTATAACCGTGGGTACTAACTTTTCGGGAGGACCCCCCATTGAAGAGCTTCAATTCTACTTCTTGTTACTGGAACGGTTTTCAGGTTCTGAGGATATCTTTGAACGGGTTGGAATGGCGGGGTCTGAGTGTATCGATCCCCGCTCTTGGGGGCTTTCTCAGCGATCAAAGTCACGAAAGGATAAGAGCGGGGAAGATATTCTGCCCTTCTTCCCGGATGCAGAGTGGAAGAAAATCCGGATTGTCTAAGAACAATATAGTTGAGGCTGATATTACTTGCTGCGACCAGTGTTCCCAATAGTATACTATAGTGTGCTGATATTGAAGCCCTAATACGTACGCCGTATAATATCACTAATGTTAATACGTATTGAGTGCAGTACTGTGCCGTATTATAATACTACTCGTATACTGGTACACTATATATACCCTGTCCACGTGACTTTTATATCTTCTCTCTGCCTTAGGACTTGGATTATTTAAGTATCCAGGTGTAGAATAAAGTAGGGGGGGGGGGGGGCATTTACTAATAAGGAAGCTGATTAGTCTAAGTTTTAATGCGACTATTTATGCGTTGGGTCGCGTAAACGCGTGAGAAATGCGTGTTTTCAGCCCTAAGTTAGGGGGGTCGGATCACGCGAAAGTCATGCACAGTGCAATCAGTGCACTAGTCGTAGAACTAGTAATGGTAGATGGCTGAAGCTGTAGTGCCTGGCTCTCGGAGCTGGCCGTTGTTGTTACAGTAGACTCTCGATTATCTCTCGGTGTTTGCGCCTTATTTCCTGCCCATGTGTCGCCTGCGCTTCCGCATCTAGTTCTGCGATCCGATCCTCAGCAATGGGATGGCTCTTCTTCGTGGTGTTTCCCGCTTCTAATTCTGACTTCCTGTACAGGCTCTTCTGCATGGTGCCTCCCGCTTCCAACTCTGGCTTCATGGATAGGCTGTGAGCGCCATTATCCATTTGGGTGGTTTCCATTGGAGCTGGTTCCCTTTGACGACGTCGGACATATACGAATGCGCTGAGAAGAAGCAGAGCAACTAGTACAGTGAAACCTCGCTACAAGGATACTCAATATAAGGATATCCTCGATATAAGGATACATCTGCTGGCCCCGCAGGGATTAATTTTGCTGTGTGCCACACCTCGTTATAAGAATACCTCGGTATATCCTTAGTTTTTGGGGACAGTTTCGGTATCCTTATATCGAGGCTTCACTGTACAAACGCTACTGTAACCCCGATTCCTTTCTTTACTCCTGTGGAAAGACCCTGAGACTGAGGAATAGTAATGGTAGTGGGGGTTGCTGTTTGCCCCCTTGCCACAGACGGAGTTGATGCGGTCATACTGGCCTTTGGCGATGGCGGGACAGTTTGTTGGTCCCGTACCAGCCAAGATGGGAGCTCCGTGATCGTTGGTGCGCCGTACACCGTCACGTTTTGACTGCCGAGAGGGTGAAGCTGCTCTCGCAAAAGTATTCACCGGAACAACCAAAAACGCCTTCAGCGACATCGATAACGGTCGCGCCTTGAGTCATGATATATTACGGGCTAATAAAAGTGCCAGGTAGAAATTCACTCATGGTGTAGCCACTGTGGAATGAAGATTCTTCGGTTAGCGCAATGATCTTGCTTTTTCAATGGCGCAGCCGAACCCCACAATAGGGGGCCTAAGCGAGCCGCTTCAGCGATGTACTTACGTACTGTAACTGCCTCACGCCGCCATGCACTCCTCCCCTCAAAAATAGCACCATCAGGAAAATTATAACCACTCAAGCTTCACCATTCAACCGTTGTGGCGGGGAAGCAGCAGCTAGTTCTTGGAGCACCACTCTAACAGTTTATAAAGGCTGTATCGCCAGGAATACTAGATTCTGTCGTGCATTTGTTATTAATTCAAGTATCCTCTTTATAATTGCATGAATAAGGCAGTATTTGGCATGTAATTAGGCTTCAAATATGAGGGTAAAGTTGATATAGATTGAGATGTCTAAAGTATAAGAAGTGCGGTTTAGCGGAGGGTTTATATGCCTCTGCAGCTGAGCTAACCAAAAGGGGAGAACCACGTGTATGGCAACTACACCTATTTTCAGCGAGGGAAGAAGCTTCAGACATGGCGTCCAAACGCCTTGCGCGCAGATATCCAGTCCGAAATTTGAATTCCAGAGAAGAGGAATCGGGTTCAGTAGAGCGGCTCGCAAGTATTCCCTGTTGGACAATGAGCCTTGACAAGTCCACCTGCGATCCGACAAAGATCCGGCAATACTGTCTCCGAAGAGCTGCTTATATTTAAACGGCGGTTCGAATCAGAGGCAGGGCGCCAAGAAAAGTTCTCTGACATACTTCAATGGCCCCTTTAACCTCTAGGTCTTGATCGATTATCTCGTGTTGGGTGCCGTCTGCAGAGGACCAGGACCGGCGATGCGAAAAGCTGATGTTGACAAAGAACTGATGCATTTCGTTGCGAGATGCTGACTGTAGATCTCCGCAAAGATTAGATGAGAGAAATGCCAACAAACTATTGTAAACAAGTTGGCCGCAGTATTTTTAGAAGTGATTGCTCTTTCCAGTTCGTTGCTGGACATGTTGACGATTTCGAGGCATCGCGGATTCTCAGTGAATCGACCGGCTTGATTCACTGAAGGTCTTCAAGGAACAGAGAGATTGAAACCTGTTCTTGTTGGAATTTTCGACGAAGTCTCTTCTCACCAAATGATAGTTCTCGTCCTCGTCACGACTTCGTCAGATGAACTGGATACCCGCTGCTTACAGATCAACGTCGCTGCACGCTTTTCCAAATCAGCATCCCATCTGATGGCGGATATCCTTGCCCATCCAGGGACATAATCATTCTCAAGGTACTGTTCTTCGAGATCCATGACGAATTTCATAATCTTTGCACTGAACAGTCCATCCCATACGCCTTCTCTCCTCGGATATTTCAACAATAGCTCAATTGCTTTGCGACCAATAGTTTTTTCCCGGCATCTGATCCCCGTTATCCACAGTGTGGACACGGCCCGGCCTGCGAGGCTGTAGTTCGTCGGTCGTGATCTGCCAGAGACCGGCTGCATCTCCAACGATTGCTCGAGTAGATCGACGATCTCTGAGAACATGTTGTTGTATGAATCGTAAATTGTCTGGTCCATGAAACACGTACATATTATGAGATCGCAGATCAGGATTTGCGCCTTGATGGTACGGACCAGGCGACCTTCGTACATCGAGTACCCCGATTTGAAGGCATCGAATAAGGGTTCGAAGGCCTTCAACCAGTGTGCGGTTTTCGTGATTGTGAAGTCCTTTTCAGAAGCTAGCTCGACGGCAAGGTCTGATTCAGGAAGCGGTGATTCGGCTACAAAGGCAGCGAAGAAAAGTGTACCTCGCTTGTATATAGCCTGATGGTAGTGAACTGATTCCTCGATTGTAGTAAAATATGTTGGCATCGATTCAAGATGCTCTCTTCCTTGGTTGGCGTAGATTGTACGCAGATCTTCAAATGTAAAGCCTTGATTATAAAAGTATGACATTTGGATGACCAGTCGACTGAAGATTCGAATCAGGTCATGTTCAACAATCTGTGGCGCGGGCGACATGTTCTCTGAAGTCTTGTCTGCGTCCTTAATTGTCGCTTTCCATTCCTGGATGATTCGGACACCGTTTCGGATCTGGCGCACCGCCATGGCCATGTTGCCGTTCCATGCTTCGAAAATAAAAATTAGAAGGATGGATAGCAAGGTAGTCCTCACGTCCTTCAATGTGTTGCCCTTCCGCATATCTGCAACAGCTCTACTGTACTCTTCCAGAGCAAACCGATGGTGCTCATTGGCAGTTTTTCTCTCTGCTTTGGGAAAGTTGTCTAGAGACAACTTATTGAAATCACGCGTTATTTCTGCTGTCTTGTCAAGGGCTCCAAGCGCTATGATGGCGTGTTTGATTGAACTGTCTGAATAACATGCTTGGAGTAACATCTGTCGTGTCGAGAACGAATCATGAGCAGGCATAATCTCGAAGCTTGTCTGTCCATAAAACAAATCAAAGTACCGTTGCTCCTTCTCAGTTCCAAGCGACGCCACTGAAAGAGGTACCAAGAAGTTGGAGGAGATCTCAGAAAGTTTCTGGTTCTGGGGCAGTATGCCGCGATTGCTCGCTGCCGTTTTGAGATCCTTGCAGAGTGGAAGGTAGCCATCGCATTTGATACCGAACTTGAGGCACCGCTGGCATTCGGGCTTCTCTTCCCCGCATTTCACCCGGCGGATCCTAGAATACAGACAGCGGTTAATGGATGGCCCTTCCAAAGACTTCTGGATCGCGAACAAGGCCAGCTCATTGCTGGGAAGCATAAAATGCACCTACTTGCACGTCATGCATCCTGTCTTGGTCTTTGGAGCAGATTTGCGTTTTCTGTCCTCGTCTCTTGGAGTCTTGACCATTGTTGCTGTATGGGATGAGGCACTGGCATTTGGAGGCCGAGAAGGACAAGAGGAAAGATCGTGGGGTTGTCCCAGGAAGCTTACAGGGCAGTCTGGCCGTGCTTATTCGGCCAAGAATTGGCATCTTACACCTGCGCATTGATCGTCGAATTCGCGTAACCTGTTCGACTTTCGTCACTCCTTGCTTAGTCGGCACGGTCGGTAAAAGCACGTTGGCCACATAAGCAAAATGGCCACTGTCTATATTTTGGAGCCGCCTTTTTATTTCTAGTTAAAAAAGTTCATATGATGGCAGTACAAGATATAGCCTTCTAGTATATTGATATTTATCTAGTATACACTAAAATTGTGGGTTATGTATTAAAAAGAGTGTAGGCCCGCGATTTTTGGTAAGGCCCGGTAGGCGATGCGAGGAGTGAGGTTTCGCGGAAAACCCGCCAAAAAAATTATGGCCAACTCGCTTCTACGGACCAAGGAACCAGTGACGAAAGGCGGAGCCGGACAGTCACGCGAGTCGGACAATTATTTATTTATTCAGGTGACTACTCCGTAGCTTGTCCCTGATGTTCAACCGATGAGAGCATCAGCCAGATCAACCCATGCAGGGAAAAAGTCGAGAGACCATTGGTCCTCGATACGATTGTGAATGCCCATGTTGAGGGTCAAGGCTGTACCGGAGGGGTTGATGCTACCGCGAGAGCACTTTTGTGATGGAGCACCAGGAGCATTGCGTCCGCTGCACGAGTAGCAGAGGATACTTTTGATCCAATCCTAAACTTTCAGGCATTGACCATTTGATAAGATATATAGCTCATCATAGCAATGAGTTAAAAGTGATAAGCAAGAACTAAAATCGAGATCAAGAACAAAACTGAACCTGAAACGGAACTGAAGATTCGAGGGTTTTAGCATGAAAATCCTTGGAAATTGTGAATCTGGCATCGGACTATCGAAGAATGGACATGAAGAGAATGGTATCTTCCACTGCAAACAACGCGCGGCCGGGTTGTCTTTTGTATTCTGTGAAAGTGAGAGAGGACGATGGGCATTCTTTGGACGATGAACGTTTCGAACACATGGAGTCGGAGCACCGGAGCACCGGGGGTTCACCTCTGCTGACTCATCTAGGCAGCCCTCCACCAGCTCCTTCACCAGAAGCAAAAGCGGCACTAGTTCTAATCCTCAATGTCCCCAGTCAAGCCGGACATTGGAAGTCGACGATGTTAAACGTCCCACAGCCTCATGGACAATAGGAAGAAGTAGGTCTTGAATGTACCATAAACCGAAGCAACTTTCAAAGGTGAAGAACCTCAAATGTCCAAGTTGACACAGAGTATTGTAGTGCCGCCTTTTCGCATCCAGGCGAGCAGGAGGGAGGCAGCCTCGCCGCTAGGAAGGTTCACGCTAACTCCGGTCACTTATTGAACCTCCACCGCAAAACCAATCAATCAAGCGCGAAATTTACACCATCGCGTCTCCTCAGTTGTTACATTCATCCACCTTCCCCCCGAACAATCTCTGCCATCACCCACCATTGTCAAACTCACCATGGCAGAGATCAAAATCGACAAGACATTGTTCCAGGAGCGCCTGTCACATTTTGTGGCAGCATGGAAGGCCGACAAGCGGAGTGGTGACGCGCTGTTCAATGGCGCCTCCTCGATCTTGGTACTGATGGGCAAAACCGAGGAAGCGGCTCAGTTCCAGAAGAACAATGCCATTCACGTACGTATCCCCAAAGCTGGAGGTTTGCAAGAGCTTCTTTCTGATGTATATCGCAGTTTTGGTTACTGGGCTACGAGTTCCCGGCGACCCTCTTTCTCCTCACCTTGGACGGCCTCTACATTGTCACAACGGCGAAGAAAGGTACGATAATGTTGCCTGCTCATCTACAGTATATCCTAGAAAGCTGACCCAGTCTAGCCAAGCATCTGGAACCTTTGAAGGGTGGGAAAATTCCTCTCCATGTCCTCGTCCGGGGCAAAGATGCCGAGCAGAATGAAAAGCTTTTTGCCGACATCACTGCTCAGATCAAGGCAGCAGGCGTGAGTCACCCCAGATCTCTGTCTATTGGTGGTTAGGGAGCTAACAAGGTTACGCATTTAGAAGAAAGTCGGCATCCTCCCAAAGGATACATCGAGCGGACCATTCATCGACGAGTGGAAGAAAGTTTACGGCAGCACCTCGAAGGATGTGGAGGAAGTGGATATCTCGACAGCTTTATCATCTGCAGCCTTAGCAGTCAAGGATGAGAATGAGTTGGTACGTTGTAATGATGCTCTTGGTTGGGCAATGCTAACTTTGCCACAGCGAGCTATGCGAAATGCCTCGAAAGCCTGTATCGCCCTTATGAACCCTTATTTCGTCGAAGAGATGTCAAGCGTATTGGATGAAGAGAAGAAAGTCAAACACAGCGCCCTGGCAAACAAGGTTGATAGCAAGCTGGACGATGCCAAGTTCTGGACATCGGTCGAGCTTCCTAGTAAACAGAAGATGCCATCCGATTTCGATGCAACGCAGTTGGATTGGACACACGGCCCGATTATCCAAAGTGGCGGAAAGTTTGATCTCAAGATGAGTGCACAAGTCGACGACGAGCTGCTCCACCCCGGAGTCATTATCGCCTCGATGGGTCTTCGGTACAAATCGTACTGTTCCTTGATTGCACGCACATATTTGGTCGACCCGAACAAGTCGCAGGAGAGCAATTATAAGCTCCTTCTCCAAGTCCACGGTTTGGTCATGAAGGAGATTCGGGACGGAGCCAACGTCAAGGACATCTACGCGAAGGCCATTCAACTGATCAGGACCAAGAAGCCTGAGCTTGAGAGACACTTCATGAAGAATGTCGGCGCTGGTATCGGTATTGAGACGAGAGATGCTACGCTGATTCTGAACGCCAAAAGCAACAGAACTTTGAAGGATGGGATGACTTTGTGCGTTACCACTGGATTCAACGATATCGACAATCCCAACCCGCAAGATAAGAAGAGCAAAGTCTACTCAATGGTCCTTTCAGACACGGTCCGTGTCTCGCCCTCTGAACCAATTGTTTTTACTGGTGATGCTCCGTCGGACCTGGATGCTACCTCATTCTTCTTCAAAGACGATGAAGAGCCCGAGCCGACTCCCAAAAAATCCAAGAAGGACTCGACTGTCGGTGCTGTGGCAACGAAGAATATCCCAAAGACAAAATTACGCGCTGAACGAAATACCAATGTTGATGAAGGCGCAGAGGCAAAGCGTCGTGAGCATCAAAAGGAGCTCGCAGCCAAGAAGCAAGAGGAAGGTCTGGCTCGCTTCGCAGAAGCCACCGGAGATCAGAACGGAGCAGCAGTCAAGAAATTCAAGCGCTTCGAGTCGTATAAACGCGACAATCAGTTTCCGCCTCGAGTTCGGGACTTGGCTATCGTTATGGATCAGAAGAACTCGACAGTGGTGCTTCCCATCATGGGTCGTCCAGTTCCATTTCATATCCAAACCATCAAGAACGCTAGCAAGAGTGACGAAGGGGAGTTCTCTTTCCTCCGAATCAATTTCCTATCCCCAGGTCAAGGCGTTGGTCGGAAGGACGACCAACCATTCGAAGACGCCTCAGCACACTTTGTGCGAAGTTTGACGTTTCGCTCCCATGACGGCGACCGCCTTCAAGATATTGCAAATCAAATTGGTAACATGAAGAAAGATGCCGTGAAGCGAGAGCAGGAGAAGAAGGAGATGGAGGATGTAGTGGAGCAAGACAAGCTGATTGAGATCCGAAGTAAGTTGTCTGGTCTTTTCCCTATGAAGTCTGCTAACAACCAACAGATCGTCGACCTGCCGTTATGGACAATGTTTTCATTCGCCCTGCAATGGACGGCAAGCGTGTGCCTGGGAAAGTTGAGATCCATCAAAATGGTTTGCGATACCAATCGCCCTTGAACCACCAACATCGAGTAGATATCCTCTTCAGCAATGTCAAGCATCTCTTCTTCCAACCTTGCCAGCACGAACTGATTGTTATCATCCATGTCCATTTGAAGGACCCAATTTTGATTGGCAAGAAGAAGGCAAAGGACGTTCAATTCTATCGAGAAGCTACCGATATCCAATTCGATGAGACGGGAAACAGAAAGCGAAAGTACAGATATGGCGATGAAGAGGAGTTCGAGGCCGAGCAAGAGGAACGAAGACGCCGTGCAGATCTCGATCGACAATTCAAGGCTTTCGCCGAGAAGATCGCTGAGGCAGGCAAGAACGAAAATGTCGACGTTGACGTTCCATTCCGCGAACTTGGGTTCAACGGCGTCCCATTCCGTTCCAGCGTTTTCTGCCAGCCATCGACAGACTGCCTGGTCCAGCTTACTGAACCTCCATTCATGGTCATCACTCTCGAGGACATCGAAATTGCTCATCTCGAGCGTGTTCAGTTTGGCCTCAAGAACTTTGACATGGTGTTCGTCTTCAAGGATTTCCATCGTGCGCCCTACCACATCAACACCATCCCCGTCGAATCTCTCGAAAACGTCAAGGAGTGGCTTGATTCTGTCAACATCCCATTCTCAGAAGGACCACTGAATTTGAACTGGCCTACGATCATGAAGACCGTCACGGCGGATACACATGCATTCTTCGGCGATGGGGGCTGGTCTTTCTTGCAGACCGAGACAGATGACGAGGATGCAGAGGAAGAGAGTGAAGAGTCCGCATTTGAGATGAGCGATAGCGAGCTCGCTGCATCCGAGGAGTCGAGCGATGAGGACAGCGAATTTGATAGTAATGCTAGTGCCGAGGCGAGTGAGGATGGTAGCGATGACGGCGAGAGCGAGGGCGAGGATTGGGATGAATTGGAGAAGAAGGCGAAGCGGAAGGATCGGGAGAGCGGAATGCAAAGTGAGGATGATAAGCCGAAGAAGAAGAGGAAGCATTGAGTCTGAGGACTTGATACTTTTCACTTCATCTTTTACTCCAGTCCGTTCTAGGTGGCTGCACATCTGAGATTGTCCTTGAGTCGGAAGGTTCATTGCGAGCCTGAGGGGCTGAATTCACGGCTGTGTGTTTTGATAGGTGCGATGAACGATGCGAGGCGTCAAGGTTCAGCAAAATGGGGATGCATGCATTTCAGATATCTGGTGGAGGGATTGCCGCCTGCTTCGGGAGATAACGCAATGCCCTCAATAATAAAATGATGATTACCTACTCTACTTCTTCATGTGACGTGGTCCTGATTTGCCATTGTACCTTCTCCACCCTGAACAATGATCTCTTAAGGAATCTGAATCAAGAACTGTTCGCTCTCCGGGACAGGCACATTCTCGGAGCTGCTCCTCAGAGCAGGATTCATCGCTTGGTGGCGATGGCCCACACGAAGCATTGATCAGTCTTCGCTGGAACCAGGTGGCGTAAATGCATCTGATACAATTCTAAGCTATACTAGATTCAAACAAACCAGACCCAATTTCCACCCAACCACAACCAAGGAGAGAAAAGACGACGCCAGACCGCTTTGCCGGAAACACAATGAAAATCGAACCATAATGAAAGCGTGATCCCGTGATAAGGAAGGCCACCGATGGCTGTTGTACATCGTCTCCCCCATCCATTCAACTTCAACATTTTACCTCAAGACTCGTTCCTCGCTTACACATATCACTCACCGCCCAAATCCCGTCCACTAGCATGCACAGCCGCGCTGGGCGCCGCGTTGTTCCAGCTCAGGTACGTGTGGTCGCCGAGTTTTCGGGGTTTGATGAGGTGCGTGACGGTGAAGAGCGCGCCGAGCACGATGCAGATGCCACCGACGACCACGTAGGCGATGCCGAGGAAGGGGTTCTTACCGCCCATTACGGTTCGAGTGGAGATGATGATGGACTTTGTGCCGCCGTATTCGGTTACGTTGAAATCTGGAGGAAGGGAATTAGTTTGGTGGTTGAGGGGTGGGGGAGAAGGGAAAAGGGGAGGGAACGTACGGTGGTCAATATCGACCGAGTATCGTCCTGAGATCATAGTCGCGGTATCGTTGCGCTGCGTAAGCTTGCTGAAAGTCGGGAGGCCTGCAAGACGCATCCAGACCTGGAACTGCTCGTCATTCACAAGATCCGGGTGGTAAGCATCGCTGTAGCCGTTCGGGTATCTCTTCTCCCAATTTGGTGGCACGGCAACCTGGGACCAGTTGTACTTGCTTTGGCCGTAGAGCTTCTTGTCGCTCTCCCAGGATATATTAGAGGTGTTCTGCATCACATAAGTGCTGTTGTCTGCGTTACCGCCTTCAACGTTCAGGAGGACTGGGGAATAGAATGTATCATTGAAGACGGAGTTTGGCGCAAGACCGCAAGGGTAGTAAGGTATCTGGACACCATTTTCAGTCACAGTTGTCAGAGGCGTGCAGTCACTGCTGTGGACGTCGCCGGCGGAGACGGCTGTTCCGGAGAGTTGGGCCGTGTTGAAGGACTTCGCGTATCGCCTGTGGTTTTGGTAGAAGTTTGTGAGGCGGTAGTAGAAGAGGACTGGGGGTGTCATGTTTGCTGGAATCGAGAAGGTGATGGTGCAGCGTGTGGCCGGGACGGGTCCTGAGCCAACAAGAGGATCATCCGGCCCATAGGTAACATTGATGGCTCTTCTCACCCATTGCGGGGCGTCGTCCCGTGCATGATTCTTATTGTTGAAATGCGATGTGACTAGATTGCCTGGCATTGTTGTCGCGTCGGCAGGAAACTCTGGAGCGTCGAGGTAACATCTTGAGTAGTCTAGGATGATTTCTTGGACCTGCGATATCCATGTCAGCATTGAAATGTCCTGTCTCCGCCGGCTCCTGCAGCGTGTCCCAAGCTACTGACCTGCGCGCTGGCAAATAATAATCCTCCTCCGATGGGCGCAAATATGATGCCGATGGCGAAGAATAATGGGAGGACGGTTTTCGGAGTGAGAATCGGTCTGCAGTCCATGTAAGCTGAGGTTGTGCAGTCTGCGAAAGATGCCACTTACTGCCAGGCCTTTAATCGCTGCTGGCGGAACGCAGTATCTGGAGAAAGGATCCAAAGGTCAGTTCCACATCCTCTCCATGCGCAAAGCATCCGGGACTTCCTCACTTGCTGGCCTCCTGCTCTTCGTCTTCTTCTCTTCCTCCTGGTTATGCGGATCCTGCGAGCCAATCGAGTCCTCGTGCGTCATTCCGGGTGTTTGGTCTACCATCTTGAAGGTATTTCGAGATCATGGACCGGCTCTATCCGGTGGCTGGTCTCGTTGTGGTGATGTAGATGGAATTGGTGGATTCAAATTGTCGTTGTTACGGTTGCCGTTCATCCCGCCGCCTCGTGATTTTAGCGTGGTTTTGTGCACAGCCACATCTTGAAATATCTCTCCAGAAAGTAAGGTTTCATTTCGCAAGACAAACAGACATATCGGCTCGAATTCAAATATCAGCCCCAGAAATTTGTTTCAGCTTTAGTCTATTACCAATCTCTTAAGTTTGGGTCTCCTTCATCTTCAGTTCTAATTGCGACTTAATTGAAGGTTGTAAGGTTATTTTTTCAGTCATCCTTGATACGGTGTCCGAAGCTAATGGAGATATGTTTTGATCTGTCTCTGCAAATCACTCTATAACTTCGGAATACAGCAACTCCAAAGATGTCCAGGCAAGTGTAACAATGCAGCCCGTTGTCCATCAATGCTTCCATCAATGCTTCCAGCAATGCAAATGCTTATTCCCCTTCTCATGCCCTTTCCATGTCCCATGCAATGCACCATCCCAAAATAATGAGCTCCTCCTATACCCGCAATTATTCATCTTGAAAAATAAAACGGCCGTTAGGTCTCATGGCTTCCTTGTACCTCTCCTCAACGGCACTCCTTGCTATCTTGTGCGCCTTCTCACGATCCTCCCTCTCTTCCTGAGTCGTCGGGAAGTCCGCTCTCCAGAAACCAGGCGGGCTAGTTCTCCTCTCATACGTATGCCTATGCCTCCCAAACTTGTTCGCCATGTCTCTCGTCTTTGCCTGAATAATCAGCTCTTCTTTCTCCTCCTTGCTCATGTTGCGAATCTTGTAAGCGTTGTCACCTAAGTACTCATCAAGCAGCATCTCATCTGCCTCCTCCTGCGACAATGTTGGTGGGCCGGCAGCCTCACGGTTCATTTCTGCAAGAACGCGAAACTTGCGACCGCAACATTCGGGCTTCGTACATCCTTGCAGGCATTGGCGTGCTTCCCGGCCTCGAACAACTTCGTTGAAAGCGTAGTCATAGCCTTGATTGTAATTCGGGTTGACTTTGAAATCGCCGAGCTTCAGTCTGCCGACTGGCCTGATTCGTAAGGGTTCCTGATCAGGATCTATCTCCCAGTCTAAGCCATCGCCATTACGAGAGCGGCGGATTTTGGTTGTTGCGGCTTTGCTGGGCACGACAGATTGTCGGTAATTTGGTCGAGAGGCTTCCGCAGATGTTCGTGGAGACGCTTTCGTAAAGTACGAGGACGTGATGGGTGGTCGTTTCGGCGGAAGGATATCGGGCTCGTTAGTTTCTGGTGATGGCTTTCGTAAGGTGTATTTTGGTGTATAGCGAATCAGGTTGTGTGTCGGAACAAGCTTATTCGGAACTTCTACTCTCGCTATAGACCTCGAGGTTGGTCTCGTCGGTTCCGCAGAGCCTCTTGATGTGCCCTTTGACGTTGGTCTGGACGGATCCGCAGATTCCCTCAAGGAGGTCCTGGATGAGGGCAATATTGGTTCGGCAGAGCTACTATGAGAAGAGCCTTTGGAAGATGGCCTTGAGGTTTCTGCAGATTCGCGTCCCAAGCGCCTTGACGAAGATGAAAAGTACTCCTTGAGCCTCGCGGTCGTTGATTTAATGATCTGGTCATATGTGTCTTGGGGAGGATTTTGACGCTCATGAGCAAGACTAGAAGTCACGGGCGTTCTTGCAGGACGCGGCGGCTTATCACTAGCATAATCGAGCCGCGGGCTGAGGACTTGCTTTGGCGGTGATGGTTTTGCCAGAAGGCCATCCAGGAGACCACCAGAATTCGTTGTTTGTCTCCGCGACTTCGTAGCTGCGGCCGCGATTTCACCATCTTCAACGAGCTCGCCGACCGCCTCATCACTAGCAATTCGACGTTTCTTGGGAGGTCTGTCCTCGGATGTCCTTGGTAAGATCTGTCTGTTGGTGCTTCTAGGTTGGAGAATTGAGTCTCTACGCTGGGCAGGAGTCTCTTGGGATGTATGTCCAGGTTCGTCCTCTTCTGCTGTTTTGCTGTGAGCTTGGCTTTGAGTATGATGCCGGAACCTTGCTGCCAGAGGAGGCAGGGAGACAGAGTTTGGAACGTGGCGAGTCAACTCAGCCACCCTTCGTTGCTTTTTTGGAGTGACCACTTTCTCTCCAATGTCGTCGAGATCGAGGCTTTCATTCGGGTTCAGATATTGTAGCCGTGCAAGCAGAATCGGACTACTCGAGATTGTCTCAATCTTGACCTCTGTCTTGATGGTTTGGCTGTTATGAGAAGCTTTCCGCTTTTTGAGGCTTCGGGCAGATACGAATTCAATATCTGGGGAACTCGAACGTTCGGCTGTCGGCTTCGCTACTGATACTTGTTCGTGATCAACTGCCTTGCTGGGAGAAACTGGGTCTGATCCCTCAGTTGAGCTTGTGTGTTGACCTTCAACAGCCTCAAATTCCGTGTCTTCCACACGCGTCTCGGCAACCCCACGGTAGGCAGGAAGGTTTGGTTCCTCGGGTGTAGGAGATTCTTGATGTGTGGGTGATTCTGCGCCCTTGGGAGTCTGTGCGGTGCTTCCAGGTCCCTTCCTAGATGTTCTTACAGGAGGGGCTATGAACGGACTGCTCGCTGGTACCTGGACCACTCGAGTAATCTCTCCCCCATTTTCATCTGCATTATCGCCGCCCGGTCTTATCAATGGCACTATTGATATGGGATGCGTTCCATTCACTCGTGCACGTAGTCTCCGGTTCTCTTCCTCTAGCCTCTGAACCTTGTCTTCCTTCTTACTGATGGTAATCTCCTGCTCCTTCGCCCATACCTCCAGAGTCTTGGCCTTTTCTTTCTCAGCTCTCCACCCATCTTCCATCGTCTGCCTTGCATCCTTTAAATTCAGGTAATGATCCCACAGAGTATTGTACTTGGTGGTGAGCGCTCGGTGCTTCTCCCAGGTGATAATCGTCTTCGATTCGTCGGCTTCAAATGCAGCTGCCGCTGACCTTGGGTCGCTGGGCGCCGGCGTCGTTGACTTCGACCCAGCTGCAAACTGGAGACGCGGTTTAGGGGTCCCAACATCTTGCTGCTGTTGCTTCAATCTCTGGGCCAGCTCGCCCGCCAGTCGATTATTCTCTTTCTCCAGACCCTCGACCCTCGTTGAAGCTCCCTTCCATCTTTCCAACTCGCCCGACAAATACGCATTGCGCTCAACCAGCTTTTCAACCCGTTCTGAGGTCTCCCGAAGCAGTCGCAGCTCTTCATGGCTAATGCGTGCTATATTCTTGTCATCGAGTTCTGCCGCAAAGTGTTAGCACAAATCAGATTCAACGCCGGAAGAATCCACACACCAGCTGCCACATTCTGCCCAATTCGGTTACAGACCTTGGTGAACTGGTCCAAAAGGTCCTGTCGACCATTCTTCCAGCTCTCCATTTCCAGCGTAGGTGTTGCGTGCTCAAATCATTGTTGTGAGGAAGTTGGAGGACGCGATGGTCGTGCCAGGACGCGTTGAGGCGACTCGGCTCGGCTCGGTTCACCGCCACGTTGAATCTAGGAATCCACGCCTCAGCACTCCTCTCACTGCATCGCTCCTATCACTTTACATTCAACGCATTTTTGGGGCATTGGCACTACGAAAGGGCCATCCTAGAATCCGTTTAGAACTGGCAAGGCCTTGTTGCATTGTTTAAAGTAGGAAAGGTACTGATCCTCAATTCCTGACAAATCCTTGAATTCATCACGGGAAGTCCAAAGGTCATATACGAATCCAGATTCGTTTAAAATGCCAGCAAGCCAGACCTTACTGAATTAGCTGTTAATCTTCATAGGCGCCATTATCCTGCGGAGTCTTAAGCTACGGTCGATTGGCGCACGTTAATAACTTTTGATTGGATGCTGCTAGCTCATCGAAGTTTACATAGAATCCTAGACTGGTCTTGCTACGGCTAAAAGCAAGGATTCGAAGCGCGATTTCTTCTCAGTTGATCGTTCTATTCTGCAGCAGCGGATACAGTGTTTTCCTGCCTTGAGGAGACGTTGCCTGACGAGAGGCGTGGCAAACAAGGGAAAGGTGAAAGACACCAGCCTTGCGTTGCAATAGTAAGGGATGGTGGTGAAGCTAATGGAATTCACGTTGTCGTTGCTCTTCCGTTCATCCACAACTCCTTCGGAAACTGGACAGCGCCTTGAAGGTGGGGCATGAAGGGAAAGGGGGGAAGGCAATAGCTTGATAAGGTGCGGGCAAGGTATAATTTCTCTCTGTTGGAGACAGTCTGTTAGTAGATACTTCATGAGATTGAACATTCCGACATGCGATTTCCTTCTATATAGGTATGGCGGTAGTGTAATTGGGTCGTTTGGCCACAAATTCGGCCAGGCGGATTGGGGTTGGTTGAGTGCAGAAGCTATCAATATCGATCTGTTCTTCCCAAACCCCCCTTTACTACAATTCCAGATTTTTGGATGGACAGATCCGCAATTTTTCGATCTTCAGCAGCTGAAAGTGCTTGTCCGGTCACGCGGAGCACGGCTCATTCGTCGCGATATTTCCTGCCCAGGAAAACACAGGCATCAGTTTTACTCAGTACCCTACAGCTCCTCTCCGAGTCCTTATCCGAGTCCTTACTTGCTAATGACTAGTCGAACCTTTGTTTACGAGTTTATGCTTCCGCATCGATTTCGTTGGCTCTGTTAAAGCTTCACTTTCGAGAGCGGAAGTGTCACGGCCTGGATAAGCTGTGGAAGTGGAATGTGGTGTACTTTGGTATAAATATGTATGAAATGATGGTGCCCTAAGGGCGGTGGATGTCACGGCCTGGACAAGCTGTGGAAGTGGAAATGTATGTGTTTGTGTAAATATGTATGAATGATGGTGCCCTAATGGCGGTGAAGAAGCTATATACACGCCTGTACGCAGCACGTGACAGTGGAGAAGCTATATATACGCCTGTGCGCAGCACGTGACAGGAAGCAGCTGAGACATAAGCCCTGTTCCCCAACTTGTGAGCTGCATTTGCGGGGTATAAAAGTTGTTTTTTTCTCCTTGGTCAATCTCCAAGCGGAACAGTATTCGATTTCCATTCTCTATCCTCCAATCTACAAGATGCTTTCGTTCAATATTCTCTCTCTAGTAGCTTGATTTCTCTTAGCTCTTTCGATCAGCAAAAAAAGACCTCACCAAAATGAAAGTTACCAGCAAAGCACAGCCCTGGACTGATGCGTACAGCCAAATGCGGAAAGACAGCGACAAGTACGGAAAATACGTTTCAGGAACTCTAACATCCCAAGCTGCACCTACCGTACCTTGAGGACCGGTGGCCAATCCAGATATCAAGTGTACAGGTGAGCGTAGAGGTGTCCTTGCTGCGTCGGCTAATGCTTCGGCTTGATACCTCAGTAGGGATCCGAGTTGCGAAAAAAAGAAGAAAATGCTATTGGGTCATGAATAAGTGGTCATATACCATCAAAGGTAACCTTAAGTCGATCGTCTAACGGATTCTTGCTAACAGATCCAAGATCATGCTTTAGACAATGCTATTCTACAAACACGATGGGCTACAGCCACTTGGGCAAGACGGGAGAGCTGATCAGGCGCACAATCTCTGGACTCTGGTCAGACAAGGACATCATTCAATTTGAAAGCATGTTCCGTAATATGTACCTCCCTGTTGTCAAGAATGGTGATACCAGAGCCTCGAATTGGGACGTTTGTAAGTAAACAGTCTCGTTCAATGACAAATGCTGACGGATCTCAGCATGTCTTAATGCCGCGATTGGAATCGCAGTTCTTCATTGAAGATGCAAATGCATATGAGAACGCCATGAAGCTCTTCCTGCAAACTGTGCCGTCAATCATTTACCACGAGTCTGACGGCAACTTCCCGCACGCAGCACGGGGCAGAGTTCAAGCGCGTCTGCACTGAAATCCAGATGGCTCGACTAACAAAGCCGGGGCAACTCTGGCTAGAGCGGGCAGATCCAAGCAACATATCGAGGCCTCACGCACAGGAGATACAGCATCAGCAGCATCTCACATATCCTCAAGACCTCGCGCATCCAAGGTCTCAATCAATACGGTGGAGGTCTCGGTACTCGTTTCCACTTCTCTTTTAGATTCCACGCTCAATTCGAATAGGGGGTAGAATCTCCTTCATAGCTTTGCCAGAACAAGGGACTGGCCAGAGGCTTGTGGGGTGTGACGGAGATCGGATTCAATGCATTGAACTATCGGCTACTCTAGGAAACCCGATGCCGAAACAGAGCAGTACACTGAGAGGATCAGACCTCAAGGTACGAACAGTTTGTTTTATGGGTGGGAGGCCTTGGCGCATGCTGAGAACAAAGCTTGAGCCGTTCAAAAGCGGTAGAGGAAGCTGTTGAAAGATGTTCGTCAGGATGGCGGTATTGAAGCCGGTGGATATAGAATCCAATTCGGAGAGGAGAGCCTTTGTTCCGGTCCTTCGATCTCAATTGTTCTTGCACCTGTCTGACATGCATGCATTGGTGCGAAATGCGGCCGTTACGGAGTAGATTGCAGCAGCAAGGGGGCCATGATCCATCTCATCTGCTAAGGGCGCTCATTGGCCAGCCGAGGGGGGAGAAACGCTCATCGTGCGCCCCTGCGGGTTTCGTGCGTGTCAGCGATCGCGATACGGTCAAAAATCAGTCCGGTCCCTTTTTTTTCCCCTAACAAAAAAATTCTAGAATTTTTGATAACTTCACAACGTAGCACAAGATCTTTAAAAAAAAAATTAGAAAAGTTTATATAGAGATACGCCCAATAATTGCGCAATTTTCGGCTTCTTTCAATTTTTCAATTTTGTGAAATTGTGAAATTGTGGAAGTTATTACAAAAATGACCGTATCGCTGATTCAAGATCGTATTGCTGATGACGCTTAGTGCAGTCCTGACGCACGATTACAGCGATCTTTGTCAGCACCTTAATTTAATTCCCCACTCTCTTTCCTCACGAATCACACGGTTCACACACACCCCTTTCTCGTCATCACGAAAACCACGAAAATCCCAAAATAGGTCTTGGTCGTGGTACCGATCCCTCGGGGATCGTGCGGATCGTGTCGGTTCCTTTATCATCGCGACAATGCCCGCGCATCAAGGCCAACCAACCTCCTTGCTCAGTTGTTCTCGGCCCGCAGATGGTTCCTGCAAGTGCAGGCAATCCCGGGTCACCCATCCATCGACCGCTCACCCTTCTCCCTTTCGTGATTCCCAACTTCCACTTCAGCCTTCACCAGGCACCAGCCCGAGCACCGTTTGGATTTGAGCGACTCAGGATTTTACGCCTATTAATATGTTTCCAGCCGGCCTAATTCCCCGTTAATCTTGCTGTGGGGAGATCCCAATTTGCCTGGACTGCCATCAAACATCGTTTGAGGTTGGGCGCCAATCATCACCCACAGCAATGGAGGGATCGTTGCAAGTGTTTTTTTTTAGGGTGCTTGCAGCTAAGCACGCCAAGGTTTGTTTCCGGATCTCACATGCTGGTCTACTGCTTTTCGTGCTTCATGTGTTCTGCGGCTCACATTGGTCCCATGTCCAGCTGCTGGCAGAATACTGCCGCTCTCCAGAGCCGCTCGTCCAAATGGCCGAACTTTAACGAACTATAACCTCGGATGATGTTGATTGTTGGCCTATGGCAGACGTCAGAGTAATGAAGTTTTCATCTCACGGCATGGTTGGCGTGCCGCTGGAGCTACTCCGTAGGTTGTTGCCTTCCCTACCTGGATTGGCTTGCATTTGACACCCGGGGAAAATCAGCCCTAGTGTTGTTGATGACAAGCAACCCAGCCTCATCTTCACCTCCCGCATTTATTTTCTTTTATTACCCCTCTTCTTAACAAAACTGTCGTTGTCAACAAGAGTCCCACCTTCGTTTTTTGTATGCCCGTCATTCGTTCCGGCGTACAAGCAAGATAGGTTGATTGCTTTAATTAATCAGATGATCTAATTGGTTAGAGATACCACGGTCGTTTCACAACATCCTCAATCATGGGCCGAAACCTCTGGTCTGCTCTCAGAGCAGTGGTGGTAGTATCAATTGTGGGTCCTCCTAGACAAGAATGAGGCATCTCACTAACCATATCGCAGATCACCTCATCACATGCTGGGATCATTCTCGAGCAAAGACAGAGTACTGTCACAGGATGGAACTACTACGGCTGCCAGACAGAAGGCACCAGCTCAAGAGCTCTTGCTTCAAAGGCAACAGCGTACGACACAATGACCCTCGAGTCTTGTGCAACAGATTGCGCTGGATATACCTACTTCGGTACAGAGTATGGTCGTGAATGTAGGCTTGTGCTCTCCTCATTTTCCCTTTCTGATGCTTACATACTCCAGGTTACTGTGGAAACAGTTTCTCTGCTGGCTCTGTTGTTGCTGCTGCAGGTGATTGTTCTTTTGCCTGTGCCGGAAATGCTGCAGAGAAGTGCGGCGCTGGGAGTCGTCTCTCAGTCTACACGAAAGGGACTGGAACGGGGACCACGACTGCGGGTGGCGGTGGCGGAGGAACCACGACCTCTTCTCCACCTGTAGCGACCACTCAACCTGCTGGCCCTGGACCTCAAAAAGCTGGCTTGCCTGCCGGCTGGGTGTATTCTGGATGTCTTCAGTGAGTCTTCTCTAGATCTATCATATGATATCAGCTGACAACGTGGGTAGGGACAATATTCCTTCCAATGAGGACGCTAACATGCAGTTGCCGACCTTCCCGTACAAAGTTTGGGACAGCCAGACCAATGATGCGACGTCTTGCATTAATGTGTGCCAACAGTACGGATTCAATGCTGCAGGTCTCGAATATGCTTCCCAATGCTGTATGTGTTCTACCCCAAGCTCTCCCATCTGCTGCTAATGCAGCTTAGTTTGTGGAGATATTCAAAACATCCTCGTTGCTTCCGCGCCAACAACTTCAACAAATCCACAGGCTGTTCAACAGTACACCCGCAGTGCAGTGCCACTCACATACGATGACTCTCAATGCAATGCCGCCTGCACAGGAAACGCAAACTACTGGTGTGGCTCCGGAAACAAGCTGACTTACTACACCTTCACTACCAACCCAGTGAAATGGAACTTTCCCACCGGCGCTGCAGCAGGATCTTACTCCCTTCTCATCGGCGGTGTCGTCGTGCCTCTCATCACTTCGCAAGTCATTACAGGGAAAGTAACATTCATCGAGAAATCTGGGACAGGAGAGCCAAACGGAACAGGCGCATATGAGCTTGACCTGACACAAATCTCTAACTTCAACAACGCGTGGAGAACGATGACTGGGTTGAAAACAGATGTATTCTGCGCTGCGGGACTGACATTGCCTGATAAAGCGGGGCGTCAGATCACAGTTGGTGGCTGGGCCGGGACTTCCAATTATGGCATCCGGTTGTATTTGCCTGATGGCTCTGCCGGTGTGAAGGGCGTAAACCAATGGACTGAGGATCCGGATAACCTGCAGTTGTTGGTGCCTCGCTGGTACCCTTCTGCTATGATCATGGCCAACGGCTCAATCCTCGTCGTCGGCGGAGAAATCGGTCAAAATGCTGACGAACAACCGAATCTTGAGATCTTGCCGAGAACCGGGGGTGGAACCGTCTACTTGGACTTCCTGCAGCGGACTCACCCATTTAACTTGTACCCATTCATTATCGTTGTTCCTTCTGGTATCTTCATCTTGTATTACAACGAGGCCAGAATTCTGGATGAGAACACGTTCGCTACTATCAAGATCCTACCGAATCTCCCAGGTGCAGTCAATGACCCCACCGGAGGCAGGACGTACCAGCTTCAAGGCTCTATGATCGCTCTTCCACAGTATGCTCCTTATACTGATCCTCTGGGTGTCCTGGCTTGTGGGGGGTCGACTTCAAATGGTGGATATGCGATCGATAATTGCGTTTCCACACAACCGGAAGCTGCGAATCCTGTCTGGACTATTGAGCGCATGGTATATCCCCCTTCCTTTTACCCCATTTCAAAGTCTCCAGTTCGCGACTGACGAGAATTATAGCCTTCAAGAAGAGTAATGCCCTGCATGGCCGGACTCCCAGACGGTACATACCTGATAGTAAGCGGTGGCCAGCACGGCGTCGCCGGCTTCGGTCTCGGTGGAGCACCAAACTGGAACGCAGGTTTGTTCCTCTTCTTCTCCACTTCTCTCTCTTCCAACTAACCATCCAACCTCAAGTGCTCTACGACCCCACCAAGCCAGTCAACCAACGTATGTCTGTAATGGCAAACACAACCGTCGCCCGCCTCTACCACAGCGAAGCCATCGTCCTCCTCGACGGCCGCGTCATGATCTCAGGTTCCGACCCAACAGGAAATTACAGCCCGGATCCCAACTCCTGGCCAGAGGAATACCGCGTCGAAGTCTTCACGCCTCCCTACATTCTTTCTGGCGCAGCACGGCCGACGTTCACAATCACGAACACGGATTGGGCGTACGGAGCGGGTGTAACGTTCACGAGTAGCGTGGGGGGGATTAAGGTTAGTTTGTTGGGAAGTGTGAGTTCGACGCACGGGAACAGTATGGGGCAGAGAACGCTGTTTCCTGCTGTTTCTTGCTCGGGGACGAGTTGCACAGTATGTTGGAATTCTGATGACAGATGGTGAGACATAGTACTGATGAAAGCAGGTCACGGCGCCACCGAACTCACATATCGCTCCGCCGGGATGGTACATGATGTTCGTGCTGAACGGGGGGATACCGTCTGTCGGACAATTCGTGAGAATTGGAGGTGATCCAGCGAAATTGGGAAACTGGCCAAACTTGCCTGGATTCACTCTTCCCGGTGTTTAGATGTTCCTTTTTGTGTTCCAAAATACGGTATGGGATGGAGAGAAGAAAGAGAAGAGCTTTGATGGAGCAGAATGACTCCTAATAAAGGTAGTGATAATTGATAGCGAGCGTGGAGTCAAGCTGGAAAGGGGTAAATGTTGGTTAAAACACTCTTTGCACTGTTAATACGCTATTGGTCACGTAATCTTAATGCAATGTCAATTCCGTTTCTTTCTCAAGAAACAATGTTGTAATGAGTCGATTATTCAACGTGTACCTCTTGCAGCAAGGAGACATCAGGTATGATTTGTGAGTTTAAAAGAAACTAAGGTCTGATAGTGCATTTATTGTTACAGCTTCAAGAGGCGTACTTTCACTTGCAGATATATATTAAGTATCAACTTCGGTTTCTTTGGTCTTTGGGCATCGGCCTATTACTTTTCCATACTGTGAGTTGCAATGAATCACCTGAAGTACTTTCCCATATATTCCGGAACTCACTCGAAACACTTCAAGGTTCTCTACGCCCTCGAAAGAATATTTCCGTCCAGCAAGCCCAAATGAAATTTAACTGGGGTTCACTTGAATCTATTTTCTCGGTCTAATCACGGGTTTGTTCGTTGTTGGGAACCTTAAGCTACAGTATATATTGAAAGTGACGTCAACGTTCGCTTACCAACTTCTCATTTCTGCACGTTAGCTGATTTGTCATATACACTACCTGAAAAATCACGCTACCATGTATATATATGCCCCCAAGTCCTTGACTAGCTGGCTAGCTGCTATTATCAATAAATCTCCATTCCAACACTATATAAGGGCGTTTTGGGCACACGTGACTCTCCGCCATCTTGCTCGCTAAAGCCCCTTAATGCCGGGTTTAGCTCTGGTGGCTGTAAAATCGAGAAGGAAGTGGCTGTTGTATATATTCGAGATATTACTTTCAAGCTTTAAACTATTTATAAATAAACGTTGAGCTAGATGTATGGTTTTGGTAGACGCCGACCGGCTAAGCCGCAGGCACAGCTACTAATCTAATCCTTACGAGGCGATTGCTTCAGCTTCATATACCCCTTCGGGGACGATCTAACCTCTACTGCTTCCATTCTCAGATCTCTCTCTCTTGTCTAGCATTTTGTACTTTACTTTCCTTAGCCGGTTTCACATCGGTTACTATTCAATAGTCTAGGAGACCTCGAGCATTTCTCCCTGTAAGCTTTCGAGTAATAGTCATATGTATGAAACCCCACTACAACGATTAAGCGGCCCTAGCAGCAAAGACTATCCATCGCCTCAGAAATTTCCTTGGCAGCCATATCGGGGACCCACTTGAACGAGGCTGAAAACTTGTACTCGATCTTAGAAGGCCTAGTGGTTTCAGCTAATAAGGAGGCAATTGATGGGGACTGCGGAAACGAAGGCTGACAGACGCTAGATCTGAGGGTATTGAGATGGAGAACGGACTGCTAGTACTGTTTAGAGCAGAAATAAAGTGTTAGTAATGAAGCAATGTGATTTCAGGCGGCGAATTTATAAATTGCTAGCACTGGAAGCGGAAAGTTGAAAGTTCGTTTTCGTCTAATAGAGGCACACTGATTTTGTGTCTATAGTCGACGAAACTTGGGTGTTGAAATTCAGGAAACCAAAGGCCCTTGCCGTATTACTCGACAAGGTAAATCGATATTACTCGTATATCAGTTCTGCCATTGCAAAGCACGAAAAAGAGATCTGATTTGAGTTTAATAAACGATTCGTAGCATTCTTCAAGCCGCCCCCTTCCCCCCCCCCCCCCCCCCCCCCCCCCCAAAAAAGGAAAAGGAAAGGAAAAGAAAAGAAAAGAAAGGGAAAGTGCCAGCAACCGAAGTCACGAGCTTGGAACAGCATCTCAGGACTCCCCACACCTACAATTCTTGCCCAGGCTTTAAGCTTTTCATAAATAGCGCTGTGGCTGCCTCCTTTGCGTCGCCAACTCCTTTCCAGTCACCTTCTCCGGCAATAACGTCACTTTTCACACCGATGCCTTCCCAATTTGTGCCAGTAATCTCATGGACAGGCTTAAGATTTGGTACAGCCACAGACCACCACATATTTCCAAAGTCTTTCTCGCAGAGATATCGTGCAGTGTTGATGGGGTGTGCTGCACCCGCAGTTGACTCATTCCCTTCTCCCACGATGGCGGAAGCTCGTTTAAAAGTTTGTAGGTTGTATGCCATATCTTCCGCACCAGAAAACGTCTCATTGGTTGTCAGGACAAACAATGTCTTTGATCCGCCAAAGAGTTTTGAGCCTGCTGGGAGTTTGCCTGCCGGAAGGGTGGAGAATGAGTCTTTGACTTTCCCAGAGCGATCAACGAAATCGAGTAAGTGAAGTGGGGCGTGGGCGAGTATATATGACTCCACGAAGGCTATGGTATGAGGGTCACCGCCATGATTCGTACGGAGATCGACAAGTAGCGCGTCAGCATCCGCAATGCTACTCATTTTTTCACCTATAGCAATACGGACTTCCAGCTCGTCCGAAGGAACAAAGCAATTAATTGGTAGAGTGGCAATGGGTTTTCCAGGAACAGAGACTTTGTTAAACGAAATTGAATCAAAGCCAAAGTTCATACCACGAAGTTCCTCAAGAAGTTCCATCTCCCTCTGCTTACTAGGGAAAATATTCCACCACCCCTCGTCCTCGGGAGGCTCATCAAAGTCAATGGACATATGCTTATCGTGCCCAGCTGCCTGTATGTCCTCCGTTAAGCGTTGTGCAAAATCCTCGCTGTTCGTATAAGCCTCGTATTGACCATTTCTGAGATGGGTTTCCAAGGCGCCAATAATATCCCTCCCCAACTCTGGATATATATACTGCTCGCGTATGACCTTTGCCAAACCGTGCACGACGTTTCGCCGAAGCACGCCAGTCAATGGCCTGTACGCTTTCTCGTATTTTGGCCTTCGAGGATCATCTTGGCGGATGAGCTTCAGGGGAGTATTGATGGCGTGTATTTCAAATGCCGTAACGGGATAGCTTGACTTCGAGATATCAACTTCAATCGAAACTCGGTCATACCGCCGACCGTAATTGCGTCTATTCTTGCCCTGAAGCACAACGGCGATGGAGGAAGGCGCAGATGTAGACTCAATATCAGCTATACGGAAGCCACCCGTCATCCGCGCCAGTTCGAGCTCATCTTGGATCCCTCGGATATCGTTCCCTGCAACGTTGTAAGGGAAATTCGACTTATGGTAGGTAAGAAGTATTTTTTTGTCGCCAGTGTTGAAGGCTACAAGCCAAGCTGACAATTGAATCGACGCAGGGTGGTCAGAAGGCAACGATGGGAATGATGACTCGTCTACGCTTGGGAGTTCCGGACGAAGTATCCCAGCAAATGTAAGTATTAATTGAAGGAGGCCTTTCATGATTGATTTCCCTACGTCTGTGACAAAGACCAGGTTGGGCTAACAAAAAGTACCTCTAGTAGTAAAGATGAAGTGATTTTCGCACGAACTTTCGTAGAATTCCAGGCGTAACTTGAAGTGACGGAGAAGAGGTGTGCTAAAGGGTAAAGAAGGTGAAAGATATCCTTGTACGGGAGCCTGCCATCGTATAGAACGGACTTTCCCGTCCAGGTTGTCTCAAGTTTTGAGAATTGTGGCTCCACCAGGCTCCAACAAAGTCAAGGTGGCTGTCAGGAAGCCACTAGTCGCTCTAAGCTTCTCGAAGAGGATAGGTTAAGAGGATATTGAAGTTCCTGCAGACATCCAGCCAGATACGAGATTTTCGCATCTGATGCTTTAATACGAATTTCTTCACGGTATCTCTGCTTCCTGAAACACACGATTTTGCCTGCTTCAGCCACATGTAGGGCCTTGGCGAAAAGCCAATAGGCTCGTGATCAAGCAAAGACTGGGCAAACTAGTGCAACTCTTTCACGACTGTGCATTGGTCAATTAGTTTCCAGAAATAGCCCCCGGCACGTGCACAAAAGGCAGGCAAGAAGCACGACCCTCTCTTGCCCCTTGTAATTGCTAAAAAAAAAAAAAAGTATATCCTCAAGGTACGCGTGTGTATTGCTCAAGGCATGCGCGTGCACTTAAGATATATATATATATATACTTAAGGTATACGCATACACTTAAGACATACCCATACACTCTATATATATAAATGCGCTGGTTAAAGTGACAAAGTGATTTGAGGTAAACCTCGACAATTTAATTGAAATCTATCCTCCAATCTCACCTATAGGAGCACTCAAGAGTTCTCAAATGTCCTCAGAATATCCTTCAGTTTTGGGACATCCTTCTCCAACGCCTCCACAATCTTCCCCAAAAACCACCTCCTCAAGTCCCCTCCCTCCTCCCCAGAAACAAGCGGAGCAGCCCTAAACACTTCATCAGTACCCTCCTTACTGGTGGCCCTCCCTTCTCTCAGGACACTGTCTTTCAAAATATCACTCTGCCAGAAACCTCTCTATGGCCCCTCCCCAAGCAGAAGTCCACTAACAAGCGTCCTAGCCCTTTGCTCCGTCGTCCTTAGAAACATGCTCGCCAAAACCCACTTAAACACCTCCGCCCCAACGCCCTGGTGACTCCAACTCAGATTACTCTTCGCGTCGCCGGGACATACTGCTAAGGCCAACACTTCCGGCTTCCCTCCTCTGACTTCCTTATCGCGGCAGGCGTCTGCATACCATGCATGCATAACAAACAGCTTTGATGTCTGGTATTGCGTCCGTGGATTAAAGGATACGGGATCGTTGTATGTTCTCAATAGATTTCCTGCCTTGCTCTTTTCCCCGGGGTTCATGACCAGCTCGTGACCACCGGAGCTCACGGATTCGAGCACAGGTAGCCTCTCGCCTTCTCTTCTTGAAGCCCTTGAGGTTGGGCAGGAGGAGCATACCAAGTAAAGCGGTAGACAGGACTTTGATTTGCAACACCTCTTCCCGGGAATAGCGTCCGTGTTTGTTGGAGAGACCAAAAATACCACGTTCAACATCACACCGTTCACCTTCTTCGCAAAACCCAGCAAACGATCATGGTCTCCCAATCCGCACTTCCACACCTCTATCCTCCCTCTCCCCTCTCCGTCTTTGCCTTGCACAACCCGCTCCACAATCTCCTCCATTGCAGCCTCACCCTTCGATATATCACAAACACAGCGGATCAACAAAGAACAATTCAGCTGATGTAGTTTCAACGCGGCTTCAAAGCCCAATCCAGAATTGGCACCTGTCACAACGATAGTTTCCCTGCAAAGAAGTGGTTGGGTCGGCGGGTGGGGACCATTCTTGCGGGAGGAACTGTAGCAGCCTCGACATCTTGGGGTTTAAGAGCAGATAGAAACAAAAAAGAGCATCGAAAGGTGAAGAAACAATTGTTTTCAGAATCCTGGATTGGAGGTTGGTTGATGGGGAGAATACCGTATGATATTACTCCTTTGACGTGGGTCGGCTTATCTCCACGCCAAAACGGGGAAACTTCTCTAGGACAGCACAACACAACCACAAGCAAACAAAAGAGCAAGTGCAGCATTACAAAAGTAGTTATTAGGGGTCCTAGGTACGCGAGGCGTAAACGTAATACATACAAGGGAAGAGAACGGAAACGGAGAACGGGATCCAATGATCCAACCGAATTTTCCAAGGTGCCAACCCACGCCCAATGCACAGAGGCCCCCTCTTGAATTTCACAACACTCTACTACTCATGCATATCCATACAACTCATGCGATACAACTCATACTCATATTTTCTAAGTCTCCCTGACAGACTCGTCGGCTAGAACACAAGCACGCTCGAGACTGCCCCAACATGGCATCCTGAAATCTCTACAATCTTCGAGGTCTTAAAGGACATACTGTGGACGTCTTAGCCTGGATCGGAAGGAGACAGTAGGACTCACAGGAATGAACAGATACGGAACCAATTTCTCATACTCCGTCCAGCTCTCCCCATACTTAATCTTACACCGCTGAATATCCCTATACGCACGATGCACAATCATACACCCAAAGAACACCGGGTAAAACCACGGGAACGGTGAATTGAACCCAGTGATCAGTCCCCAAGTCAACGCAAAGTAGAAGTCACATGTATAATGTATCTTCCTTGCTTTGCCGTACCATCCATCAGCTAGGATCGAGTCTCCACTCTTAGTCTTGATAACGCGGGGGTTCTTGACGATTTGCCAGGGGAGTTGGGGGAAGGTCTTGCGCTCAACGAGGGTGCCGCGTTCTTGCGCGCGGAAACGGTTCTTTTGCGAGTTGGTGGTGTCCCAGATCCAATACATGAAGAGATAGCTGGTGAAGAGGAGGACGAGAAGGGGTGTTCGGAAGGGGTACGAATGAATGTCATCGAGGTGGTTGGCGAGGTAGAGGGTGCAGTGGCAGTAGCTGAGGGGAACGCCAGCGAGATTCCAGAAGATGAGCATGAAGCCCCATTTCTCGAAGTACACATCCCTACGCAAAGGTCACTAATAGTTCGAGACGCACTTCATGGGAGAATAGAATACGAACCAGCTTGCAACGATACACTCTTCTCCTTTTGAGCATGCATTCGCATACAAGAAGTGTGCCATAACCAAGAATGCAACTTCAGCACTGACGTATCCAACCTGCTCGTACTGTCTAGCAGCAGTGGCGCAGGAGAGGCCAAAAAGGATATACCAAGGCAGTCTGACTTCGAAGAACATCTTGAAATCCAGAATTCCAAACATGCGCGGGTTGAGTTCAGCACCCATGAAAAAATCGTAGAGAGGAGAACCAGTCATGCGATGTTGGGCTCCACGAGTAAGAGCCGAGAAGTATGCCACGATTGAGACGAGGTATCCGGAGATGATAGCCACAGACATGATGGGCCCAAATTCATCGATGATGGTGTACAGAGGAAAGACGCCTGTATAATGTAGCCCCGCCACGACGATGATGGTCGTGTAGAAAGACCAGACAGCTGAGCAGTAGTATTTCAACTGCTTTCCTCCCTCGAATGGCAAGGGCTTGCCATATACCCAAACTCCCGGCAAGAGGCAATAACATGCCGCCTCAAAGGAGAAGAAGGACCAGTATATTTTCCATGCAAAGAGCGAGGGGAAGGCATGTTCGTAGACCAAATTTCCCATAGAGAGAAAGAACTCTTGAAATGTTTGCCCGGGTTGCCGCGTGGGAAACTTGCCATCGTAGAACGTGGCTCCAATCCACATGTAATACATGAGCAGCGGAAATCCAATCATCATGGCTGTGACACCCCAAGAGCCTCCAAAATCAAAGTGTCCGGAATAGTCAACCTTGGGATCCAATCCAGGGGCCCATCCATCAACAATTTTGGGTGTCATGGTTTGTTGCATATTTGTGGAGCCATTGGCAGCCCCATTGACGTGTCCATTGATGGCAGAGCCATTGGTTGCGTGCCCATTCGTTATTGCCTTTTCAATCATGCTGACTGTTCGACTTGGAGTTCGACTTGACGCGACTTTGATCGTGGATGTATCTGTGGCAGAGGAAGAGTCGTCTCCGTCATCGGGGAATTGGGACTTGCGGCGGCTGGAGGGTCGTCGAATGCGAGGAGTCTCCACGAAGCCAAGATGCTCCGTTTTCCTATTCAAGAGTAAGTAATGTTCAGGAGCGAACGTAGGGGTTGTTGTGGTACTTGGGAGTCTGGCGCAAAGAATATCGCCCTTCAGACATTGTGGCGGAACAGGAAGGAGCGACAGTGCAATGCAAGCTCAATTGTGTAGAGAAGGAGCAGAAGTGTGGTCGTGACAACCTATGCGATCAATTGAACATGGCGGGACATTCAGCGCATCGGGTCCCAGGGTTTCCTCTGTCGGATGGTGTTTCGCTGAGATGTTCTGTTGTTTCGACTTCGCGAAAATTTGAGATTACCCGCGAGCGCGTCGTCAACAGGCGCAGCAAATCAGGGTACGAAAATGGGCACGTATCTGGAACTTCACCAATTCAAGTGCTTGTAGACCTCAATACTGATCCTGAAATCCACAAATTTTCAGTCACGACCCAGTACAGACAGTGCTACATGCTATTACGTTCATTTTTTATTGCATCATGAGTTGCATCGCTAGGAGAAATTCTCCGGAGCAACCATCGATATCGTACATTCGAAGCGCTCCCCCATATGCACTTTTATGAGCCTCTTGCGCCGTTGCGCTCATGCCCTGTAAATGATGTATCAACGCAGTGATGTACAATGAAACTTCTTTGATGCCAACAGATATCGCCCATTATACCGCGATCAAGTGTTGCTCGGAGAATCTGAGGGGGGAGCGCGACTCTCATCAACCCACAGGAACATGGCCACGTAACCCATCAGAGCGTCCGTCCGTGGCGGATCATCCCAACTGTCTCGTCATATCTTTTGGTAGAACAGGAGGTACGCAACCTTGTTGTCCTTGATCGAGAACTTGTCGGTCTTTGCCTTTGGCGTGGAAGTGCCATTAACAACACTCGACCACTTCTTTCCAGGCCCACTCGCCTGCTTCCAACCATCCTCTTCATTTTCCTCGGCAACATCCCCAATTGCAGAGAACCCATTTCCGGATAGTGAATCTTTCTTCTGGGCTTCTGAAGCTGCAGCCAGAACCTTCGGGTCCTCTTCGCTTCCGGCTTCTGCGACCTCCTCACTCCGTACTCGTCGGATGACTGTGTCATCAAGTCTGATCCACTCGCGGCCGTCCTGTCTTCTCACATCGACAGTGTAATGACCTCCGCTGGCGTTCTTTCCATGGTGGTAGACAACGGCAATTAATCTGTACTTCGGTAGTCCGCCTTGGGCGTATACACTGCGCTTCTGTCGAGGGAAGACTTCTTTCGGGATTTCCAGCTCGAGTGGGTACCCAATCTTCTTCCAAATCTTCTGCGTGCCTCCAGCATTGTCGTATTGGAAGCGTTTCAAATGTAAGATGAGAACAGGTGGAACTGTCTCAATGAAAACTTGTTTGGTAGCAGTGACGTTTGGACCTTTGGGAGACTTGAAGTCGCCATGCAAAGCTTCTGAACGAGTCAGACCCTTCAGAGCATCGACAATGTTATTGACATGTGGTGCACCAATGTCCAACTGCAAGGGTTGGTATGGTTCAAGCGTGACGGAGTCTTTCAGGCCTGGTACTCGCAGTTCGGACCTCAAATTGCCCCCAAAAATCTTGGTGATCGGAGAACCAGTGGTGATGGTGCCTGATGATCGAGTCACCGCGGCTTTCTGCTTCGGCCCAACTTCTAACCATCCATTCTCTTTGCCAGAAACGGATCCTGAAATACTGCCAGCCTCGCTCGTAGGGGTTGATGGCCCATTTGCAGGAGTAGCCATAGCAGAAGTATTGTTCGAAGAGCTGTTTCGCATAACAGAGACACACTCATCATGCAGACCTTCGAGGAGAAATCCTAGAAATTCCTCTGCATCTTGTTGGTGCCCGCGCTGGGAATTGTTAGTGACTGTATTTAAATGAAGATTCGAGAGGGAACCTACCCTCATCGTAGAGAATCTGGGGAGGCGATTTATAACATTGTAGACGAAGTCTGGTGTGAAAGCTTCCCCGTATTGCTCAAGTTCGTTCTCCTTCAAACGCATTCTCAACTTGTCGACAGATGACGCTGAATCAATCACGGAATACTCTCGCATGAATAATATCCTTCGAATTATTAGATTGGGGTTTGGGCTCGAAGGTTGTGCTACTTACATTGCATCAATCAATGGTATTTCACTCTTGAAACTATATGCAGCTTTTTTGCTGACTTGATCTAAGAAGTTATAGAAAGGAGCACAAAAGATAAGAACTTGAAGAACCTTGACTTTGAGTTAGTAGCCGTGAAACATGGGAAGTTCGTGATCACCCACGGAATTCATATAGCACATATTACCTGTGTTCACAAGACCTCGGGGTTTAAGGAAAGCCACCTTCAAGTCTGGTGAGACGGCAGTGAAAGATCCCAATGCTTCAGCAAGAGATTCGGAGTTGGTCTTGCTAAAACCAGGAGTTGTAGCAGCTCGTCCCGACTCGCTTGAAGGCGCAGTAGATGTCGGCGCAGCTGGGTTGAAAAGCCCAGTCCATAGCTTGGGAGTCGTCCACGCTTTCGGAGCACCGGCCTCCTTGATCTCTTCCGTCGCATCTTGCTCAGCCTCGGTCTTCGTAGTATCTTGCTCCCCATCAACGGTGGGCTTCTGTGGTTCCTCTGCCTTGTCTTCTAAAGCTGGCTTGGGCGCCTCGCGTGGAACGGTCTTTGGTATAGCAGGGACTACTGGCACAGTAGATTTCTGAGGTTGCTTTGATGCGACTGGGGTAGTGTCTCCGCCGGCCGGAATAGCTCGCTGTTGAATTGAGGAAGGGGTAGTTGGGTTTGTGGACTCGGCGTTCTCGGATGCGGGTTGACTCGTTGAAGGCGTTTCGGGTCGAGGAATATCTGCATCTGCAGTCGGCTTTCGTTCAACCTCGGGTGCGGACTCGGGCTCGGGGTTTGTCCCTTGTGCGATAATTGGGAGCTCGACCGGTTCTGTAGACAATTGTGGGGTAACTTTCCGCTTTCTTCTAGCTCGTCTTGCTGGCCAAGGAAGGTCGGGTCTTGAGAGCCACGGCAGCTGAGTCTAATCAGTATTAATCTGGTAAGTGAAGGCGATGGGGACTTACTGGGGCTCTGAAAGGTATTGTCGGGATTTCTTCTTGGGGGGGTGAAAATGGTGCTATGCTTAACGTCGGGTGGGGTGTGGGGGGTGTCATAGGAGCAGGAGCTGTATGTGATGACTGTGTTGAAGGAGGTGTTTGGGACGGAGGCGTCTGGGATGGAGGCGGCTGATAAGGCGTCGAAAGAGCTGGCGATGGCTGCGGCCGGGGATATGATTGTTGGTGGTGTTGTTGGGATATTGGAGCAGGAGCGTAGTGTGCTACAGGAGGAGGCGGAGGAGATCGAACATATGGCGGATATGGCCCATATTGTTGCTGAGGCATAGGAACATTGGGGTACTGCTGAGGCATAGGTTGAGAGTAGTAGTTCGCGGCGTACGGTTGCATGTAAGGATTGTACATCTGCGGGGGGTATTGCTGGTGCTGATTGTACGGCCTGTTCCTCGATGAATCAGTTTGAATGTCGCAGGAGCTTTTGGACATTGCCATAACGGAAACCGACACCAAAGAATGATACACCGAGAGAAGTTGCGACTTACCTCCTCCTACCCATATCTGGCGGCATGCCTTGCCCTGCCGGCAGATGACGGCCGTTCATCATGCCGGCTTGGGAACAATGGTGGGAGATCCGCCGTCCAAACCGACCGCGTCCTGGATCGCAGTGGAGCTGCGCGTTGCAGATAGAGTCGCGGGCGGCGAAGACTGCTCTTCAGGAGTGGAGATTGTCAGCGCATGGAAGAGATGTTTGGATGTACCGCGAGGATGTGGTTTAATGAATCGCGGATTGGGGGCGTGGATTCGATTTGGGGCTGTCGCATGCGCAGTCGAGGTTGTTGTCGATATCAAAATTATGGATGGCCGCGAGAAGATGACAGAGCCGAAGCCTGCGGCAAAAAACGGCAGGGGGCCAAATTCGAGAGCAGCTGGCAGCTGGCAACGCCCCGAACCTTCACATTCATCCTACATTGTCGCGTGTATTTATGCAACTTCTATGGGCTGCTGTAGAGTCTTGACTGTTTTGTGGATTTCAAGCTGGCAATTATTTGCGTGCGCCGTCAAACTGCCTCGATGTCTCACAGCTTCTTTATCAAACAGCCTCATGCTGGACAAGCGGCGCTCATTCTCAAGATCCTAAATGAAGCTGAGCATTTCAAATACTGCGTCTCTGAATGCTCTCTCACGTTGTCGTACCTGCAAAGCACCCTCCTCTTAGCCACATCCGAGGTTTTGAAATATCTAGAACTAGCTCTTCTTCCGGCCTTTGAACATCCAAACGTGACCGAGGGTAATTAAAGAGTGCCGCTTTTGTCTCCACAACAGCACGGCCATCACGGCCATCACGGCCAGCAAGGCTGAGAGGCGGGTGCGCGATTAGTCCTTCCAGTCCGCCGAAGCCATTGACTCTTCCGCCCCTCACATCTGTGACTCCCCCCACTACCCAATACCAGCGCCTCTGGCGTCTGCGATTCGATTCCATCAACAGCTTCGCTTTTCTTTCTTTTGGTGGCGATTCCGGCGTGCTGCTCAGGGGGCTCTCATCTCCGTATGCCTCTGGAGGACCAGTTCGAGCCAACCTAACGCCAGCTCCATCTCCTCCCACGGGATAGACCATTGTACCAAGCTGGACGCGTACAATCTCGAGCGAAATCACTGCGCAATACAGCTTTGTTGTCTGTATGTCCGCTGATCCGCTACTGTCACGGTTGATAGGAGGGCCACAATGAATTCTGCTTCCTCAAACACGTCCACAGCTGGCGGGAAATCGGTCAACGTCTCCTCGTCCCATTCGCCTCTTCATCAGCAGCAGAGTCAGGTTGTATCTCCAACCTTCGAATCGCGCCGTTCTGCTGGTCACTCAGTGCCAGCCCATTCTACCCCGTCTCCCAGGAACAATCAGGGAAATCGGAGGCAGCACAAGAACTCCAGGAAGCCGAGACTCGCGGATGAGGATGCAATGGCGGAATCCGTAAGCTAAATCCCATGTTTGATGACTTTGTTGTACCACGATGGCTGGACACATTCAAGTTCTCAATGTCTTCAACAGTCCAAACATTGACTGGCACAACCAGGGAGTCATGAGAAATGCCAACAGCCGCCGAGGCCAGACCTCAATCACTCACCTTATGAACTTTACCCTCCCACCTCGACCGCAAGACCACCGAAATACCTTAGGACGAGGTACAAGGAGGGGCAATATCTATGGGATTGGATCTGGCCATCATTCAAGTGACAAAGCCCGGTACATTCATGCCAACTACAGGTTCATTGTCAAGCCCAACGGAGATTACAAGGCGCAAGCAATCAACGCTGACCAGCATTTGGATTGGAATGATGTTCTACAAATTCTTGCTTCTTCTGTATCTCAAGAGTCTTCGTGTCCGATTTGTCTCTCCCACCCGGTTGCACCACGCATGGCAAAATGTGGTCACATCTTCTGCCTACCATGCCTCATTCGATACATGCATTCGACTGACGACACCAATTCGATCCCCGAAAAGAAAGCTCGCTGGAAGAAATGTCCGATATGTTGGGATACCGTGTATATATCCGACACCAGACCTGTGAGGTGGTACACAGGCCAAGAAGGGGTTCCGCCACGGGAGGGTGACGATGTGGTATTAAGGCTAGTCATGCGTGAACCTGGAAGCACGCTAGCATTGCCACGCGATGGTGCTGAAGTTCCCTCGAAGTCTGAAGACATCCCCTGGTATTTTGCTGCAGAGGTTATGGATTATGCTCGAATCATGAAAGGCAGTGAAGAGTATATGATGGAGCAATATGACTCCGAGATCAAAGAAATCCAGCATCAGGAGAATGAAGACGAGTTGATGTTTGGGGAGGAGCCGGAGTGGACGAGAAAGGCTGTCAACGCGGTGAACGAGGCGAAGGAGAGGATAAAAGGAATTGGCGACCCACCAGCTGCTGCCAAGCAGCCAACGGAGAGGAAGCCCAAGAGACCACCAATCCAATTTACGACTACTGAAGAGGATGTTCCCGAGATATATTTCGTTCAACATGCATCCAAGTCTGGATTGAATCTGCCTAATGGATTTTCCACGCACGGGACACCAGAAGTCATATCTGACCAGCTAACGGACGACTCAACCACCAGTCAGCCATCACCAGCAACTGAACCTAAGCCAATACCTCCTCGCCCTCGGTCAGTGCATCCACGCTCGAACCACAACGAGGCTCATCATCCTGACTCGCCGTACTATTTCTATCAAGCTTTACTTCACTACTACCTCGCCCCGTTAGATATCCGAATTCTGAAGTCCGCTTTTGGTAACTTTGCTTCGTTTCCTTCAACACTTCTTCCTCGCGTTGAGCGTGTTTCCACTGGCCATATAATGGATGATGAATTACGAAAACGAACCAAGTACCTGTCTCACCTTCCCTACGGCTGCGAAGTCGGTTTCCTTGAATGCAACTGGACCGATGTCGTTTCTCCGGAGGTCTTAAAGCCATTCAAAGATGAGATTGAGAAGAGGCGAAAGCGCAATAGAGATAAAGAGACTCGTGAAGAGAGAGATAGACTGCGTGCAGAGAAGGCAGAAGACGATGCCCGCTGGGCGACTGCAAGAAGGAAACGACCCAGCATTCCCTCAGAGAGTTTTTCTGGAGATGACTTCCATCCTTTGGTACCATCTTCCCTTGAAGCCAACAATGCATCACCGCCTTGGCCTGACCGCCAAGGTTCGGTGTTCGCATCACTGGCGTCGCCGTCCACGAGCCCAAGTGCGCCCAGAACTGTCTGGGGCACCACCCTGATCACGCCACCATCCCCAGACGTCCATCCTCAGCAGCCAGAACACGACGGCGATGATGGCTGGCTGCAATCTTGGGAGCAAGAACTGCTCGCAGAGAATGAGCTGATCGCCCAAGTAGCAGCCACTTCTCTGAATGGACAAAGTAGTGCTGCCACCCCAGGCCAGGGGAAAAAGAAGAAAGCAAAGAAGATTACTCTCATGAGTACTACTGCTAGAAGAGCAGCTTGAAATTCAGGTCATGCATTGCTTGAATTGCATCGTAAATAGCGAGTTGGGAACTGAATTCGAATTTGCGTTTGGCTTAGAACAATACCTGCATGTACATCGTTTGAGCCTGAGATGATTGGCCTTCGGCCATGATGCGCCATGATGCTTCCTTGTCTATACTGATAGCTTTGTTCAGACAGTTCTCAAAGCTTTCCGAGAGACGATTGATCCGTGGTCTATGTGTGCAATGTGGCATGGAAGTGAAAGTGTCAGCGCTTTCTCGTTTCCACCTGGTTCATCTCGGCGATTTCCTCCTTCACATTCCGGCCACCTTTCGATATCTTGACCTTTACCTCTGATACCGAGGCCTTCGATTCCCTAAGACAAATAAAGTTGACTCAGGTTGTCGTCCTTGCTTGTCTCGGCCAGGAAGAACCCCGCTCCTCCCCTCCCCCTCCTCTTCGCTATGCAGCAGAAGGATCCGTGCTCAGGCCAATCGACGTCGCGATGACAAGCCAAAGAATTTTCAACGCTCGGCCAGGCGATGCAACGATTTATGGGCGTCGGATGTAGACTCAATAACCCGAACAATATATATCCCCACGGTGGTTATCTCGTTTTTCGCGTTCTTACCTTTTTCTCACTCGCCCCTTTTTTTTTCAAACTGAACCCACATTTTTGGAGTTGTCACACTCTTGCATATCTGTTTTCCCGCTACTTCGATTGATAGCCTATCCATTGAAGGTGACCCAGAAAGTGTTCGAAGCTTTGTTAACATCTCGTAGCACGGCATGGCACCAAAATCCTTCGGAGAGGAACCTGACGATGGGAGGACAGAAGTACGGCTAATCAAAATTCTGCTCAATGCGCTATCGGCTAGGCGCGTAACTGTACCTCCAGGTGCAATTACGTGGCCGTCACCCCCACCCGGCTTTGAAAGGGGGGGATCTCAAGTGAGTGACTGTTCGGAAGAACATCAAGCCCCGTCATTGTCAGATCCGAGGCCAACCCTATTTCCACTGAAGTTGCCATCAGCAGCACGGCCCACTGGCAAACTACATCTGACTTGGCTAAAACTCCTTGGATTCGAAGCTTAAATGGATCTGGCAATCGAAGAAAGTCGGACCATCCTTCGGTTTGATTCACAGATAACACCATACTTTGGATGGTCATCATCAACAGAGGCAACCTAAACGTATTAGTGGCATACTGTCATATCTTGACGATTTCGACGCGTTTATGCGAGATGGCGGGGGACCTTTACCACGTCCCCCGATTTCATGTATTCCCGGCACGAAGACGCATCCCTGGTGAGCGCCGTCCATTAAGACTGGCTGATGGTGTATCCTCGACTCAACCTCTTCGCAGCAGCCGTGGTGCAAGCCGTCGTCGTGGAAGTCGGACGAGGACGGCATCAGGTTCAATTGATAGGGGAGGAGGTGAAAGAGATGGTCCACTACGCGCTCCAGATCACCCTCCACGAAGTCGCCGTCTACCTCTTGCGTCTGTTAGACTTTTGACTTTGCTTCAGCACAAGGCTCGTCGGCACCAGACAAGGGGAAAGGTAAAGCAGGAACACGGATCGGTTTCAGCAAGAATTCGTCCACCATGTTCTCTCGGAATACCCAGAAACCTCACCACTTCACTTTCAGCGAATCCGTGAATTCTGCATGGCCAGAACCTCTACCAGTACCATCATGTCAACTATTTTGTCAACAGCCTTAGATACCCCCGAATCAACCCTGTCTACCTCCTGGTATTGCCCCTACCATTCAACCTTCATCGTTAATGCTACCCAACAACATGATCTAGCAACTGCATCAAGGCCTGTTCACGCAAGACCAACAACATCACTCAGCGCCGTCTCAACTCTACTTCGCTTCGAACCTTTGCTCTACGACAGGCACTTCGAGCTCCCGGCCTTCTTCTCATTGGCCCGCGTCATCTCAATACGGCATCATGCAGGCTGTCTCCACCCCAAGTCAAAACTCCGCTCAGTTGCAGACTTCCGCTCGAACTAACAACTACAGCTTGAATTCCAGCATCTCAAACCTGACCTTCGAGTCCTCTCAAACTCGCCCATCACCGTTCGGCACTAGCAATCATAGCGCACCACCCCACGAAGCGCAACCGGAAGGATATCTACCGCAACCCAGATATGCCCTATGTCGGTGAGCATGACTTTAAGATGGTATTCGATAATATGGAGACGAAAATGCAGAGGGGACGATAAGTGGGAGGATTTGGTCGATTTTGATGTTCATCCTGATCGTGGACCGGAATAGCAGTGAATGGAACCCATAAAATATAGTGGTTTTCAAGTGTCTCACACTTCACATTGTTTTGGGCTTTCCACTTCGCCTTTTAAGTGCAACTATGCTCTTCCTCTGTTTTCGCGTCATAAGATTTATTTTCAAGTGTGACAGATCCACCCGAGCGAAACTGGTAGTTCGGTGTCGAATGTAACTTCATTGAAGGTGCTGAAGGGTCGAAGGTCTAGATTTTTGCCGAGGTTAAGCCACATTTTAAGCGAGGTGGAAAGGGGGGCTGCTTACCACAGTTGATCTGTTTCGTTGCATGTCGTAATTTTAGTGGGCCCAAGCGTCTCAGCTCTGGATTTACTTGAAGGGCCGATCTTTGGTGCCCATTAGAGAAGTATTCAGAACTTACGGCGACATCATGCAGTTCTGAAAGTTCGGCTGCCTCCAGGGACAATTGCATCCCGTGAGAGAACCTGTCACCGAATCCAAGGGATTTTTTAACTCTCATCTGTTGGCTCCTCTTTTACTTCCCATCGTTTCGGTTTATCTCTCTTCCGAATTTGCCACCTTCGAATAGCCTTATGGCGAAGTTCTCCCCTGATTTTTGCATTTTGCCTAAGTAACGTTCCTTCATAAATTTTGGGTTTTGAACAATTAGGGCGCATCTTTTTACACCCTCAATCCAACGGTCTCTTATCATTGGCTACCGACCCCATGGACCAGACCTTAGTTTGAGACGTTGCGCGAGTGGCTTAATGGGCGTGTGTAACCTTGAGGCTTGGAACAGGGGAAATCATTCGCCGACCTCCTCCAGCCATTCGTAAAGGATCACATGACCTTTTACAAATATGGACACCCTTTCCACTTCATTGGACGTCTTCCTGGAGAAGCCCTCCGAACTACAAGAAAGAGAAATAGGCTCACGAGCCAGGATGCATGCTCGGCTCTTCTTCTCCTTGGTTAAATGCAAAGCCCCACCGCTCATCGCGATGCGATTTCAAGCCTCCCACCAACCTTCTAACCTCTCCGTAGTAATGAATTTCCAATCGCGAGTTGCCATCTGCTGGATCCTGGTTTTCCTAAGCTTTCTACTTTCAATAATCGTCCTATATGCTGGAACAAAGCCAAACTTTCTCCCTGATGCCTCCCTTGTAAACGTAACTAGCCATCTTGCTAATTCTGGGAGCTCTAAGGCTTATCTCTACTAATACCAGGACCTTAATGGGTTATGGGCACGGCGTCACGCGCCTTCGGCGCGCGACGGCATGCGGAGCGTATGCGTATACCTTGAGCGTGCGCGTGTGTTAAGGATATACTTTTTTAAGCAATTATAAGAGGCAAGAGAGGGACGTGCTTCTTGCCCACCTTTTGTGCGCGTGCCGGGGGCTAAAGAATAGCCGAAAAAGAAAGCCTTACTTTATGATAAAATTATAAAAATTAGCTTGCTAAGTACGGGGAAAGGGGGCTAGAAGGGGATTAAATTCTCAAGTGCATAAGCACCTTTGCCCAGAGAGGGTGCTTATGCATTCTAATTAGAGTTGGCCCCCTGTCATTACCGCTTTGGGCGTATACCCATGTTTTAGGAATGCTACGCGAGCAGAACATGGGTGTTGCAGGGATTTGCAGGGGCACATGTTTTTCTTTTCAACTCTTTCCTCCCATTCCTAAAGAACTCCACTAACAAAATCCCCAGGTCCAAGATCTCCAAAGAGGTCAATACCTCAACGTCTTCCACCCACGCTTCAGCATTGACCTCCGCAACCCTCTCCTAGACAGTACATACCAATGGGCAGAAATCTATTACCTCTCCGTCTGTCAAGGCAACTACACCAGCGACGGCGCTAAGAAAGCCACATTCTGCTTCAAGAACTCATCGCCAGGAAATCTGTTCAACCTACAGCACGCCTTCATTCCTTGGGTCGTGGGAGTCGCTTTCATGGGCCTTGATCTCCTCCTCTTGCTTCTCTTCTGCGGTGGAAGAGTCTACTAGAACTGCTGGATAATGTTTCTCCCCTTCGTACATCTCCCTCCCCCCTTCCCAAGTCTCGAAACAAGGTTAACAATCCGCAGTGCGCACTCATTCCTCTTGCAATTGGTGGTGCTCTCGGGACAGTATTCTCGTTCACGGAATACGAGTTTTCTAAAGGAGGTTCCCTGTTCATCCCGTTAACGTGGACGGCTGTTGGGGGCGCTGTTCGTGGGTCTTGTGGTACATAGCTTCGAGTACGGGTTGCAGAAGTTCACGCCGAGTGGAGACATTATTGTGGCGAAGCATAAGTCAGATAAGACACCTTGGGTGTCGTACAATCCGTGAAGTGAAGACAAAGTTGCAATATGGTAGAGCGCCAGGTTTTAATGTCAATGCTGGGACCAGTTTTTTTCGTTAACATCGCATGCGGCATAAACTTTGATTAAAAATGAAATGTAGATTCGAAGAGAGTGTGACGCAGTGAAATAAACTTTGAAGTGTTCTGAGAGCCCAACATATGCCGAAGTCGCTTAATAAAGGGGATGCGAGAATGAATTCCGATTATCAATGTCCCAAGTCGAACCCGTACATCGAGTTAGACTTAGAGAGGCACGCATATCATCCTTCTAGGTTTCCGAGATGACCGTGGAGTGAGGCTTTGATTCTACTATAAGTCGAGGGATTATTTGGGGGGGGGGGGGGGCGGGGCGGATTCTAAATTGTCCCAAGTTGACTTAAGGCATTAGGAATTAAGTGCCAATTTTTCTGACCACCACGAGACACCTTGATAATTCCGTTGGCTTGGAAGCCGACGCGTGCCAATAGATACATTCAAAACACCGAGGATAGTTTTTGAACAGTTCTGAATTTTAAACAGATCTTTGATCTTCATATACACATCCACTACTCAATAGTGGGGTATATGGTCCCTAATGAATGATGGGTATCTTATGTTGTTAATGAATGACTCTTCCATGTCCCCAAACCCCTTTTCAACTCCAACCCTAAACCAGAAATTGAGCAAGAACTCCCCTCCACTTTCAAACCCCCGGAACTTTCACTGGGCAGAAAACCAATTTAGAATGGTAGTGCCAGGATCTGGTTCCCATCTTACTCGAGCTAGGAACTCCTACAACTTGGCAACAGCGGCCGCGGTATCGACGGCGGCGGCGGCAGTCACTGTCTCTGTCTGGAGGATAAATTAACATGGATTCATTGAACAGGCTGAGAAAGGAATTCTTACCACTGTTGTTGGTGGTGGGCAGGTTGCAGCGGCCTTGTTAATGGTCAGTACTCAATCAATCAAATGGGAAGGCTTTTGAGTGGGGGGCCATCTTACGGCAGCTGCATCGTCTGCAGAAGCTAAGCTAGCAACACTGGCGACGGATGCGGCCTGATACTATGTTAGAGGCTTGGGAGAACTCATGTACCGTTTGTACTTACGGAAGCTTTAGCTGCAGCTTTCGCGGCTTTACCTGCTCCGGCCTGTAATTGTTAGTTTTGATGTACTGTGCTTGGGAACTGATCCGGAAGGAAAGAATAGAAGATGGCGAACATACAGCGGCAGTTACAGCAGGCGGGGCCGCGGCAGCTGCGGCGGCCTAGAAATTTATATTAGTACAAGTTAGAATTTAGGAGAGTTGGGATTGCGTGAAACTCACGGCAGCGGAGGCTTTAGCAGCTTTTGCAGCCTGGGTTTAAATCAGTCCCGAATTTTTATGAAATTGTTCCAATGACTGGTGGGTACTCACAGCTCCAGCGGCAGCTTTTCCAGCTCCAGCTCCAGCTCCAGCAGCCTATTTATGTCAATATTTTCATTGTACGCAAATTGCTTGAACGTTTTACTTACAGCAGCGGGAGGAGCGGCGGCGGCAGCAGCCTAAGCTGAAGTTAGTATTTGGCTTCAGTCTACGAAACTTGACAACCTACAGCAGCCTGTGACCAAAAAAATCAGTTTCTAGATATCTTCGTGGAGGGTAATGTGAGAACCTACAGCGGCAGCCTTTCCTCCACCAGCAGCCTTACCGGCACCGGCAGCCTAATTACACGTTAGCTTTCTCCCTTTTGCCTTAAAGGTTAAAGAGAAGGATAAAAGACAAAGACTCACGGCAGCAGCAGGGGCAACACCAGCAGCCTGGAGGAGAATTAGTGTCGGCCTTTGGGCACAATAACTGTGGACAAACTCACAGCAGCCTATACAATATTAGCTTTTCTGCAACGTTCGAAAGCACGGAACAGAACTTACAGCACCCTTTCCGGCACCTTTAGCGGCGGGGGCAGCCTAGTTATAAGTAAATTCCAGCACGCTTCATCTTTGAGCCTTAAAGCATGACTTACAGCAGCTTGTGCTCCACCAGCAGCGGCCTGTTTCCTGTCAACATTGAGGTGAAGTGGCCGATGATTAGGGACTTACAGCACCGGCACCACCCTTTGCCCCACTAGCGGCTCCAGCTCCAGCGCCACCAGCTCCGGCCCCAGCGGCGCTTCCTGCTCCACCAGCGCCCCCTTTTTGTCTGCGTTCCAACTCTATATCTCTCGGATGAATCGATGTATCTGATCTTCGTGCGAGGTCGACAAGGGCAAGGCCATCATTCGGAACAGGAGAAGTGTTGACGATGAGGAGAGTCGAGAAGATGAGGGCCAAAGAAGTGAGGGGGATGTTGAAAAGCATAGTGTCTATTGATTCGAAGATTTGAAATGATTTGGGTGTGGTTAAATAGTATTTAAGATGAAAGGTAAATAATAACGAATCAGACCTGCTGCTCAAGAAAACAAAATGAAGTGTATATTTTTCAAGTGCGTGCCGGACGAAGAACAGAAATGATTGCCACGGCAGAGGCAAGTTATATCTAAGATGGCCGAGAGTGCCTCCGACAGGACAATGACTGGATTTGAGAAGATTCCGAGAATCGAAACTGCCAAGTACTGCCAAACGAGCCTTCCGTTTGAAAGGTCAGTTCTATATTACCTAAAATACTACCAAAGCACTTTTAAATAAGCTCACTGTTCCTCAAAATAGAGTATAACCATATTACGAATAAGCTCAGTGCAGTTGTGGGGGACCTCCGATGGAATCCAATTGGAGCGAGCCTGTATGATCTCCCCCGAATGTTTGAGCCGTTTCAATCGGAGTGAAAATTCGGAGAACGATCTCAAATAGCATGTGGGGAAGATAAGATAAGATATGATTGGAACAATCTGGGCTGATCTCTCACAAACGTTTGGGCCATTTTCAACGATTCCCAAAACGAAAAGTTGAGACCAGATGGCAGCCTAAATATAGATGGAAACAGGCTCATCTGAAAAATGGGGAATGGGATTGGATTCTGTAGGTGTATTGATCGGACGTTAAGGGTTCCGGACGTGCATCAAACGAGATTTACCTCGAAATGGAGATCAGGGGTAGTAAGCGAGAACCCCCTGAATCCTGACCATGTCACGTGGAGAGGTTGATTTGGTACTTTGTTCGTAACAAAACCATGCAGCAAACATGGTACTCTATCCACGGAGTCGGCGGTTTCCAACAGCACCCGAACGGTTGGAAATTTGCGTGGCCCTAAATATGGGTTGTGAACTTGTGACTATTTGTCACCGGCCACACAGCCACTTTGCTTCCCTATTTCCTCCACGCATTCCCCTCTGGACTAGGAGTTGAAGCTGCGATGATAATACCCCCTGCCGAAGACACTGCTTCCATATCTGCATCTTGAAACATGAGCCATGATCTTGGCTGTGAGAGGAAGCGCTGGCAGGTGGCGGATGATCTAACCAGTTCGCTAACTTCTGAATCCCTTGGCCCATCACCCCCTTTATTCAGCCATCAGACGCCGCAGCCTGGCCGGCCCATACTTATGATCTCATGTTGGAGCATTTACTATTTCGTCCCTTGTGGGTCGTCTGCTTTCATTCATTCATTCATTCAGAAAACTAATAGATATAAAAACAGTGTGCCCCCTGCTAATCCCTGTAATATCCCTGTTTTGCTCGCATAGCATTCCTAAAACATGGGTATATGCCCAAAGGGGAAATGACAGGAGGCCAACTCTGATTAGAATGCATAAGTACCCTCTCTGGGTAAACCCTAGAACGGATACTCACATAATTGAGAATTAGATTTTCTTCTAGCCCCCTTCCCCCGCACTTCGCAAGCAAATTTTTATAATTTTATTATAAAGTAAGGCTTTCTTTTTCGGCTATTCTTTAGTTCCCGGTATATATACAAAAGGTAGGCAAGACATATGTCCTTCTATCCCTTACTTGTAATTACTTAGGAAGTATATCCTTAAGGATATATATACGCTTCCTGTGACGGCTGGCGTAAGGGCATGATCTGTCAAGGACAGGATATCGGAAACAGGCACAAAACGAAGCTAAGCCGGAATTGCTTGGGCGGAACAATACTAAAGGTCGAGGCATCCTCCCTACTTTGTTCCATAGCTTAGTATTTTCCAATACATGAGATTCTTTGAATTTTGAGCCTTCGTCCATTGCATTGATCTCGCCGTCACACTTCCTGTATTTAAGATATACGCATATATACGCTTCTATAAGGCGCCGAAGGCCGTATCCCTAGCCTGTTAAGGTCCTCGTATTAGTAGAGAATATAAATGTGCTTTATATATAGTTATGCCTCGTATACCGTACCCCATATGCCGTAAGGCGCCAAAGGCGCCGAACGGGGTGCCCCTAGCCTATTAAGGTCCTAATATTAGTAGAGAAATAAGCTTTAGAACTCCCAGAACTAGCGCTCTGTCTAGTTTCGAAGTATGATTTAAACAATATATTCTGTTTTTACCAAAAAAGTTCCCATTTTGGAAACCTTAAAAATTGCACCAATGTTACGTGGCACCAGTCACGTGGTGCCACTGCACGTGACTTAGCGTGTAGCCAGTGCTTTTAGCCCGGCACACAGCCTTCAGCTCAATTCAAGCTCTTTACCACCACTGCAATATCACCTTATCGTGACAACCAACGGCGGCCGGCTTGTTATTAGAGCATATGTTTCCGATCCTGACAACAACCTTAGTAACGCAGACTTGTTTGCTCAAATCTAGACAGAACGAGGCTCTTCGATCGCAATAGCTCCGTTATTTCCACGCGAAATAATTAGATTGAAGGGACACATAGATGTTGATATTTGACGCTTGGGGTCGAAGATCTGATTTTCAGGTTCGAAATTATTCTCCACTAGATTGTGGGCAACTTGCCTTAATGTCGCGTTGTTCGAATTTGTGGAAATACGAAGTAGACAGGCTTGGTCACAAATAGTATTCCCTCCCGTGCCCTCTTCTAACGTAGTTGTACTTGGCTTCTATATCGAGGTAATAATTTCACCTTTGAGGCGAAAACTATACTTCCGGCATGGCCGCGAACCAAAGGTGGCTGGAATCGAGGATGACATAAATGTATCTATCTATCTCGCGTTATTCGGTATACATGCTCCATGGCCATCACTGAAACCTCCCAGCCTTGGCTCCCAAAACAAAAGCTCCACTACCCATATAACCGCGTTCGATGCTTCCTTACTTGATCATACGCTGTGCCTTTCGAATCTCGTCTGCCATAGCATTATTCTCTATGGTTTACTAAATTACAATATATTAGGGACGTTATTTGTCGATAAGATATCTAGTATCAGCAATTAATGGCTACGTACCTTGGAAGGGGCGTGAAGTATTTGAAAACAGCCCGTGCAATATTGAAAAGCATCATGCCGAGAAGGCAAAGATGTTTGACAATAATGGGAATTATATCGACGAGACGGTGAAGTATGTTAATGTGAAAACGAAGCAGACAATTGGCTGTGGCCAAGGTAGCTGTTTGAAGCATAGCGTACTGGGCATTCATTAAATATATAACGTTCGCAGATATAAGTCTTAAAGGAGTTAGTTGAGTAAATATAGAGCTGAAGCGTGATTCCAAGGACGAAGGTGTTTCCAAAGGAAAGAGAGTAGAGATCGTGGGAATAAAGAGGTAAAGAACACTGCAGCCCTTATATAAGAATTTTATTTGGTAGTACAAACATTAACAGGGGTTAATAACCATTGGGTATTACTATGGGCATGGTTTCATACTCCCAGGATACATGCTCTGCATGGTCTTCCCAAAGCGGTTTAGACTCCCAGCTCTGGAGCTCGGAGTTCATCAAGAACCTCCAATCATCGATTACCTTCACTCGTTGCACAGTAATCGAATCATGACGTTGGTTTCGTCTACTGTATTAAAGGATTACTCTTGAATAACTTGAATAAAATATGAGTAACGAGTAGCTTAAATAACTTGAGTAAAGTAGAATAATTATTCATAAATAATTGTGAATAATCACGTGATTACAATAGATCTACATATATTTAAATTTTAAAAAATAACTGAGGTACCACCTATTAAGCAGCCCTATATAAGGTAAGCTAGTACTTATACAAGGCTGCTTAAAAACCAATTTTCTATAATAATAAACTAATTATTCTCCTCGGAATCTTGATTTTTCCTAGTTCTGGAAGTACTTTAGTATTGTTAAGGTTCGATCTGCTTACCAAGCGTTACTAACTACCTGATTGGGTAGCGAGGTGGCGCTAGGCCCCCCCCCGAAGCCATAACTGACTAGGCTAGCCCAATCACCTGCATAGATCACATGCGTTACCCAAGTTATTCATGAATATTCATGAATAACTTGAATATATGAATATATGAATAAAATATGAGTAACAGCTTTATGCTTGAACAAAATAAGAGTAACGGCCATTATTCTATTTTACTCTTTTCATTTGACACACCGGTCGCACAACCCAATGCAAAGAATAAGTGGACTGAGCGGACACATAGACATGTTTCTACATACCACTCGTGGCGACGCATCTCAAGATCGTTGGCTTGGGTTATATAGAGAACAAGATCGCGGGAGGCAGAGGACCTAAGGAATTTTCAAATGATTGATGATGGATGACTCGAGGCTTACTTTATGCTGCATGGATTAAGAGAAGGTGGGTAAAAGTTAAAATAGAGCAGTAAATTCACGATAACTCTTTACAAATATGCCATTTCTCTTGCCATGTTATAAAGAGTCTTTCTCCCTTTCACCTAGCTATACTCGAAGAGTCCTAGGAGATAGTATATAATATTGGACCAAAAGCATGATTCTCCCTCGCAACGGCGATGTCGCCGTAGCGGAGGTTCAAGAGCGCTAAAGGTCGGTTTCCGGAGAATATGCCTGGCTGGCCATAGATATCAATTGGAAGGTTTATAAATCCACTTCCTCCATTCTCCTGGTCTTCGAAGGCTTCTCCTCGCTACCCCCACCATTTTCAGGTCGTTTCCTCTTACCACTTCCATGGCTGCCTTCCCCCAGCTCATTACAAACTTGCGCTGATTCCGGGGGTGCTACCTTCATCTCTATCCTCTTCCCGCTTTGCATTGTCCGCAGGAACCCAATCTTGGATACCTTGTCGAGCCAAGCCGCGACTTCCCATGAAATGATCATCAATATGGGTGAAGCGTTCTGCCCTCGCAGGAGTCCTGCAGACCAACTTGACGACGACGAAGCAGAGGTACCCACACGGCCGGCACCGTATCGAAACTAGCCTCAATTTGTACATCACGAATTATGTCACATGACCTTTCGAAGACCATCAAGAAACATCCATGGTGGTTTGGGCACGGCAGAGCAACGGCAAGAAGCATGCATCGCTCTCGATGAAATCTTCGAACACTACAGCGCTTTTGGGTACGAGGTAGCGGAAACGGATCCCGAGGTTGAGAGATGGCTTGCGGAGGCTGAAGCTGTAAAGGTGGAGATGTTGAAAACATACAATCAGAGGCGGAACAATCGCAGGGGGTCGTGTTGCTCGAGCTCGAGAAAATCTAGTGGACTGGCCAAATTTTGGCAATCTGGGAGGGGCAGATGAACCGGAAATGCTTGCTGGATCAGACGGATTGTGTTGAGCAGAAAGAATCAAGGATACAAGGATCAATGTCACCTTTCTGGTTAACACATTGAGCGTCGCTGTTTGGTCTCATCACCACTCACTTCGCCGGCACATCTGTGGGATTGGTTCTGTCTCTGATGTACGCAGTCTTGCTTCCTCGGAAACAAACAGAGCAGATTAAAGGTAGGAGCAGAACAACATGAAATAGAAAAGAGAAATATACCTTTTTTTTTTTTTGGAACTGGAAGACTGCATCATGACTGAAATGGTGGAATCAGTGGAACTCCACTTGAGGCTGTTGGAGTGCCGACTACTATCGTTCACCGAAGTTCCTTCCTATACAAGCCAATCGGTTCTGCAGATTCGTTTTGACACCTCATGTGTATCATTAGATACAGTATCTAAAAGCCTCAAAGCCAGCCCAAACTCCTCCCCGCGAGAAACAAGTGATCTCTTACTCCATTGCAGCGTTGCGTACCCAAGGAAAGAAAATGCATCCATTGACAGCCTCCAGCCCAAACCCAGTGTCCCGCGCTAGACAAATAAACATTATTTTTTCAGAGCACTGGTTCTTAGATGCTCATCCAGCCAAACATGCCCGTTGCGCTAACAAGCATCAGTGTTGTCAGAATGCCCGCTCCCACTCTATCGCCCTGCGTCGCTGGTTTGATGGCTTCTGGATTCGCTACACTCTGAGATCCTGCGTTTGGATTCCCGGAGCTCGTTCCTCCGGTAGCATTTGTAAGGGGCGCGCCGACTGCTTGCAACAGCAAGAGATTCGTGAAGATGACTGACATGGCAGCCATTTGTTGTCCTACTCCTTGGGTCCCATCCCAGACTGACCCCTTCGACCAACTTAATCCACAAGTTCGACCATTGGTGCCTCCTGAGCATTGTTGTGCTGCTGCGATGGCGGAGGCGCGGAGCTTGGGCATGATGAGGGCACGGGTCCATGGTGCGAGGAAAGTAGTCTGGGCGAGCCAGCGAGTGAGGTATGCTTTGAAGCTGAACATGTCGGTTGTGCAGGTGAGTTTGGACTCGCAGGCGACTTCGTAGGCGATGTTGTCAGGGAAGAAGACGTTGAATGTTGCATTGAGGAGGCTGTTTACTCGCTGTTCCCAGATAGCACTGCCATTCGTCTTGGAAACATTAGAAGCAGAACTTTAACAAGGGGAGCAAAACATACGTAGTTATACATGTTGGCAGCACCGAGCAACCAGACGCCCATGTTGTAGGAGAATTGAATCTTGTTGATATCTGTGCAATTCGTCTCGATGTGGGCACCATCGTAGATGTTGTAGTTCGCGTCCATCAGGCCAACGTTCGTGATCCAATTCCAGGTTTCCTCTGCCCTGTCGGCATAGGTAGCATTGTTCGTATATCGAGCAAGACGGGCACCGAGGTTGAAAAAGCAACCGTTCGCGATGGAGTTCTTGTAATCATATCCGGTAAGGTATTGGTACACCTGCCACCGGAGTCTGGGAAATGTCAGAATGTGGGCAAGAACCGGGCCTGGAAAAACTTACCCTCCACCGCATATCGTTTCTATTGCCAACCTCGTAGCCTGGGTATTAAAGACAGCTTGGGCAAGAGAAAGCCACGATGGCTGGCTCGAAGGCGGATTTTGGAAGTTGGTCTCAGCAGCAGTCATGGCAGTCATTCCCCAAAATCCTTGATCATCGTTACCCATGGATTGGGACCAATTCGAGGGCATCATATCGTCGTGCTCTCCGACTTGCCACTGTATCCCTGCCTCGATAACGTCGTTGTATGATGAATCTCCGGTATAATGCCAATAATCGATCAATGATCCCCACATTGCTCCAGATTCCCACCAATAGTCTGCCCAAAGTCAGCATTTAGTATCAAATCCAGCGATTCTTGAACATACATCCGTTCGGCGGATTCGGTGGAGGGCCAGGTAATACTCCAGGGATTCCACCAGTCTGATTTCCATGGTAGTATGTCATCATATCATAGGCTAACGTGGCTGCTACACTCTTGATCGACGCTGGATTTCCAAGTCAGCACAACACCAGAGCACCATCTGCCAGCAACCATCACATACAGGTGTCATCAATCTTCAAATCAATCGCAACCACCAGGTTACCTCCCAAAAGAAGCGCTGTCGCGGCGCCTGAAACGAGTGTTGGAAACATGACGAAGTTGCTTTGGCTTCGTGCTCAGGGGTGAGGTCCGGATCGGAGGAACAGAGGTCGAGAGGTCGAGAGCTGGAGAACGGTCGCAAATAACGAGTGGACGTCAAAGACTTCGCAAGCCGTGCAATCGACAACTGATGCCGACGACGAGGATGGGAAGTACACGACAGAGGGGGGTCGAAGTCGGCAGTCGACGTTGAAAGTTGGATATTAGCGGGAAGAGATTGGCGGTCGCTGGAGGGAACACGAACGGGTGCAAATCAAGCGGGTGCTGCACGGCGGCGGAGATCAGGGGGTTCAGCAGCCACAGAAAGGGTGGGTGTGAGGAATCCAGCGCTAGGCCGATAGTGGGCAAGCTGCAACGCGGCCGGCGTATTTAGGGCTCGTGATTGGCTGTGGCTGTCTATTTTCCCGCTTAATTTGGCATCAGATGCCGCCCGAAGATTGCTGTGGCGATCTCAATGGGGGGCGGTGCAACCCTCTTCAGGCTTAATTTATGAACAATAGCATTCAATTCGTATGGCAGAGTTCTAACTCCTCGCGCTTTGGGCTTCATTACGGCCTCGCTCGCCATTCTTACAGTGTGCACACCTCGCCGGTCCCCGCCGGGAGAATGATGAACGGAACACTCTTCCTTCAAATAGAGGCTCCACCCCTAGCCTCATTTATTCCTAGGAGACACCAGATTGTGCGACGGCCTGAAGAAACTTTGGGCCTCAGCGGGTTTAATCCACAATTTCGTGAAGCTTAGGATTTATACAAAGATGCAAAGAACAAGTGTCGTTCTCTAGGGGGGACAAATGGGATCGCGATGGGGGGTTCCAGTTGGCTGCTGAAACCGCGGAATTACAAATTTTTGTGAAAGTGCAAAGCCACCTCCTATTTGCATGGCGGCGGGAGTGACGCACATCTTTTGCTTCTAAAAGTCTGTTCGTTCAATTTTGTAATAGTAAAAATGTCTTTTCGAGCCAGAGTATGAGCCAAAAGAAGCTTCCTCCCTTCACGTGTCACGTGAATTTCAATCATCATATTATTCTGGGTTTGATATTGTGAACAGGTACAACCGAGTCTTTTCACGCAGTGGCGAGGAAATAGTTTAATTCTCAAACATCTCCGTTGATCTGCGGCCTTTCAAGTGTAGGAAAAATGGTTGCCCAAGTTCCCCCAAGCTACTTTGGAAAGGGGTAAACAGGGCACAGCTCGCTTAAACTGAAGTGTTTTGATTCTTTTACAACACAATCTGCGCGTCACTCCTATCAGACCTGGATCACAATTTTATATATCGTTCCGTGGCATTTTGCAGGCCGAAATTACACACTCCTGTTGCTGCTCTCAAACATCCACAAGCTCACCCCACAAGGGTGACTTTGCTCACACCAAGTCCAAGCCCGCCCCTTTTACTGAGAATAACGTCTCTATTCACACACATTTCACCCTCCAGCTGATCTTTTTGTCAACGTTCTTGTGGGAAGAGCTGCAATGATTTTTGTAATCCTTTCTCCGATGATTAACGTCAAATTCCCAAAGCTACTTGTTACTCATTCGCTGCTACCAAACATTTGTAAATTCTCCCACCATCAGGCATGTACGCCTCTTCTCTCCTTCGTTCCACATCGACAATTCGACTCACTCTTATCCTCACAGTACTCTCGCCCACTTTGCTACCCTAATAGAGAGTTTAACATTTACAAAATATTATTAGACTTCAAGTCAACTAGGACCAATGACAGAGACTATCAACCGTACTCCGTCCCCTGAACGACCTGGGGCCAATCCTCCTGGGCTTCCCACCTTACGTCGTGTTTACTCGTCGTCTACCGCACCCCGGTCCTCATCCTTACAAGCATCACCTGTCAAGGATTGCTTCTCATCCTCAGCAATCTCAGTCCTCTGCCAGATCCTAATCATTAACAGTTCCCTCAGCACTCTCAGTAACCTCCGTGCTCATCGACCTCTTCGGCTTATAAAATCCCTGCGGCTCTTAAACATCCTCCGCTTTTAAGTAGAACACAGGGGCTTCCTCAGTCTCAGCAAGGTCCGTATTTTCTCTCCAGGTTCCTTCACTCCCTCGTCTCCTCAGTGTCTTCAAGTTCGGAAGATGTCTCAGTAGACTAGTCAATCCCAGCACCCGCAACCCCAAGCACTCGTCACCTTCAAGTGCCTCCGCATATTCCCCAAAATGAGCTTAATGCAAATCACCCATTACCGGAACATCACCCTCAGGGTGTCCCGGTCCCTTTTGCAAACAGTGGCGGTGCCCAGGGATGGAAGTGGGGAAAAGGGCAGCAAACACTAAGGCATGGTATTGATATAGTTCATGGTTATGTATGAGTTTCAAGTCGAGGGAAAACTCTGCTTTTGGCTTTTGGCTCGCCTAATTTTCACGCTGAGTCTGTTTAATGCTTTTCGATTAGGGCGATGTATGATCTTAGGCTGGGAGCAAATGGTCATATCTGCCTGACATCTGTATGAAGTTGGTCTAGACTAGAGCTAAGGGTTCTGTACTTGTTGGATTCTATACAACGGTGGTGTTTATTGGCGCAGTCAAACTCCTTAGGGGTCTGAATCCAGTAATCTTACATAGTTTTTGCCTTGCCGGACTTTCTACATTATGCTAAACACGGCACGCGATGAGCTCATTAATACTAAAAGTTACTTTCTTCAAAGTATTTTCAAGAATCAAAGGAAACTGGAAGCAGTGCAATCTACTCTCTTATCAATAACTACGTGATTCATAAATACGAATTACGTCTCCATTCACACACATTTCAACGTCCATCTAAACCTTCTACGCCAGCTTCTATGCGTGTTAACAAGTGTTGTGATCCTCCCCAGTTTGGTCTCCAGAACCGCCACCGCAGTGTGTCAAAGGATTATTCAAGTTATTCAAGTTATTCATGAATATTCATGAATAACTTGAATAAAATATGAGTAACGAGTAGCTTAAATAAGTTGAGTAAAATAGAATAATTATTCATGAATAACCATGAATAACCATGAATAATCACGTATAAGTCACGTGGTTGCAATAAATTAATATATATTTAAATTTTTAAAAAAGAACTAAGATACCTATTAAGCAGCCTTATATAAGCTAAGCTAGTACTTATATAAGGGTACTTAAATACTAATTTTCTATAATAATAAACTAGAAGTATTACTAAGGTTCGATTCGCTTACCAAGCGCCATTACTACCTGACTGGGTAGCGAGGTGGCGCTAGGCGCGGGCCCACCCGGAGCCTTACCTGACTAAGCTAGCTCTATCACGTGCATAGATCACGTGCGTTATTCAAGTTATTCATGAATATTCATGAATAACTTGAATAATATATGAATAAAATAAGAGTAACGGGTTTTATACTTGACTAAAATAAGAGTAATGGCCATTATTCTATTTTACTCTATTCATTTGACACACTGCCGCCACCCAGCGAATAATCCCCAACCTCTCAAGTAACAAATCATTCACAGTCTATCAAGCAACGCCTATAAATTCCCTCGTTTAGTCTTCCCCCTCTTCTCCCTCCCTTTCTTCCTGCCACAACAGTCCAACATTCTCTCGTTTTCAAGCATGGCTACCATATCTTGATCGCAATACAGGAACTTGAAGGACGCCTCGGGTTCCAAGACAAGTGTACTGATATTACCTTATTTCGCAGGACCGATTCCAAGTCAAGCAGACACAAAAGCACCTAGAGCTTCTAGGATATTCAAACTTCCAATTGAGGCAATAAGGCCATGAACAACATGAAAGCCGCCAACTCACTCTTCAAAAGAGCACCGGGGCCCGAGCGTTGTATGGCCTGCCTCCAGGGAAACTTTACCCCAGAGGAATTACAAAAGCACATTCAAGACAGCCATGACAACGGTGGGAGAGGGGTCAGATGCAGCTATTGCCGGCTCAAAGGGACCGATTCACATTTCGAATCTTACGCAAATTTTTTAATACACTACGATCAAGAGCACAGGCGCCCACCATCCGGTCCTTCTAAGCTGCATCAGCAATTTCAAGGTCAAGCCTCTCAAATTTCTCGACATCCCAAAGGTCTTCGAAACTTTCAATTCTCTCGGCAACCCGTTGGCAGGTCACAACCGTGGCACCCTTCACAACAGGGTGGTCGCTTCCAACGTCCTCAGCCGAGCAAGCAGCAAAGCCCGCGGCAGCTTGCATTTCCACTTCCTAAGTGTTCGGGTCCCGAGCTCACCTGTCCTCGTCATGGTTGCGGCCAGCCTTGTCGAGATGTAGGTGACTTGCGTCTGCATATGGAAGCAGTGCATAAGGATCACGGGCAGGTCCAGGGCCAGGGCTCTCAAATCCGAAGCCCAGTCGTTCAATCTCCACGAGGCAATCGAAAACCTAAATATCTCGAAAGATTCCGGCTCCAACAAAGCTCTTCTCCGTCGACGGTATCTCAAGTTTCCCAGCGCGCTCGAAGCTTTTCTCATGGTCCTTCCCGCGGCCCTCAACCAGTCGATCTCGGCCCTTTTAAAGATCGCGGGCGTCTGGCCCAGGTTGGACCTGCTACGCAAACTGGTGGATCTGGCGGCATGCTCAGAAAGGGAAGCTTGAAGGAGGCGAAGAAACACTAAGGGGCTTCATTTGGGCTACTGGCCATTGTTATGTACGAGTACCAAGTCCAGGGAGGTGGAATGTTTCTGGTTTGGCTTTTGGCTGCCTGATTTTCGCTGTTATCTTGTTTATTTACGTAGATGGGTGAGTGTCGGAAGAGGAAAGCTTCTCTAGATTTTCAACTTTGCTCGCAGTTTACTTGGCTTTTGCACAGAATTGGTAGTCGGAGACTGCAGCTAGTGATTCTGTATTATTTCCTATGGGGCTCGATAATCTTGAGGAAGTGGTGTTTAGAGAGGAGCCACAGTCTTTGGGGGTGGAACAGAGAAAAAGGGATCTGTACATAGTCTTCTGCCTTGCCCGACTTTTAAGCTGAGCTGGACTTCGAACGCGATGAGTTTAACAATATCAAAAAGTGAATTGTAAATGCTCTGCCTTGAATTATTCTCTTGAACCACAGCTCGGGGAATCAATGAAGTGAGGTGTGCAGGAACCACTCTTGAATTCTCGTACGATCCACGCTATCAGTCTCGAATAACGGTATTTCTCGTGTTCATTTCGCTGGTAACTTATTATTCACACGCTCTCATCAAGGATGTCAAGGTTTCGTACCCCTCTCCTCTAACTTCTTTCTTCTACATCCAAAACTCAAAGTTCATTTTCGAGTTCTCTCCTTTAAACTGCAATCTTTAAGGGAAAGAAAAGAGATTCAAGAAAATCAAGGCGTTCCACGGCACAACGAGCTTCAGAAAAGTCAGGGCACATCGACCTTCAAACATTAAGATGTTGTGCCACGGCTGCAATTACCACGTTCTGAGCCTTCAAAAAATATGGGATCACATCGCGGTGTCCCTGGACCACCAAGACGGCCGGATTTCATGCCCGATGTGCGGCCGGTTTTTCAGCCCGAACGAGGAAGGCAACAAGAACTTTTGGGAACACTGTGAGTCTGTGACGACGAGCACCCATGGGATGGAGTGGACAGAAAGTTTCTTTGCAGAGTGCCTGGCTGCAAGGAAACATTTCTCAGTGAAATTTATCGAGAGATTCACATTGCCGGTGATCCAAAGCACAAAGTTATTTGTCCTCTACCTCGTCCAGGGCATCCTCCAATTAGGCACCCGACACACCGTGAGCATTCTCAACACGCTCAACTTCCTCAAATAGTCGTTTGAGCTGCTCCGGTTCAAGAATTGGGTGGTGATTACAGTGATTGTGGCGGTTATCAAGGTCCTTCATGGTATCATAGTACTCCACCTCCTGAAGCAGCCCCTTCTCTCGGCCCTCAGCGGCATTTACAAACACAAACTTCTCAGCGAGATCACAGATCGAGTAGCCCATCCTCAAGGGGAGAAGGAACAAGTGAGAGACAGGTGAAAAGGAGACGCTAGTTGTGCCGACTTTTAAGTCTATGTCCGGCAATTTCGTGAGCTAGTCTAGGACTGTGTGGTTTCGTTTGCGTATGAGGCTTTGCAGTTTATGTGAGGAGGATGTACATCTTTTTAGATAGCCTGTTTTTGACCTTAAGCCGGTTGTGATGGGGTGGGGGGGAGTGGATTTTTGGACATGTGGTTCTTAGGCCTCACGGCTTTTCTATGGGCAACAGTAACCCTTTGGCTATGGTTTTGTAAACTAGCGGAAGGCTGAAAGGAGAATGCAAAGCCTGATTTTCTAACCAACGTTGTACTTATGCATTGAGCTTCTAAATCACATACCCAACTGTTAAAAGCTACTATGCAGTGAACCAGCCCCTGAATCGTAGGAAAGGGAAAGGCGCTAAAATTATTCACTTGAAAGTCAAACGCCATTGCCCACTCCTAATTCATTGAATCATATGCACGTCTTTTAAGTGAACGCATGATTCAAAATTGGAGGTGATTCACGTCACTCTCGCTAGATGTCTATATAAACCCCATATATCCCTCTTCCTCCTTCTTCCTACATTGACATTTCAAAAAGCTCAACTCGTTCTAACTACTTCATACTACCAAAAGCATTGCACCAACTTGCAGAGAACGGTCAAGCTTCAAAACATTTGGGACTTAAACACAAGTTGTGAAGCAACACAAGAGTCCACAAAGTCATTGCACTTTGAGCTAGTGGTACAATACCAAACATCGCCAAGCAACAGAGAAACTCTCAAAGACATGGCGACTGTCAAAGTAGCCAAGCCCATCGAGGTAGCCAAGCCAGCAGAGCCATCAACTCTCCCTGTGGCAACAGATATGGCTCAGGTGTCTCTGACCGATAAGTCTAAAACTGTTCAGAAATCCGAAGATTCACAAGGAGAGAAGCTGAAGGAGCATACAGCCTCTCCTGCGCAGCCTCAAAAGTCCGAAGGTGCAGCGCACCAAAAGCCGCTGAGCGAAGACAACAATGCGAAGCACGCAAAGCATGAAAAGAAAGAGGAGTCCTCAGAGGACTCTTCAGAGGATGAACACGAAGATACCAAGAAGGTTGAGGCAAAGCACCACTTCGGTCTTTCTCAAGCCATGGCTTCTGGCCTCGCTGGAGTAGCGGCGGGTTCCGCTTCCGCAGTCACTGGTGCGGCTACGAGTGCTGTACTGGGAGCAATGCACAAGCCAAAGCCTCAAAATGACCAGAGCAAGGATGCACAGCCAAAAGAGCCTAAGGATCACCACGAGCAAGATAACAAGCATGTCAAAACCGAGAACGAAGATAACACCAAGCACACAAACAACCATAACCATGACCCAAATTCCAGCCACCATCACCATCACCATCATTCAAAGCACTACGAGGGTGATGCACATTCAGGCGAGACGAAGAAGTCAGAGCCAAAACATTCCACCAACAAGAAGCATTCAGAACCCGAGCATTCAAGCCAATACAAGAACGTAAAGCACGAGAGGCAAGAACCACACCATCATCAGAGCTCCAAACATCCTCATCATTAGAGAGCCCATCAAGTACGTGGTAGGGGAATAGAGAAATGGTGTGGTCTTTTGCTTTTGAGTTTGCCTGGTTTTCAACAATGAGTTTCTGGTTAGAGATACACGGTATGGATATGTAAGATTTGTGGGGGGAGGAATAGAGTTCTTTTTTTGCGTTGCGTTGCAGTTCGCCTCTTCTTCAACGATGAGTTCTCGGCTCAGAGTTGGAGGGTATGGAATTGTATGGTTTTGGGGGGTAAGTGAAGGGGTCACTCTTCTGCGCTGCGCTTTGCATGGCTTTTACGCTGAGCTGCTTGGGCTGGAGGTTGTTTATGGTTGTGTAGGGGTTTTAGATTGAAGGAAGGGGATTCATCTTTTGCAATGCGTTTGCCTGATTTCTTTGATGAGCTTGGTTTCCGTTTTGGTTGATGGTTGTGGACAGTAACTGTTAGGCTACAAAAATCTGTGATAGAAAAGGTTTTGGCGAGGAGAGTTAAAAGTGTTGTCTTTTGGAGTCTTGGATGCGGGAGGGGTACTAGACTCGTAGCATGGCTTTTGTTACATTGCCTGATTTTCAATGCTGAGCCAGACTTAGCACCCGATGAGCTTCCTAATAATAATAAAAAACATTTACTGTACCAACCCTATGATTTATACTTATCTGTGAATCATGATCCTATAACTGCTTCCAGTCTTAATCGTTCTTTGCCATCGGTAAAGAGCCAAAAACATCCACGCGGAACCACATACAAGAGCTGGCAAACTAAGAGAAGACGTCATTGTCCTTATTTTCTTGTACAATGAGGGTTCACGCCTCAGGTTCTTGAGGTGCTGGCCCATTCATTGTGGTGAATACATTGGAGACTCGGGGAAGCAAAGTTCGACCCACTTGAGTCCCGGAGGTTGGAGATTGCAGTCCGAAGCAAAAGAGTCTATTCAAAGTCACAAGCAAGATCAATGCATCATGAATTTGTGTTTGAATACAATTATTATTACTTTTGCCTTTGCTTTTGTTCTATTTGTGTATGTGTATGATCAGTGATGCGAGTCCGCCCCGATCGGGGGGTTATGCAAGGCCCAGAAGAAAAAGTACAGCCGGCTTTGTGCCCCCAATGCTCCTCCATGAATGCAGCTGTTCTACCGTAATGCTAATGTACAATGCCAATGCGCCGTGTGTGCCCCGTTGAATGTAATTTACAATGCCACAACGGCGACCACCATTGCACCAATAGCGCCGATAACAGAGCCGGCGAGGTGGCCGGCAGCGTTGGCGGTAGCAATGGCGGGAGAGGTCGAGGTGGCAGAGACAGTAGGCTTTCCGGTGGTGCTGAGAGTATTCGTGCCATTTGAGTAGGTGCCGTTGGGCCCGGATCCGGTCCCTGTGGTTCCCGTGGGAGCAGGGCCGGAGCCTGATGCAGCCGAGGCGCCGATGCCATTGCCTGCTCCTTGAGATGGGGAGAGCCCACCCCCGTACGAGGCAACAGGAGTGGTGGCAACCGATTGAACAGAGGATGCTGAGGAGACAGCAGAGCCGGCAGGGCTGCCCGAGCCGGTGGTGGAAGATGGGGAGCTGCTCGAGTTGGAGGAAACAGCAGAGCAGGAGAGATCGAAATATGGGGTGGTGCTCAGGGGGTTGCCAGGAGCAATGCCAAAGCTGGGATTGGTTTGGACGGCATCGTTGTCGGTAAGAGTGTACCACCAAGTGTTGGTCTTGCCGAAGAGAGGGCATCCAACCTGGTCCCAGTATGTCTTGGCGTTCGTAGTGCCTGTAACAGCGAGGCCGGCGGTAGAGCCGCTTGTAGGCCATCCAGTCTCAGTAACCCAGACTGGCTTTCCACCAACGGCGGCTTGTGTGGCACTGAGAGCATCGTTGAAGAGTCCCTTTCCGTTCTCGATGCTGTTGGCTTGAGTGGTCTGGAAGTATGGGTAGGCATCCATTCCGATCCAGTCGCAGGCGTTGATGACAGCCTGGTTAGATCCGTTGACCCAAGCAGTCCAGGTGTCGACGTGACCAATGGAAGCTCCACTCAAGGGAGTACCGGCAATGGCAGTGCGAACTTGGCCAATGTATGAGGCGAGGGTAGCGGGATCAGCACCATATCCTGACTTTGCAGCAATGCCGGTAGGAGAGATACGGTAGAGATCCTCAGAGCCAACCGAGATACCAGCAACGAGGCTTGTGAAGGCAGTGCCATACTTGGTGATAGCAGACTTGAGAGCAGTGATCTCGGCGTCCATTCCCCCTTGTCCACCAGAGGCCCAGAGACCGAGCAGGAGGGAGGTGTCTTCGGCGATGGCGGCGGGGATGGCCTGTGTGGGTTCGTTGGTCGAGCTTCCTCCTTGCTAGAAGACTGTCAGCCGTTGAATCTTGGGGGAGGGAACGCGTCCACATACGATCATGGTGTACAGGCGGGCACTGGTGAAACCAGAGGTGCCGACGAGGTTCTTAGCAGTCGAGAAGAGAGACTGGAAGTCAGCTTGGTATCGGAAGGTAACGCCATCAGACTTGGTTGCGCCATAGTTGAAGCCCTGGTAGACAGCAGTGGAGGTGGAAAGCGAAGCCGCGAGGGCGAAAAGATTGGAGGAACGCATTGTGGTGCCTTCGTGTTCTGAGCGAATGTGGGTTGTGGTGTTCAATTAGAAAGAAGAACGGGGGGGGGATGAATGAGAAGCTGGAATGGAATTGTACGGGAGAAATGGAAAGAACAAAGGGGAAGAAGACAAGAAGTATGCCGTGTCGTGTCGAGAAGTGTCGAGTAGTAGTGTCGTACGGTGGTGGCGAGCTTGTTATGTAGGAAGAAAAGTTGGAAGGTTGTGTTGGGGATAGTTATTTATGGGAGCTTGGTTCCTTGCAGCACCAGCAGGGGTGCCCGGGGAGCAGGGGTCGGTGCCAGCCGGTTCTTTCCTCTTCGAGCTTCGGATCCCCCGTCACTGGGCTGGATCGGGCTGGGCTGTGCTGAGGCCCCGCTGCGACGCGCACAATTGCACAATTCACTTTCTCCCGTCCAATTGGAGGTCCTGCCCCTGCCTCTGCCGCTGTCTCGCTTCTGCCTCTCCGTCGTGGCGCTTCTGAATTTTCAGCGCCAACCGAACGCCATCTGGGGATGACGCATCGACAGCAGGGCGGAGAATACCGGTAAGGAGCTTGTTGATCCTGCATCACGGGGGGTGTACCTGCAGAAGCTGAACACTGCAAATGCAACTGCACCGTTCAATCCCATGCGGTTTCCCAGGTTTGTTCCCGTCTTCGTGATTCCCTTGCTCTCTTTCCTTCAATTCCATCTTTGCAGATATGGTCTGTCTGAGTATCTTATTGCCCCAGTAATCAATACTACTATGTACGTGTCACACTGTCACGTCAATCTCGTGTTCATGACGCCCGCCAAAAGCTGCCTTGGCAGAATACGAGGGTCAGGGGCAAAAGCCCGCTGAAGTCCCGGTGGAATCGAAACATCGGGCTTAGTGGCTGCGGCTTCCCCCCATTGGGGAAGAGATCGTCAGGGATGGGCTGGCAAACAAATCATCACATGTTTCCCGCCAAGCGATTATGAAATCGAAACAGCTGACATAAAGTCTCGTCTTCTTTCCCTTTCTCTTCTTCTGCTCCTGAGACGTCATTGGCCCCTCCTTCGGGGACTTTCGAAGCTAGTGCAACTCTCTTCTCCCAATGACTGCGATTCTAGGACTGTGCTGGCATGGAACTGAGACGAGTGGTCTTCATTGATTCCATTCGCTGAGGCTACTGCCTCATGCTAGGGACCACACCCGTCTTCCCTTTATCCAAGTGGAAGCATTCAAGAGCTTACAGGCCAAGCTCAAATGACGTATGTTCAGAGAGCGAATTGGAGGACGTCACGTGGCGTTGTCCTGCTCATTAATCCATATTCTTTTGCTTTATGCATCATGCCATTCGACCAGCTTGTTCGTCCACCTGTAGTATAGAATCTGTCAGGGAATGTAGTGAGATTCTTTATTTAGTTATCATTGTTGAGACATATGAATGTGAAAGTCGAGTCTTTTTGGCGTGGGTTATCGTTGCTGCTCCGAGTTGCCACTCGGCGGGTGGTGGGTACGTAGTAACCACGGTACGACGCCTTCGCGGATGCTAAAATTGCAGTGCAGTGCGAGTGCTAGTGCGGCTACTCGCATGAGGAGTCGGTCTCGTGACATCCAATCCTACTGTACCTTTCGTACAATGTGGTTAATCAGCGCAAAGCGACGCGGGGTAACGCCAAATCCTGAAAAAGCGGAAAAAATAGCACCATATCACATGTAGGCGGTGGTCCAAAAACGTGACTTTAGCCCACGGTAAGAATGGAAAACAGGGTGGCAAAATCTCGGAGGACCCTTTAACTAACATTAAACGCACGGAACATCCAAGAGCTTACAAACCAAGCTGGGGATAAGAGGTTCATCAGTCCCTCCTTTGAACGGAAAAGGCACACAATTCATACGCGGCTATCGTTCATCAGATGACTCGACATCATGCACCCGAAAAATCATCACTTCATGCATTACACAGCACGAGATGAACCTGGAATTGATATTAGAAGTTCTCTAAGTCTTGTTCTTTTAATACAATTACGAAATTGCTACTCAAGTTGCAGGAACTCGTGTAGGGCGACCCTCCCTGGCGAAGCCCCCGCCAGTCGAAATCAAAAGCCACCGGCAAACTAACTATACAATTCTCACTTCTCACCTCTCACCTCTCTCACCTCTCGCCTCTCCACAACTTTTATGGTTGAAAAACGCGTACACCTCGCCGTCAAGTAAACCTTACCGCGAGTTCTCTCACAATGCCACTCAACACCCCCAGACATTTGCCAGGTCCACCGCCAGGCATATCACGTCTATGTTTGGCCCCGCATCCCACGACGATCAGTTGAGATAATTCTTCACCAAACTTTCTTCAGCTCAGCAACCGTGCACCTATCATTATCCCAGAGGTTCGAGAGCCGCTTTCCGGGGACGTTTACTTGTTTCATGTGCATGGTGGTTTTTGACACCAGTCTGGGGAGCTGGGATAATTATTTATCTATCAGAGCGAAATTGGGGATCTCCAGAGGGGTGCAAACGTGATTGAGTGTCAGTGTCATGATTGAGACTTCAAAATGGTGCAAATCGGCAAAGTGTTTATTCCCGTTCGCACACAACGGGCATATTGAAAGAGACACACAACAAGGATCAGGTACGTGCTCATAGTAACCATTAGAAGAGAGAGCAGGTGTGTTATTCTCCAGTCACTACGCCAAATTCATCATCTCCTCTCCTGTACACCCAGAAGCACCACATGCCGATTCAGAAAGGAACATAGGTAGCCATGAATTTATTCATCTCTCTTTTCTACGTCTATCATGCTCGCTATGAATGACTTTAATTCAAGGAAAAGGGAAGTCACGAGGTCACTCGTCCATCACGTTCCTATTCGAGCACCATCTTATCTCATCTCCAGTGCACCAGGATCTTACCGACTATCAAAACACAGCTCTCGCCACCATCCAAAGGGCAAGGCACCTCATAACAAAAATCTCAAGATCTAAGAGCTCAGCCCATCCCAACGCAATATGTTCTGCAATCAGCAGCCGTAAGAGTCGTGGGGTATATTCCTTCTGTTCAGGAGCGCTTGAATGCATGCGAACGAAGTCGTCAAGACTTGATGCTCCCGCCTGACTGGCTTCCTTCCCACTTGGAATTGTGCTGGCTGGTGGTGGGCTCTTGGGCTCATCGAGACAGACGATCGGCGCTGGACGTGTGCGGAGGGCGGAGATGAGTTTGAACGACAATGTCCCCCGAAGAGCGAGAGGAGGGCATTCTTGCCAACCACATTCGAGTTTTGAGAGTAGATCGGTGGATGAGATTGAAATGGTGGAGCTTTCGTGGTGTTCTGTCATTATTCCGTCAGGAAGATCGGGGTACCGAATAACACGGGAGTAGAAAATCGGCGTCAAGACTCGGATCTCGAGCTCGTCTGCTTCTCCTTCTGCCAACTGCGCGGAAGAGGACATTATGACTTCTGGAGATATATCGTGGAGTCCAGCGGGGATATATCGTATTCTCAGCGCATCCTGAGAATTTCCAACCAGTTCCCTCAAATATCGACGAAATATGGATTCGATAAACAGTTCCGTCTCATCAGCGTGTCTCGCAATCGTGCTCCCCTTCGGTTCAGGACGGAAAACCCACGGCAGCTTCTTTCTGAAAAGAATGATAACAGCTTGCTGGATCGTCCGTGGGAACGTCGCAAGGCCTACCCACCACCAACTTACCAGGAATCGCGTCTTTTGCCACACACTCATGGTTGCTGGGTCAATTTGGTCGTCGACGGAGTAGATTCTAGCGATGAGCTTTGCTTTTCCTTCGGGCGAGCTGAGGGTAACGGTGGAGTTTATGGTCCCTGGAGAAGAGAGGTTAGGGAAGAAGGGGTCGTAGGCTGCGAGAGAGTATGAGCCGGCTCGGCTATTGAAGACTGAGACGTAGAAGTCTTTTGTCCAGGCGCTTGTGTATCGTGGTTTGGAGAGTCTAGAAGGAGTGAACGAGTTAGGTGCGGATTTGCGATCAGGCTCCACAAAATAGATTCGTCGCTCGTCGAAAGTATTGTTTACTTCTAGGATCAGGGCAGAGAGTTCTCTGGATGAGGAGTAGAGGTACCATACTGAGAGGGGGTTGGAGGCGTAGCCGAGGAAGCGGGCGGCTGTTACGAGGTAGGCATGGGCATATTGGTTGGGATCAATATCCTGGATCAGGTAAGCTCTGAAGCGTGATGTTCTTGGTCTAAACACATACCTGGCCTTCAAGATACTTCCTCAGCTTCCCCTGTAAGCCGCCCTCCACGTGACCTCGATCCAGGTAATCGTCTCCATTTACGGTGTACCACGCCCCCCCAGGATTCAGACTGAATAGTCTCAAGTACCAAGGAGCCTGCTCCTTCCCATCGTCCTCAGATATCATGCCTCCAACTGAACCTTCCCATCCCACGGGAACCCCGGTCAAGAGATACGAGTATCCAAACCCATGCTTGGATGGGAACATTCTTACATGACTTGTTCTGCAAGGAAAGAACAGAGGCTTGATTGGGAAGTTGTCACTGGAAGAAATTCGTTTGAGACCGAGTATATATCGAGTGAGTTGAAAGAGATAAAATAATGCGGTCGCAGCTATGGCGGAATCGATGACGATGGTGGGGTTGAGATATGCATTGACGAACTCCTGGAATACCTCCCAGTTTTGATATATGCCAAAGGAGAATAGAATAATGATATCTAGGGGTCTTCCGAAGAATAAAACGAGACCCAAAGGCAGCAAAGGCAGAGGATAGGACTCCATATCCGAATGTGAGCCTCCTGTGATGGGACGGCGGGGTACATGTACAATTGATCAATCCGAACTCGTTCGTCTTCGTAGATGCATTATAACAGGCAGCGTGAACTCATTATGAAATACGCGACATTTAGTAAGGACAAAAGGATTGCAAATTGAAGAATTAGAACAGGCCATAATTCACAACGTCGAGTTTCAAGAGAATATCAAAAAAGGGACGTCCGAGATCTACCGGGATCTTGAACCAATGGGGCTTAGCGTCTGATTCACACGGCAAGCGCAATTGTGTGCCACAGCCTCACCCCCAAATCGATCGCAACATATTTCAACCTCTTCCCTTGCCTTCCGCTTCCACCCACAACCACAAACAACTTCCTCCCACACAGCAAACAACTCCTCGTTCTGAAGCCGATCCTCTCCACAGTCCAACCTCAAAGCAATCCACCTACCGCAATCATGGATGACTGGGACACCGTCACGAAAATTGGAAGCAAGACCCGCGGGGGCGGAGCAGCACGAGAGACGGTCGTCAGAGGCAAATCCGCGCTCAACGCCGCCCAAAGAAGCGGAACGGTCATCGGAACAGAGAAGAAGTTTGGCGCTGGCAACTCTGTATGTTCCCCTCTCCTTTCCCCAATTCCCTCTCATCCCAACCCTTCAGCTCCAGAACCTCTACTGACGTCCTCCTCACAGGCCTCCAAACCCGGCGTCGAAGGCCAACATCTCACCAAAGTCGACCGCAGTGATGACATCGTCAAGCCCAACACAGTTGGCAAGGAAGTCGGCGACGCCATCTCTCAGCAGCGACAGAAGATGGAGCCGAAGATGACACAGAAGGACCTGGCGACCAAGTGCAACACGACCCAAAGTATCGTCGCGGACTTCGAGCGCGGATCTGCGGCCCCGGACCAGAAGATCCTGGCGGCGATGGAGAAGGTTCTGGGGGTTAAGCTGCGGGGAAGCGATATTGGTGCGCCGAGATTTGGTCCTAAGAAGAAGTAGAGTGGCGGGAGAGGATATACACTGTGGCTTGGGTACAATTGTCACAACGGATATGATAATGAATCAGCGTTGCTTTCGATGGAGGGGGCGGATACTGGAAGGGGGTCCTGAATGAATCGTACGCGAAAATCAATGGGTTCAATCATGTGTTCATGGTCATAGAAGTCACAAAACGAAAACTACAATAGAGAAGATCGTCAATTCATCGTGCGTTCGTTGGTACTATCTGCAATTCTCGCTCCGTGCTATCCAATCCATCATCCCTCATCTCTATGCAGCACGTCTCACACGTTCTCTGATATCATCTTCTCCAGGTTTCTCGTCTCTGTTCACAACAAGGGCTTCCACCTTGCCCATCTTCACGATCCTCACCCACTCTGGAGCGATCTCTGATACCAGCAGTCTAACACATGTAGCTCCCTCCTCTCTCGATATTGGAGTCTTAAAGGAATCCCTCAACTTCCCAAGCACGGTCGGCAGAGTGAAGGATATTCTCTGCTGGCCAATCGAGCTAGACGTGCTCAGAATACTCAGCACCCCAACAACTTCTTCGATCCTCTGCAATGCTGCTTTCCGAGCAATGTCTGCATTCGATGGTGGTGGTGGAAGAGTCGATTGGTGAAGTTGTTTGGCCCGCAGCCGCTCGAGAAGTGTGAGCTTCTTTCCGTCTGGCGTCTCTGGTAGCTTTTCCTTTGTTTCCTTCTTGACAACTATGCCTGCTCTCAAGTCCTCCAATCTTCGCTGCCCTTTCGCTAGCAAGGGTGACATCTTGACCAGCGAAGAGCACGTTGTAATTGGTTCCAGTGGCAGGCTCCCAACGAATTGTTGAATCGGCAAATCGGCATCTTTCACTTCCCATGCCTCCTCCAGTCCTCGAACGAACATTACGTTCAAAAGATTCTCGTTGACAGGTCTGGCTATCCTGCCAGCCTTCCCTGTAGTTGAATTGATCTCAATGCAGATCTTCCCATGTCCATAATCGGATAAACTGAGCCGTGATATTTTATGATCCTTGTTTCCCTCAGGAATATGTGTATTCATAACCCCCAGTGTCCTGCGGATATCTTCGAGAGTGACTCGTCTCTTCCCCCATGCTCGAGCAACGTCCGGGCAGAGGTTGCGCAGGTCCGCTGGTGAGTGTGTTCCATTGTGGGCGCAATGTATTGATAATGCTGTGAGAAATGCTGCGTGTAGATTGACGAGGTCGATTAATTCTGCCGGAAGGTTTTGAGGAGGTTCGGTATGAATATTTTCCGGCGTCGATTCGAGGATGCCTGAGCTTGAGCTGTTGAAACCGAGCGGAGTTCTAGTTGGGGTTTTCGTAGAGATGCAGAATCGGTCGAGGAGGCTACGCGCACCTTTCGTAGGCGTTTCGATTGAGACAGGAAAGGATTGGGAGAGGATTGGCTTCCGTGGGGTTTCTGGAATTGATTTAATGTTGTTTGAAGGTCGTTGGGGCAATTGTTTGATGGGTCTCGAGATTATTGCTGCAGAAAAAAGCGCTGAGACGGGTTCACTGTCCTCCTCCCCGGGTGCGACCTTCCTCTTCTTGTGATTCGTAGATTGGGTAATTGCGATGATGTCGACATAGTCGCTCTTCTCGATAATTGTCTTTGCGGTGCTGCTCCCTTTCGAGACCTTGGTGAACGCATCGATCCCTCGAGATTTGTTTGGCAAGGTCGAGGCGCTCCTCGGCGCCGTTGACAGCTTCCGTCGTTTGTTGGCGGTCGGCATGGTGAAAGAATACAATTGCTATAGAAACTATGTTCGAAGCTTCTAATGTATGGAAGGTGGAGGTTGAGGGTTGCGACCGAGGGTGTGCAGAGTTTTGTAAATAGAATTTCGGCTGAGGAGGTTGGGAGTCGCGATGGGTCATGGACGTGACGCGCTTTCTCGCGTAAAGTGCTTTTCGCTTAAACTTGAAAGGGATACTTCAAACTTCAACCTCACGGCAATCTTCTGCTCATCTCCACAACAGCCATGCCAACCAGTCTCCTCGAAGTCTTCCCACGAGAGATACGTGACCAGATCTACACATTTGTCCTCGCATCCTCCTCACGCGCGGTGACGCTGTCCCCTTGGACTGTGGAGATCGCAAGTTCCCTATCCCTGCTTCGAACATGCAAACAGATTCAAAGAGAATGCAAAGAAATCATATGGCACCACAACGGGCTGAGCCTCCGAGAACCGACTCAACTGTTCCATAAGTTCAAAGGCCTTGCAAAGCATCGTCATGTGCGGCGCATTCGCCAACTCAAGATTTGCATGGAGCTACTGGATCGAGACGAGCTTGAATGGATCTCGGCGTCTATGAAAGCGTTGGGAGATTGGTGCAGGTCGGGCAGACTGGAATCCATCACAATAACTACCGCATGGGAGAGACCTCGGGGCGTTGACGAATTCAAGGAAATTCTAAGCCTGAGGAAGTACGGGGAGTCTTTGGACGGAAGACTGTATCAGGATTCGAGCACTTGGACAAGGATGGTCGTCAATACGGGGTGGCCAAGATTCTCGCACTGGGGAAAGCAGGGGTGGCTGCGAGAAATGCTGTTGGATCTAAGTGGTATCGATGAATTGCTTAAGGAGATACATCATAGCTTTGGTGGCATGATGTACGTGGATGGGCGGTTATGCTACAGAGATCTGGTGCAGATTGAGGCTCCAAACTTGGATCCACGCAATGGCGAGATCAGAGTACTTCCATGACTAGCATCTAGGTAGTTAATCAATCAGATTTCCTGACTCCTTTCCCCACACGAGTGCGATTTTCCGTTGCGCGGTTGGGAAGTGCGGTTTCAGTCATTTTTCTAAGATGCTCGAGATTATGCTTTCTTAAGGTTTATAAAGCATGTCCGTTATTGACTTTTTTCACCCAAAAGACTTCACCATGCTTAGGATCTATTTTGTCAAATGCCTAGTTGTGAGTCAATGTGGGATCTTGTTCAGCGCGAGGGCTTTGCAAGCTTTCCACCCCCAACCAGTGTGAGCAAGAAATACTCAAGGTATTTATACTACTCATGAATATTCGTGAGTAGTCTTGAATAGAATATAAGTAGCGTAAAACTCAAATTTTTTGAGTAGAATAGAATATATATTCATGAATATTTATGAATAGTCACGTGATCTCAGTAAATTAATATATATATTTTATTAAAAAGAACTAAGGTATCTATTAAGCAGCCTTATATAAGCTAAGCTAGTACTTATATAAGGCTACTTAAATACTAATTTTCTATAATAATAAACTAATTATTCTTTTTATAATCTTGTTTTTTCTTTTTTTTCTCTCCTAATTATTATTATTAAATTCTTAAGTTAAGGTAATTCTATATAGATATAGGCCTTAATATTTATTATATTGCCTTAGATTCTATTAAGCAAAATTCGATTATAGTATATATTATAAAATACTTTAATATATTTTATTATAAAGATAATATAATAAATATTAGAACCTATATTTATATAGAAATATTATTAAAATTTTATTTATTTAGTAAGTACTGCTATTATCTAATTAGATAATAAGGAAGTACTAGAGTAGAAGTATCTAAAGCTTTACTAAATAAGGCTAGCTATATATATATTATATTAAAGATTCTTAAAAGAAATAAATAGAAGTAAATTAAATATTAAATTAATAAATTACCGGATATTTTATATATTATATATAAATATAAGAAATTTCTAGAATTCTAATAAAATTTAAAATAAAAGTATAAAGCTTATAATAGCTTAGAAATAAGGCTAAATACTTTTTAATATTATAATTAAATAAAATATATATTTAAGACTTAAATAAATTTTTCTTTTTATAGTTCTGCCTTAGAATAAATATTATAGATATAATATTTAGAACTTGAAAAGTAAAGTAAAAGATCTTTTATAAAAATAATTTAAAGCTAAAAAAGGAAAAACTAGAATATAGAAGACTATAAGGAAATATATATATCCTATAGTATACTAGTTCTAAAGGAGCTTAGTTTTCTAAATATCTCTAGTATATTTCAAATATATTTCTCTAGTAAAGCGGCTATATTATATATATCTAGAAAATATTTAGTATTTAGCTAAATATCTTAAATACCGGGTATTTAAATATCTAATAAATTATAATATTACTTTTCTTTTTAAAATAAGCTTATTTCCGAACTTAAAAAAAGCTATTAATCTATCTAATTTTATATTATTCTTTTTCCTAAAATAAACTAGTATCTCGGATATAGATATTATATATAAAAAACAGGTATTTTTAATATATAACTTAGAAAGATTTATTATTATTTCTATATAGTTTTAAATAATTTTTTTTATATAATCTAGCTAGTATTATAGGTTTTATAAAAATTCTAATATATTATTATTATTATTATAAAAGCTCTATAAAATAAGGGAATTATTATTTAATACTAAAACTAAATACTATATTAAATCCTTATTCTAATTAATTTACTAGATTCTATATTTTAGTTTCTTTTTTACTAAGTTAATTATAATAACTCATTTAATATTATATTCTTATTTATTATTTTCTAATATTAATAGAGGTAGTTCCGGGTTTATTTAATCTAGTAAAGAATTCTAAGAATTTTTTTATAGCTTCTTTATATAAAAAATTAAATATATTTTTATAATTTCTAATAATTTTAAAAGAAATAAATAATTATACTATTCTAGAATCTTAAATAAGCCCTTTATTTAGTTTTCTAGTTTCTGGCTCAGATAATCGGATTTCTAATACTTTATAATAATCTATATTTTATTCCCGATTTTAAAATTAATTAAATAGTAATATTTATTAGTTTATATTATATATTATTTCTATATTTGCTTTATATAACCTTAGGTAAGTTACTATAATTTATATAATTAATTTACTAATACTTTAGCTTTATTTTTATTTAGTTTCTCTTTAAGTAAACTAGTATTAATAAAGAAATTCTAGTTTAAAGAAATATAAGACTTATAGTCTTTTTTAATTATAAATAGAAACTAGCTAATAGTTTTATATTAAAAGAAGACTTATTAATAATTAATTATAATAACTTATTTATTCTAGTTATTTTAATAATAATTAATATATAAATATAATTTCTAATTAAAATACTAATTAATAATCTTTATTTATTTATTTAAGGATAATTAGCTATTAAGGATTTGAGTTTAGTACTAATTCTTATATAGAATTCGTTTTAAAAATCAGATATAAATTAGAATTTCTAATCTAATATAATTATTTCTGAAATATTTATTTAGTATATTATATAAAATAAAAATAAAAATATTAGTTATTTAATTATAATTATATCTTATACGGGAATTATAATTAAATACTTAAATAAATAATTTATAAATATAGTAATTATATTATAGCCCGATTTATTTTCTAAATAGTTTTTAAAGTTTATAATAATTTATTATTAGAAATAATTAGAAATTAGAAGAAAATAAAATAAACTAGGCTTTTTATTTCTAGATATATATAATCTTTTATAAATATAATAATTACTATAGTATTAATTAATATTCTTATCTATAAATTACTAGTAATATTATTTTTTAAATAGCTAATAAAGCTTTATATATTTAGAATATCTAGAAAGAAATTTATTATATATTTTATAAATTAGAATAATCTATAAAAATAATTCGAAAATTATTTCGTTTTCTATAATATAAAAAGAGACCGTTTTATAATATTTAGATATTACTTTTAGCTTAGGCTATTATATATAACTTTTCTAAATCCGATAATATATAATTATTTTATAGAATCTTATTTATAAGTTATAAGCTATTATATTTAATAGAAGCTTCTAATAGTACTTCTATAGAAGTAACTATAATAAAAGCTACTAGTAAAGCTTTTAGAAAAATACTTTTCTTTAGAAAAATTATATTTCTAATAAGAATATATATTTCAGGAAAGTCTTTAATATATATTTGGTTTTTAGAACTAAATTCCGGATTAAATAAATCGATTTTATAAAGTATTATTATAAGTTATAAGTTATTAATAATCTCTAAATTAATTTTATTTCTAGAAAAAAGTATTTGAGTTTATAGCTTCTTTTTAATCTGGTTCTAAATATTTACTTTATTTTATTTTTATAATAAAGTTATAACGGCTAGTATTACATGGTTAATACGGACGTGGTTTTAGCTAAAGGGGTTGGTTTCAGCTAAGGTTTCAAGCTATAATTCAAACCAAGCTCGCTTCCAAAGCTCGGCATTTTAGTAGTCTTGGCCATACCTACTTATCTACTGCCACACCTCACTCCTGTCCTCCTTAGCTTTAAATTCTCAAGATATAGGAAATTATTAATCTTTGAGCCTCGTTCTATTACTCTATTCCTGCCGTTATAAAAGTATTTATTTATTTATTTAATTTTCTAAAATAATATATAAGCTTGAAATAATAATAAAATAAAAACTTAATCTATTTAGTTTATTAAAAAAAGAGCTTTTTAGTAATTATAAAATACTCTAAGATATAATAATTAGAATAAATTTTAAAAGAAATATTCTAAAAGTTTTTAAGTTTGGTTTTTTATTTCTTTAATACTTATATTATAGCAAGTATTTCCTTATTATATATATTATAATTAAGCTTTATTAAAAGTATAGTTTTAGAAAAATAGACTATAAGATATTAAAGGCCTATTTCTGGGTTCTATTAAAAGAATAAGCTAGTAATTATTTCTTTAAATATATTTGTTTTTACTATTATAAATAGATTTGAATTATAATATTATAGAACTAAAATAGAAATTATAGTTTTTTTTAAATAATTAAAAGTCTTTTAATATTATTTAGATTATTTAAAAGAAATACTTTTCTTTATAAATAAGGTAAAAGATTTAATAATTCGTTTATATTTTCTAATAAAATATTTATAAAAGTTATAAAAACTAAAAAAGAATTATATATCTTTAATTATTTTTAGGAATTACTAGTTATATATTATTTAAACTTTATTAGAGTCTATTTTAATACCAGATATAAAAATAATAAAGCCTAAATATTTTATATATATAACTTTAAATTCCGATTTCTTAATATTTATTTAAAGGCTAATAAAATATAAATAATCTAGTACTTTTTATATTTATTATTTATATTTTACTAGATTTTTTTAAATAAATAAAAATATTATTAAAATATATTATATAAAAATTATCTAAATATTCGAAAAATATATTATTTATATAATATTAATATATAGCTAGGCTATTTATAAGGCTTTTCTAGAAAATATTATATTTATATATTTTATAATAAATATGAAATATAGTTAGTTCCTAAAAGTCCGGATCTATAATTATATAATAAAAAGCTTAACAAATATTTAATTTAGTATAAATTTTAACTTTAGATAATTAATTTAAAGTATTATTAATAAATAGAAGGAAATATTAATTCTTTCGAGTAATATTATTTAGAAAATTGAAATTAATATAAAAGTATAAATCTTAATTCATTTTCTTTATAAAAAGAATTAGTAAAGTAAAAGAAGTTTAACTAGCTTTAATAAAGCCCTTAACTAGATTATTTTCTAAGAAATACTTAATTTCTAAAAGCTCTTTAATAAACTATTATTAGAAAAATTAGTATTTAATACTTTTAGTTCTTTTTAGGCTTTTAATCTAAATCTTATAATTATATAATTTATAAAAAAAAAGTATTAGATTTCTTTTTAGAAAAAATAGAAATATATTTCTTGAATTCCGGAAATAATATTTTTTATAGCTATTAAAGCTTTATTTTTTCCGGTTATTAATTTTTTAGACTAGAGATAACTTTTTTCCCTTAAACTTTAGACTTTTTATTAATCTTATAAACAGAGATTTAATTAATAATAATATTTTTTCTTTTAGTTATATAATTAAAT